TTTCGACTGAAACAATTCTATTAGCTCCAATCTACCAGTCCAGACTATCCGCCGATCTACAGGATGTCAATCACAATTGACGACACGCGAGCTTCCAATGATAACCGCAAGAACAACCGCCGCAACCGCCGCAGTTCACAGAAGAACAGCTGCATAGCCACCCTCTCGGCTATCGCTCAAGTCCAAAAGGTCCTCTATCATGTCAATAACTTCAATGGTAGCTACCACCTGCGTAACTGGTCTGCCTCAGCCCGTAAGGAGCGAGCTCCTTACATCGGTATCAAGCTCGAGCTCCTCCACGATGGCTCTTACATTGCTTTCAACGTCCCAAAGCTAGCCTTCATTGCCGCCTCTCCCGCATTCGCCGACCACATGGCAATAAGCCCCGATGTCAAGCTTCTCCGCTTCTGCAGCTCTGAAGTGGACTTCTATGCCGTCAAGGCCATCGTCATCTGGCTGCGGAAGATTTGCTCGGAGAAGGTTCACACTGACCTACCAATTCCCGAGGACATTGAGGAGGATCTGCAACTCCGTCGTACAGCTCGGAGATTGGGCATGTCGCAGTATGTAGCCGATATCATCGAGCGCTACATCTTGGATTTGGCCGATCGAGTTCCGGATGTTAGTGAACTCGTTTTGGTCTGTGAATGCACAAAGGATCAGGGCATCGTGGATCCCATGTCGGAGGTGCTGGCGAATTGCGTCGGGTACCTGTTGAAGTACAATCAGGTTGATGGTATGAAGGTGGGATTGTACGCAGAAGTGTTGAAAACGAAGAAGTGCCAACGCTTGCTGGATGCAATTTGTGAGGAGAAGTTGGATAGGATCCACCGGGTTGGATGGTTGGCGGTATATAAGAAGCCATGGAAGTAGTTTAGAGGATTGTATACTTGCAAGGGAGAGAGTGCGGTGTGCTGTATTGGTATAACCCGTTGGATGTGGTTGATTTATATCAAGAAAAACTCGGGTTGTAGATTCTGTGGATTTCCGGCCATGTGCCTCAGTCAACGAATGATGTTCCAGTGAGCAGCCATACGTGACAGCATAGTTGAAAAACAAAGTAATCGCAATGTGTCCACAGTGATGAATGGAAGTTGAGAGACGCGATGCCTAGAAGTGGCGCCCCGGAAACGGCTAGCGCGTTGCGCCGCGTGTGGCAGTCGCGAAAATCGACATAACGTCATTGTTCAGGCATCGCTTGGTGACAGCTGCCCACTTCCCGTTCAACAGGTTTCGCTCTCTTCACAAATTACGTGTAGAGGCCTTTAATACTTCACTCACATGTGGAGAGTTTGCAATTGCTTCTAGACACATCTTGGTCCCGACAATCATCTCAGCTCCTACCACATAGAGGTTGCTCCCTCCGAGCACCTTACCCACTACTCACACGAATATGGCAACACGTCGCAAACTCGAAGCCAGCGATAGCGACAATACGCAATTCTCCACAAGCACGTCTAGCGACACGATGCGGCCACCCACGTCGTCGGCACGTCGCTCGCCCTTTCTCCCCACGCGCCTCGAAGCGCAACTCATAGCTATCTACCCCATCACCCTACTTCTTGGGAGCATATTCAGCACTCTTTCACCTTCAACGCGTAGCGCCCCTTATTCAGCAAGCCTACAATCACACCCCACCGAATTCGCGCCCTCGTACTTTGCGCAAAAGAAGAACGTCTTCAATGTATACTTTGTGAAAGTAGGCTGGTTCTGGACAACACTGGCTTTTACCTTTTTCGTCACCCTCCACCCTGGCTTTGGGCAGGGGGCGAGCGCGAGGCGGATCAGGGCGGTGCTGAGGTATGGCCTTGTCACGACGTGGTGGTGCTTTTTGACACAGTGGTTTTTTGGCCCGCCGCTGATCGACCGCGGTTTCCGATTTACGGGCGGTCAATGCGAGTTGTTGAGGAAGTCAGATGCAAGGGAAGACATGAGCAATACAAGAGAGTACATCACAGCGGCTACATGCAAGGCCGTGGGTGGGACATGGAAGGGCGGTCATGATATTTCTGGACACGTCTTTTTGCTCATACTAGGAAGCTCGCTCCTTTGGCTAGAGTTCCTGCCTGCATTGACGCACGTCGAGGGCTTGAGAGATGGTAGGTTAATCACGCTACCCGATGGCAAGGTCGCCAGTGTCGCTGTGGAGAAGGAGCTGGTCAAGGAAGAGGGCGAAGCCACTGCAAGAGGAGTCAAGTTTGCGCTCGGTGTTGCAGGTCTGATGTGGTGGATGTTACTCATGACGGCTGCCTACTTCCACACTTGGTTCGAGAAGTTTACGGGACTCCTGGTTGCCTTTGCGGGGTTGTGGACTGTCTACTTTCTACCGAGAGGCGTACCTCAATTGAGAGCATGGCTCGGAATGCCTGGCGTTTGAATATTTGCCACTAGGCATCTAACGATATTCGGATCACTCCGGCCCTACTCGATGCCAAAGCTAGTACATCACATGGCCCTGATGACAAAGTTGATGAGTTGAGTATAATGAGCGAAAAGCATCGTCGAGGTAGTTTTGTTTGACAGTATGTATCACCACATTCAGTATCCTCTTGCTTTCTTACTCGACCCTCGTCAGATCATGTCACATTGTAAAGGGGCACTTGTTTGGATCGACACTGTGATACTATTACCCCCGTTATTTGACCGAGACGTGGACATACGATGTGGTGCGAAAGCGCTCTTCCCCTCTTTTGCATTTCAGATTTGCAACCCGTGCCCACAATATTGCCATGCTTCTTTTTTCAAGTACGTCAGCCCAGCATTTGTTTTGCGTGCTTTACAAAATGCCGTGAATGAAAGCGCAGACTAATTTTATCCGACTTTCGTCCCGATGCACAGCATGGGAAAGGATCTCGTACCGCCTTCCTAATCCCCCGAGCCGCACCAGAGCCCATGTGTGAGCGATCCTTTATTGGTCACATGTAAGCATAACGGCAGTGCATCTGTGGTACTTGCATCGATCCATAGCTGGTGTTACGGTGTGAACCGGGTAAAAAGCCGCTAGAATCTGCTTTGGTCACCAAAGTGTACCTCACTAAACTCTTCTGCGTATTCTACCCGCCAAGTTCCGTGCCGTGCTCCAATCACACCATTCTCCGCAAGTTTCCCGCTAACCCACAACCGTAGAAGACGTATCCGTTGACAATTCGTTGAACCCCAAAGTTTCCCCACTTCCCCTCTCGATGTAATGTCCGAGTTGCTGGAGTCGGGCATCGTAAGCTCGGTACGCAGGTACCATTGTAGGGATATATATTACGATGTCGTTGAAATCTTACACGATGCGTTGCTTCTACCAAATTCACCTTTGCAATGGTCGGCATGAAGGGTGTTTACACGTTGAGCCTGTTGGCCGGCGTCGCTGTTGGGCAAAATGGCAAGTGTAGATATTCGGCGCATTGGAGACTGACTAGCTAACCAGAGGCAGCAATCAAGGCAGCTGGAACAAATTTCACGTTGACCGCCGATGGCATGTCTTACCTCTTCCACGTGGATACGAAGACTGGAGATCTCATCTCCGATCACTTTGGAGGCCCGACTACCGACTTCACACCACCCGCCAAAATCAATCCTTCCGGCTGGGTCGATAAATTAGGCAACACCCGTCGCGAGTTCCCTGACATTGGCCGTGGCGACTTCCGCTTACCTGCAATTCACATTGAGCACGCGGATGGTGATACCGTGACCGCCTTCCGTTACCAATCCCACGAGATTGTCGATGGAAAGCCTGGTTTACCTAAGCTTCCTGCTACGTATGGAAAAGTTGGAGATGTCACGACTGTCATTGTGCACATGTACGACAACGTATCCGATGTCTCGGCTGCCTTGTCATACTCCATCTTCCCGCGTTACAACGCTATTGCACGTAGCTTCAGCATCAGCAACAATGGAAGTAGCGATATCGTCATCGAAAGAGCGTCGAGCTTCAGTACCGATTTCCCCAACCTCGAGTTGGAAATGATCGAGCCGTACGGTGATTGGTCGCACGAGTTCCAGACTGTAAAGCGCAAGATCGACTATGGCGAGACCTCTTTCCGCAGTACGGCAGGTTACGCTTCGCATCTACACAACCCTTTCTTCACACTTGTTTCGCCCACTACGACTGAATCGACTGGTGAGGCATGGGGGCTTCAGTTTGGTGTGGACTGGTAGCTTTGCCGCGACCGCCCAGCGTTTCGCTAACGGCTATGTGCGCGTGCTTATGGGCCTCAACTCCCTACATGCCAGCATCCGTGTGGCGCCAGGAGCAACTTTCCAGTCGCCCGAAGCGGTGGGCGTCTACTCCTCTAATGGTGTTGGTGGCATGTCTCGTTCATTCCACGATCTCTACCGAAACCATCTCTCCCGCTCAAAGTTCACATCCCAGACGCGACCCATCCTACTCAACTCGTGGGAAGGCCTAGGATTCAACATCAATGAAACATCGCTGGTCAAGTTAGCCGGTGAGGCGGAGGAGATTGGCATCGAGCTGTTTGTCATGGACGATGGATGGTTCGGTGTCGAATACCCGCGTAACAATGACTCCATGGGTCTCGGAGACTGGACGCCCAACCCAGCAAAATTCCCCTCTGGACTGCGCCCATACGTCGAACAAGTCAACAAGTTCAACATACTGAACTCCACAACACCTTTACAATTCGGTATCTGGGTAGAACCCGAGATGGTCAACCCGAATTCGACCTTGTACAAGGAGCATCCCGACTGGGTCTTGCATGCCGGAAAACATGAGCGAACTCTTACACGAAACCAACTCGTCTTGAACGTGGGACTGACCGAAGTACAAGACTTCATCATCGACAGTGTCTCGCGCGTGCTCGACTCGGCCAACATCCAGTACGTAAAGTGGGACAACAACCGTGGTATGCACGAGCTTGCTCGTCCATCAGACGACTACACCTACATCCTGGGTCTCTACCGCGTCATCGACACCCTCACCACAAAGTACCCTGACGTTCTCTTCGAAGGCTGCGCTTCAGGTGGTGGTCGCTTTGATCCAGGACTGCTACACTACTGGAGCCAACATTGGACAAGTGACAACACCGACGCCAGCAACCGTCTCACCATTCAAATGGGCACCTCGCTTGTCTACCCACCATCAGCAATGGGCTGCCATGTCTCCGCCGTCCCCAACCAACTCACCAAACGCAACATCAGCATCGAGTACCGCGGCCACGTAGCAATGATGTGCGGCTCCTTCGGTCTCGAGCTGAACCCCTCCGAGCTCTCCGCCGAAGAAACCGCACTTATCCCATCCATTATGGCAGAAGCCAAAGCCGTAAACCCCATCGTCATCTCCGGCCACTTCTACCGCCTCGCGCACCCTGATGTATCGAATTGGCCCGGTGTCCAGTTCGTCAGCGCTGATGGCGCGCAGGCGGTCGTGTTTGCGTTCCAGCAGTCGTACATGGTGAAGCCGGCGGCACCGCCGCTGAAGTTGCAGGGCTTGGATCCCAAGGCGAGGTACAGTAATGATTTGGATAATGCGACGTATAGTGGGGCTACGTATATGAATGGTGGGCTTAATATCCCCTGGCCTCAGGGCGATTATCAGAGTAAGCTTATTTGGCTGAACAAGGTTACTGCGAATGGATCGCAAGCGAGGGAGGCACCTATCTGCTGATGGGACGGAAGTTGGTGTGTTTAGAATTAACTCTAATAATCTAAACGGTGAAGCAATAGTTTCCTTTGATGCATGTGAAGTAACATTTGGGTGCATGGTTGTTCACATTTCAGCGAATAGAAGTTACCAACTACCCTACCTTCTGACCTCCTCATACTACCACCGCCCACCTACATCCTCGGCGGCAACACAGTAGGCACTGGCGCCCTACTCGTCGTCCTAGGTAACTCGGGCACTGCAGGCGTCGGTACACAAGCACACGCACTACTAACCCTAGCCACGACCTCCTCCCCCGCACAAGCCTGTCTCGCAAAATCCGGCACCACCCCCACATCCTCGACCAACCTCTGGGTAAACTCGCCGCAAAACTGCTGCGAAGCCTCCAACCTACCCTCCACATTGGCCGTCCTCATCGCACTCAGACAAGTATCCGCTTCGCAGACACTCGGCTTCTTACACTCCTTGCTCGTCATCTTGACAACAAAGGACCCGCGCTCAATGGTATGCACGAAGATGAACCCGGATTTGAACTCTGCATAGCTGGACCATGAGCCTGTGAAGGCTACAGTGCCTCCGCCTTCATTCTCGTCGTCTTCGGGATAGATGTCGAAGAAGCCTGCTTCGCAGAGCCCTGCGCCACTGGGGTCCTGGGTGATGGATGCGATATCCAGGACGCTGAGACCGTTGCCGTAGTTGGATTGGTACAGATGCTCTCCAACGATGTACTGGTTGTGATCGATTGCTCTGCGGGTTCCCTCGTAGTTGCCGCTGTAGAATGGGTTTTCCAGGTCGCGGATGTCGAAGATGTGTGTGGTGGGTAGGCCTTGCGTCATGGGGCCTACGCGGGCATCGCGCTCGTCAAATTCGTCATCGAGGAAAATGTATTCTTGCCATGTTTCGTTGTTGACGACGCCTTGGTGGACGTATTCGGCGCCAGGGTAAGTGGTGCGTGAGATTATGGTTGTTGTGTTGCCCGCTTTGTTTGTTACGTCGTAGATGGTCAGCGTGTCTTCGTTGTAGCCGTAGCAAATGTCGCGGCCATAGTATCTCTTGTCGGGTCCGCGGTACACGAGACATTGGGCGTCGTGCACGTAGCCGTCTGCGGAGGCGCAGCCAGGGGATGTGGGGTTAGCGGGATCGCTCATGTCGATGAAGATGAGACCTCCACGGCAGGGCAGGTCTCCGCGCACACGGATTGTCTCGTTACCGCCAACAGAGCCGACGGCTACGGCGTAGTTGAGCTCGGGGTTGACGACGATGTTGTGTGTTCGGCCTACGGGTAGGTCGTTCCACTCAGTACCCAAGCCCCAGTGTCCTGTAAGATCATCTTGAGTGAAGTTCCTCGGCTCACTCCCATCTAGATCGAGAAGCTTCTTCATGTCAAAGATCTGGACGCCGTGCTTGATAGCCTCGCTTCCAATCACCGCGTAGTCTCTCATAACGCGGATCTCGCGCCACCGCGAACCGATGGCGTCGTATGGAGGCAGACGTCCAAGATAGATGAGCTTGCCTTCGCTGCTGATTTCCGCAAAAGCAGTGCCGTCGAACTGGCCAATAGCGACAAACTCCCTTCCATCTGAAGATGTCCAGCCCCAGGACGAAGAGCCCTGGCCCTGGGAGCTACCAAGGAGCGAATGGGGAAGGAAGTGGTACAAATCGATCTACAATCATTTAGCAATTTTTTATACTGCCTATCAGTAACAGATGGGAAACGAACATTGTGGCATTTGAACGTGTTGTTAAAGTCTCCTGGGATCGCTGCCGCAAACCCGTTCTCACAAAGTGTATACCCCAGTTCCGGATACCTCGAGCTATTCATTGCCCCCGCGGCGATTTCGGCATCCCACTGTGCCTAGAACCCGATTAGTATTCATCTCCAGCAGTTTAGTTTAAGAAAGTGATTTCTCACCATCTTCATCCCCATGATTCTCGCATGTACAGTCCCATCCGCATACTCCTCCGACGTCCCCAACGCAGCCGCATTGCTCAACCCCAAGAGCCCAGACCCCAGGGCCAAAATCTCATACAAACGAACCATGACTAGCCCCACAAATTACTCACTAAAACTAACGGGTAACAGGCACACCAAATAAGTATGTTTAAAGCCCGGTGCTTCTCCAGACTACAGGATATCCACCTCTCACTATATACCCCCCACCCAAAACCCACACCTTCGTATCTTTCTTCTCCGCCCCCCAAAATCTGCCCGATCATCCGTCCATCGTGCCTTGGTCACACGATGGTGCAATGCTACTACAGCTCTTGAGCCCCCATGGCACACATGTAGTCGGCAGGCAGACGAGGTCGTACAATCCGAGTTAAGAAGGTCAATAGATACGCACGGTTAGTACCAAGATGGGTTTTGCTTGGTATGCTACTATTACGTTGGAGTACCTAGGTACCCACACTGTTGAGAATGGCGAATGGTGGCCTACATGCTTGGCCAGTGACGACAGGTGGGTAGGTTGGACTTGGCGAGGTTCGGCGCCGAAGCTCGTGGGCTGGGCGTTGGGCTTGGGAGGTGGGATGGGTAGATGGGTTACCCCGTTCGTCCGCTGGGAGGAGTGAGAAGAGTCTTTTTTTGGCGTTGCTGCCTTGTGCTAGACTTCGGACATTGCCGGGCGGGCTATTTGAGCGTTGAGGTAATCTTAGGTGCTTCCCTCGCTTCATGTCTTCATGTTCATCATATCTGTAATTGGATAGACAAATGTACTATGCCAATTTACTAAATAGTCTAAGACATTTGCTCATAACTTCATCAGTTGAACAAGTGTAATTTTTCTCTTTGCTTCCCAACTTCTTTATATCATTCCCGCGCAAATACAGTCAACAAACACGCCATCGCAACATCAATCACTCATCCGAGAATTCGTCTGCGAAAGCAATCTTGTAATGAATGACTCGGACTTTCAGAGAAATTAAACAAAGCAACACTAAAATGCATTGGACAGGTCGCGATCGAAGTGAACTAGAGAGTTACAACTTCGAGCAGTGAGGCTCTGTCCTCACCCTGCGCAAACCGTTGGAAAAACGCTTAACTCATTCGGTGCCAGCCGGTTGACAATGGGGTATAATGCTTTTGGTAGACTCGCAAACGCCGTTGAAAACATATGTACCAAGGAAGAAAAGCAATCAGCCGTTATCGTGAGGTGGCGTCGGTCATGGCTATTCGTAACAAGCCATGCTGGTATTGTCGACGTTCGATTGTATGTGCATGGTCGAAATGCACTGATAGTAGCCTGAGGCGTCGAGCAAGTCCCGATCCTCTCGATCAATCATCGCATACTACGTCGAAGCTGCGAGATATCGCGCGATCGTATCTAAGTAGATACGTGGTTTAGCGCCAACCTTGTTGGCTAAAATGATGGTTACTGAGCGGTGGCCTACCATTGTTCATGTTCAAAGTGGGATCCATGAAAGATTGTGCCCAATCCTCATGGGTCATCAGCTCATCGAACTGCATATTGTTTGGACCCGGCATCTGCATGCCTGGCTGAGGTGGATAGCCCCTGTATTGCTGCGCGCCTTGCATCAAGTACATCGGCATTGGGCCGAAGAGTTGGGCCTCGTTGTCATTCATGTGACGACCCGGTCCATTGGGCATGCTGGTCGGAGCGAACATGGCAGGGTGGCCTTTCGGATCCATGCTGCTTGACAACTGCGGGGGGTGGCTTCCAGCTGCCGGTGTACCAGTAGCGCGGTCGAAAGTCTGAGGATGCTTGTTTTCAAATGCAGTCATGGGCTGATTTGGATAGGCAAGTGGGTCTGCAGAGGGGAACATCATGGTTGAAATATCCGCAATTGGAACGTTTAGACCGGATGGATCCGCAAAGGAACTATTCAGGACTGAGGGGCCAAAAGTGGAGGGTTGTTGAGAATCATGAATGGGAGTCAACCCAAAACTTGGGAGACTATCATTTGAGGATGTAGGTGTGAGATCCGGCACACCGTCGAACAAATTGGGATTGGAAATGGAGTGTGAGGGATAAGAAGAGCCCAAACCAAGGCTGCTAAATTGGTTATGAGATGAAGAAAATGGCTGGGCCTGGCCAGCGGTTTTGACGTTGGGAATAGAATCCGGATAGGTACTCGCACGGCGAGGCACTGCGGCTTCGTTTCCGAGTAATGTGGGGCATGTGCCAAGGGACTGTGGTGAACTTCCCTGTCGGCGCTTCCTCGATGCGATGATCTCTCCGCCGTGCCTGATCGACTCCGGCAGACGCTCAAACATACCCTACAAAACCTGATTAGCATATTTGCTCGTGCCTGGCCAATGACATACGTACTTTCAGCGCGGTGCTGCATCTATCAGCTGCCAGGCTTCTTTTGGCAAAGTAAGCCAAGACTTCTTTTCCTTCAACAGCATCTCGAAGTAACTCGAAGCTGGTGGGACTGGTCGGATTCTCCAATACAAAATACAGGATTGATACAATGGCGAAAAAGGTCGTGTACATGGAGAACCAATACGCGCCGGCCAGTAGTCCGCGCTTACGCATCTCCGTAGAAATGTGGATGATGTTTCGCGAGACATTGACACAAGCGGACGCGCATGCAAAAGCTCTCTGGTCGATTGTACTAGCATTGCACGATTGCGAAACATAGTGCAGGAATGGTCGATAGAGCAAAAGCTGCGCATGACCGAATGCCATACGGAGAAGCTGTTGGACCCTGATATAAGTTAATAAGCGTTGTCATTAACAGATGCAAACGGCTTACCTCTTAATAATTGGCGGGGCCTCCCCACCGGGCTTGAGTGCAATAGGCAACTCATCTAGCCAACGCGCCAGGTCCTGTTCGATCTCTCGGATCTTCGAGTAACCCACAGTGTATGTGACTGAGCCCTTGGCGCTGGATTGTGTTCCTTTGATAGGATACACGTACTTGCAGGTCTTGTTCAGTACTTGCACAAGACGCGTATGGGCATTGAAGGCCGCCATGACGGAAATGCTGCCCTCTGGCATTGGAAGAATCTCGGTCTCGGTAATATATTCGTCGTCGACCTCCACTGGCGATTCTTGGTCAATGTCCTCGTCTTCGAGAAACCGGGGCAATCCAAGCATGGCTCCAACATAAGTATCCATTCTTCGGATGACCCAGAAGATGCGCTTGCGTGTTTCAGACTCGATGGGGTTGAATTTCACGTTGAAAGAACGGTGCAATCCCATGCGTAGTGCCGAACGCAAAGCAACTCCTATGTACGCATAGCAAGTGCTGAGCTTGGCTGAGGACTGCAGGAACTGGATCATGAATATAATAGCTTGGAGCGAGGTTAGATCTCTGCAATCGGTAATGTCCAAGAGTTGCCTGGAGGCCTTGAAATACTTGAGACTGAGGCTTGTCAGTCAAATTCGAGTGTGTGTGCTACAGATTCATGACTTACCCCTCGTCGGTGAGCGAGTCATAAGTTGGCGTATCAATCCCGTTGTCGTTTTCGGAATAGAGTTTGCCCAGAGCTAGTACTGCATACAGCAAAGGAAGGAAACTAGCATCGGTACTGGTGTAGTTCTCGGCTGGAACGTCGTAGATGCGGGCCATCTGCTTGTGGAAAGTGGGGAGGTGGACAACGCGGAGCATTGCACTGTATTGGATGATTGCACTGTCACAGAGAATACGTGCTTCTTCATGGGTGGGTAGAACCACACTGGCTGAGCCGGCGTTGGATCCAGCAATTGATAAATTACTCGGAGAAGGCGCGTCATTGGACATGGTCCGGTGCCTGAGAGACGGGGAATCGTCTGATGGAATTTGGAACATATCATCAAACTGACGTAGTCCTCGCATGAAGCTCAAGCCTGAAGAGTGACCTTGATAATCCCAGTTGCCTTCTTCGTCGAGATCCAGCTGGCCGGTTGCTTTTACCATGGCCTCCAAGTGCGAGTCGGACATGTCATCAGTCTGCGGAGGTACATGATGCTGAGGTACACGTGAATCTACGGGCATTGCGAGTGGGCGCGGAACGGACTGCGATAGATGGGGTAGCATGCCATTCTGCAGGTGGGTGTCGATGGCGGGATCGTTCAAATCCACGGTCGGCAACACCACGTGAAGTAGGGCTTTTGCACGCTTCAATTGGCTCTCCAGAGCCTCGATGTACTGAGGAGTCGCATTTCGTCGCCTGTTGGACGGCTGGTCATATGTGCTGAAAAAAAGGTCAGTTATGCAAGTGGCAAGGTGCTAGTGCAAGCGAATTGGGCATTTACCATTCTGTGCGACACGATTAGCATGCATGCAAACAAAGTTTGGGTTCGGGTGGGAAGCTCACCATAACTGTAGACTGTACAGTGCGTACATGGCTGCTTGCCGTCGCATTTGATCTTCTTCCGGCGGCACTCGTCGCAGGCCCTCGTCACTCGTCGTCTCTTTTGGGGCTGTGGCTTCGGTGCCTGATCGTCATTGGGGTCTGAGTTCTCCTCGCCATACTCAGACGTGTCCTCGGGCTGTACTTGGTGGGGGCCCGAGCGGGCAGAATCTGCTGCGAGGCTCTCTGTTGTCGTGAGGGCTGGGGAAGTCATGGGTGTCGGATAGAGAGCATGTCCTGTGGCTGGGGGGATTGCGGCGCCTAAGAGTAAACTGGTGGATGCTCATGACAGGGTTGTGAGGCGGCGGAGAGGCTTGTGGGTCAGCCTTTAGCTTCGGGTTAGCGCCCTCACTCGCATGGGTACTGGGCACTGGCACCGTCCCGCCCTTGGACGCCGGCATCGAATCGTTGGTGCTCCGCCGAGTCGTCCGCTTTTCACCTTCACCCGCAGGCCAAGCTCGAGACTGGTCAGCGCATCTCGGCGAGCTGAGTCTGTATGCAATTCCCTAGCATGCCTCCTGTCCATGTCGGCTATTCAGGCAACCAGCTGGGGCATGGTGAAGATTGCCTTGTTTCCCATACAATGGCAGACCGCCCTCGTTCCCCCCCCTGCTCCCACCTGAGCATCTCACGACCAGCTTGGCTATTGGCAACCCTCCCAAAGCGTTTAGCACAAGGCAGCGGGAGCTGCACCACTATCCTTGCCAAGTCATCAAGCACAGCCATGCTACGATCGGTACCCTGTGGCGCCGTACAGCTGCTATCGTGCTCAGGTTCATATGATGAGACACAGATGAGGGGTCTACTGGCACGGGGGGCCGCCACCGACGCCACCCAAGAAACAGTCTGTCGTGACGGCTTGTAACATCAGGCCAAAGCTGCATCCAAGCGAAGCGGAGCCCCGAACTGGCTTTGCATTGTTGCAGCTTGCTCGTTCGCCATGCTTCCTCGTGTGCTCTAAAGCCTCTGCTTGCAGCAAAGATCATCAATGGGCAATTCGCTTACAACCGAACGATGCACTTGCTTCGGTCCTTGATTAGCAATTCTTGCCATGTACCCCAAGCCTACCACTTTCACCCTACATTCGGCGTGTCATCAAGGGCGAGCTTCCGAAACTTCTACCTCCACTTGCACCAGCCTTGCGCGACGTTTCGTAGCGCCGGATAAAGTCGCCAGGAAGGGTGACGGCGGTGGCTGAAATGCGGCTGTTGCCCTTGTCTTGATGTGGTTTACAGTCTCCCGGCCGCCCGAGCTCGCAATGCACCACGGCCCTCTGCCATGGCTTGGTGCTGGCTTTGGCAAGCGGAGGCCCTGTAGAGAACGTGGTAGAATTGGCTCGTTTACAGTGTAGAATACACAACCTAGTGCACTGGTAACGTCGAAATCTTGAACTGGGCAGCCTCTTCCTGTCTGTACTCATCACAATCAGACCACTCCTGAACATGACCGAATACGGTCGGAATACGCTGTGGGTCCAACTCCCGCCTCAGTTTCCCTATCCACACAGTCTACCAGCAAAGCGTATTGGATGCACGGAGCGAGTCTGCGAGAGCATCCTTCAGAGTATTTACACGAGCGCAAATCCGAGCAAAAACTCTGCTCAAGCAGTCCTGTCCCTGCAGCTACCATTGCACCGCGGCTTCGGCAAACCGCAATCGACGGCTCGCCGTTCGTCGATCGTTGTTTGGTACCCGTTGCCCTGTGAATCTCACAAACCTCGTCTCCGAAGTACCGTTGCTGCAGATATGTCATACTGAGGTTTCTTGGCAGAATCCACGCCTCCGTATGTGGACGCCAATACGCTGGTAATGGGAACTACCCTGGCTAGGTACGACTTTTAGTGTTGCTTGTCCCAAGCTAGACGTGCCGATAGCCGGCTGACTCAGCACTTTCGCTTACTATCACACCTGTCGTTCCGCCCCTTCCCAGCACAGATACATTTGTCGATTCGACACCAATTCCTCCTTTTCAGCCACAAAGCTGACTATTCTCTTAGCCACAGCACCAGCCACGCAAGCGAGCATCAGTCACAGATGCACTGCGTCCTGCCCAGGCGGGGCCACGCATTTGCCCATCCAGTGCAACAGGGTATGCGTCGACTCACACTTGGCTGGTCAAGACGTCATTTGCATAATGCCAAGGAACAGCTGTCTCCAGATTGGCCGTGACATCGCAATTTGCTGTGGCGCATGACATGGCTTCTTGTAGCCAAGTCTGCAGGCTAAACACGTGGTTGGCATCCAACGCTTGGTACATATTGCGCCCGACTGTACGTAAAAGACGGACAACATGTTTGCCAGGAGATATGGTGCATAGTCGTGCAATTAATCCAAGTTGACAGCTGTGACGTCGGGCGCAGATGTATGCGGTGACCTGATCGACGACCCCAACCCCATGCCTACTCCGAAATGCACGCTTTTTAGGTGCCATGATCGAGAAGCATCGAGTGAAACGATCAGCGCATCGGTAATTTAGTGGTAAACAATGTGCAATATCGGAAGAAAAACTCTGGCCAACACGTGTTTTTGACAGCAACAGGCGTTGTGCAAAGGAATAAGTGGTATAAACAAGCATCGGCCTTGCATGCATTAGGCTTTTGGTGGACCAAAGTTTGGATTAACTTAAGACACCAGCGTATCCTGGATCCCTCACTGAAACCGTGTCCTTGGGTTGCGCCACTGCAGAGATAATCCGGTGAGTGTCGAGGATCGTTATCTCCACTAGCACCTTGGTTGGTAGTGGTGGTGTTGCGATGTCTAAAAGTAATTATTGCGGTTGAATCAGCTCAACCTCTCCGCAAGAAAAGCGTCTCCGGGTCAACACTCTATTTCTTTTTTTTCTTTAGAGAATGCAGGGCCACTCAGGGTAGCAACTTCCTTGCGCTGCATCGTGTGTACTGGCGGCAGAGTTGGGAAGATGGTTATTTTGCTCTTGGCGAAAAGCAATGGGTCGTCTTCAGTTGTAACTTATCTGGTCCATGATGAGATTGGGGTTCAGTAGCGACGTTGTTGATGTTGAGAACCAAAAAGTTGAGAACCCATTGAAGTCGGCCCTTGAGGGTTGCAGTCGACACCTCATAGCTGTGGAGTACATAGCAGCTAGACTATGATAAATCTGATGGGGGTTGCAATGAGAAACGGCTTGTCAGCTCTAGTAATGACCGCGCAGCCAGAGCTGATACCAGGATCAGCTTGCAGGTGGAAGTCATAGGGTAAGCGCGAAAGTGAGTGACAATGTCGGCAAGTACGACGTACCCTGCCAACCCCACAGAAAAGAATGATTACACACTCGGTACAGAGAGCCGGAGGGTTGAATAGATTTGCCTTGAATGATTGAGAAGTAACGGCTTGTCTGCCTTGGTAAGTGGTACCTATGGCAATGGGAAATAGGACAGAGCAAGGCAGGGTCATGGTCGTTTCTAAGCATAAGTTGGTTGATGCTGGACATTGCAATGGTACAACAGAAAAACGACAAGATGCTGGTTCAGAACCACAGACCATCTCGTACCTTGATTAGATGAAACAAGGCGTGAGAAATGCCGTCTAGATGACCATGGCTGTATCACTGCACGAATTTCCGCCCTAGTGTCGGCGGCTCCGCACACGTCGGAAATGTGAATGTGGACTACAAGGGATGTTTGTATATGGCAGTAACTATGACATGCACGCGCTAGCCAAGGTGGTGTTAGTGAAGAGGTAGACTACGGCAGTGGACGTATTGTAGAATCCGAGGAGCCTGGGAGCTGCGGTAACGAGAACGAGGAAGAAGTGGGTGTGGGAGAGGCTGGGCAGCCAATGCAACCAACGAGATGCACCTGACTGTAAGAAGTCTTACAGCCCTAAAGAGTCAGAAGCACATATATAGCCTTACCACGCGTAGTTACACGTCTTTGCATAGTGTTGGGGAGTAATAAATCCAATGTGTATGCAAACGTGAGGGCTCCTTTTCCCTATGATGGGGTGCGGGTAAGGCTCCTTGGCGGGATCCCAGATGTTCAGGGTCTCAGTGCGGCGCTGCTGTTGAAGACGTCGTGCTCCATGTCCCTATCCATCATTCACAGAGCGATCAAATGAGACTGCAGAACGAGCGACACTCGGTGCAAGAGAGGCGAGCTGGATGTTTGGAAGATGCGCAGAAGACTGAAGTTCGTGTGGTGATGAGCAGCACGCTAAACGCACGGGCCATAGCACACACCACAAGTCGGCTAAGCGAATATTTCCAATGGTGGCATCGGATTCTCTCCAACGAGCTCTCCCTCACGACAACTAACCTCACAGCACACCGGAGTCGAGCAAAATGTCGACATTCGAACCCGTCATTGTACGTACGCACCGAATCAACGAAGCCCTATTTCGGCGTTGGCTGTCGCTTTTCGCCGCCATGGCAATCCGCGCTCGTCAACAACAGCAATGTCCCATGGAGCCTTTGGCTGACAGCGCACCTAGGTCATCGACGGCAAGGGCCACTTGCTCGGTCGCCTCGCCAGCACCGTCGCCAAGCAGCTCCTCAACGGCCAGAAGATCGTTGTCGTGCGATGTGAGGCCCTCAACATCTCCGGCGAATTCTTCCGCGCGAAGTGTACGTACATGCACCGAACCGAGCAGGAGACGCGAGGAGCAGGCCACAATGATTGCTTTGCAATGGGAGGCATACACGAAGAGGACGACGGTGTGGTCGACCATGTGCATTGTGGCTGCTCTTCTGCGAAGCGCTCTCGGGACACTCGAACCACCAAGACGACAACAACTGACAGGATGATACAGTGAAGTACTCGGCTTTCCTGCGCAAGCAGACCCGTTACAACCCCACCCGTGGTGGTACGTTTCCATTCACACACGATATGCGAGTCGCAGAGCTCGCATCGTCCCTGTTCGGCACATGAGCTAACTTAGCCGGCCAGGTCCCTTCCACTTCCGCGCCCCCTCCAAGATGTTCTGGCGAACTGTCCGTGGCATGATCCCTCACAAGACCGCCCGCGGTAAGGCCGCCATGGAGCGCTTGAAGACGTTCGAGGGTGTTCCCGCTCCCTACGACAAGAAGAAGCGCGTCGTCGTTCCCCAGGCCCTGAGGGTTCTGAGGCTCAAGCCAGGCCGCAAGTACTGCACTGTCGGTCGTCTTGGCCACGAGTTTGGCTGGAAGTACCAGGACGTCGTTGCCCGGTACGTCGATTCAACCGCCACTTGTAGCTTCACTTTTGCTAATTCATCTACAGTCTCGAAGAGCGCAGGAAGGTCAAGGGTGCCGCCTACTACGAACGCAAGAAGGCTATCCGACGGCAGATGGCCGAGGCCAAGAAGACGGCCACGGTGGACAGCAAGACCCAGGAAGAGCTTACCTCGCTCGGATACTAGATATCGGCAGTTGATGAACAGTGTCGGTTTCAGTGACGTGGTTCGGCGTGGATTGCATTGGGCTCATGGGATGTTTCTTTCCTCTACTATACTCCGACCTTTCGAAAGGGTGTCCAGGCTAAAAGAGCACATCAATACCAGGGTGCTTACGTGTTCATGGGTATCTTCGTGGTCGGTCTGCTGTGTCTTCAGGTACTCTTCCGGCTAGAAGCAATACGAAAGAAAAATGCTAGCTGATGTCAAGCATGGTGACGGCGTTGAGCGTTCAGTAATAGACTGGTGGTTACATTTTCAATCCAATGCGTGCATTGCACGAAGCGCCAGACCATGATGATTGCAATTGGACTGTTTATCACGTTCTCGCCCAACTTGCCGTCTGTGTGTGCGCGAACCACGACGGTCGGGCTAATGGATAGCTGGCTGGCAGAGGCGGAATTGACATGTGCCCTCGGCTCGGACGTCGTGCCGCAACGCGACCCTTCCCCAGATTTCCCCAATGCGTGACTTGAGCTTTATTGCCGGCTGTCGACAGGCCCTGCTTACACGGTCATGCCCTACACGTTGATTGTGACAATGACGGTGTAAGTGATTTCCTTTTTGAACACGGCCCAGGTTATGAGCGCCTCCGCTTTTTCCCACAGGCTTTGAGGCAGGTTTCCCAGTCTCGGACATGTCTCGCATTTTAAGCCGCAGCGGAGCTACTCCGCACGCTGGCGTCGATAGTCTGAGCTCAGCTTGGACAAATGTGTAGATCAAATAGATCGATCGCGTGTATATAAGGCCCTGTCCAAACTCTGTTCCGATTGAGCATCGTCGAATAACATGGAGGGCGCCAAAGACCGTCTCAAGCAGCTTGCATCCCACTTCACGTCCGCAAACCCCGTGCCCGGCCCTGCGCCCATCCACCCCGGCGATAGCCACGAATACCATCACCGACACAATTTCCACACCCTAAGCCCGACATGGTTCCTTTGGCGCGCGGCGCAGATAGAACCTGATGCGACGGCCATCTACCACAGAACCGCGAACAACCAGATCCTACGGCGCTCGTATGCCGAAGCCGCTGACCGCGCGCGAGGATTGGCATACTACTTGAGAAAGCATGGATACAAGCGTGTAGGCATATTGGCGACCAACACGCCGGCCTTCTTGGAAAGCATCTTTGCCATTGCCGCGGCTGGGGCTGTCAATGTAGCCATCAACTATCGGCTGAAGCACGATGACATTAGTTACATCTTTCAACACTCGGATGTCGACATGATTATTGCCGACACAGAGTTCGTCGGTCTTTTGGACGATTATCGAAAAGAGCGACCGCATGTACCTATACTCGTGGATACGGATACAGATGCGACTGAAGGTGAGCTCTCGGGGCCATTCGACGACGCGGTGCTGGAGGGACTAAAGTACGATATCGAGCAAGGAGGAAATGGCTGGGCACATCTCGAGTCGCAAGCAAAAGACGAAGAGCATGTTATTGCGCTCGCCTATACCAGCGGAACGACCGCACGGCCAAAGGGCGTTGAGTATACCCACCGTGGTGTTTACCTCGCTGCAATGGGCAACGTCATTGAATCCGGCCTCAACTACCATACCGGGCGCGCCAAGTACCTATGGACTCTGCCAATGTTCCATGCCACAGGCTGGACATTTCCCTGGTCCGTGACTGCTGTCCGAGGAACCCATTACTGCCTTCGCAAGATAGATTACCCTGAGATCTGGCGCCTGCTTAAGGAAGAAGGCATCACCCATTTCAACGCCGCACCCACTGTCAACACGCTATTGTGTGCTGCCAAGGAAGCTGAGCGCCTGCCCCAACCAGTCAGAGTCACGGTAGCGGCAAGCCCTCCTTCAGCCTGGCTCTTTGAACAAATGTCGGACCTAAACTTGCATCCTGTGCACGTCTACGGTTTGACCGAAACATACGGCCCTATAACCAAAGGCTATCATATGCCCGAATGGGATAAACTTCCTATCAAGGAAAAGTACGACCGTATGGCGAGACAAGGACATGGATTCATCACTGGGAAAGCGACGCGCGTTATCAAGACCGAACAAGCCCCTGGCGTACTTATCGATGTAGAGAAGAACGGCCAGGAAATTGGCGAAATCATCTTCGAAGGCAACATCTGCGCAAAGGGGTATTACAAAGACGCCGAGGCAACGCGCAAGTTATGGGAAGGGGGTTGGTTGCACACTGGGGATCTAGCAGTCTGGCATCCCGACGGGGCTATCAAAATCCTTGACAGAGCAAAGGATATCATCATCTCTGGTACGTCATGTCCGCTCTTCTCAAACACAAGATGATAATACAAACTTGCTAACCAATGCCCCTTCTAGGCGGCGAAAACATATCCTCCGTCGCCCTCGAGGCAATGCTCAGCACGCACCCCTCCATCCTCGAAGTGGGCGTCTGCGCCGTCCCCGATTCGCACTGGGGCGAGCGACCCAAAGCTTTTGTCACGACGAAAGATGGCACGAATAGCGAGACGTTGGGCCAGGAGGTGATTCAGTGGGCAAAGGAAAATAGCGCTATTAGTCGGTTTATGGTGCCGAGGGAGGTTGTTGTTGTGAAGGAGTTGCCCAAGACGAGTACGGGGAAGATTCAGAAGAATGTACTTAGGGAGTGGGCGAGGAAGGGGGTTGTGGAGCAGTAATTGTGGGTGTTTGAGTAAAAATTGACTATTCTACCCCGCTTGTACTGTGACTCCTTCTGTCCTCGTCTCCTTCATGTACATGGTTGAACAGACCAGGTGACAGAAATGGATAGCTTGGAAAGAACCATAGAACCGTTTTAGGTGGTAGATGGTCTTGTACTCAATGTTATCGTCTCTCACGACTGCTCTGTCATAACATGAAATGAAAGTATAGACGGAAGATGTGGTAAGCAATTACCGGAAAGAGTGCGCATGATAAGATGATATATAGTCTGCTCTATCGATCTTTTCGAAAACTCAAACACAAAATTATTCCATCTCTATCCCTCTAGAATGCGTTGTATCTCTCCTCTTCTCACTTCCAAACACCTCCACACACCTCAACATGCACTCTACCTTTTCTTCTCCGCCTCGGCCGCCTTCTTGGCCGCCGCCTTCTTCGCCTTCTCCCTTCTCCCAACCGCAGCCTCGGCACCAATGCCACCAAACACCAGCCCCACACCAAGCCACTGCATGCCCGTAATCTCGTGTCCAAACCACCACACACTCCATACCATAGTCAGCATCTTCCTCGTCACGGTAACGGTAACAAGCAGCAGACTAGAAAAGTGGGCGAGCGTATGAAAGATGAAAACCTGACCAATAGCTCCACACGCCGAGAACATGAGAACATCCCAGCCCACGGTCGGATACTGTGTAATAAAGTTGAGGGCATCAGAGAGTTCCGAAGACGCAGTACCGAGATAAGCGCTCAGAGGCGTACTCGCCAACAGCGGCGTAACCAACAGATAGCCCACCGTCAACGCCGTCGACATGATATTCTGCGCACACATCATCTGAGGTCCAGTAAAGCCCTTGAAGGAGGTGAAAATATGATCCTGGACCGTATTCGTAAGGCCGTCAAACAGTAGATTCACTCCCAACAGCACCAGCCCAATACTCTGTGACGCATCCGCCTTCACACCTTTCTTCGCCGCCTTCTTCGCCGTCGACGGACTGTACAAAGTAAACACAGCCACGCCCAACGTCACGAAACCAATGACGGCGTACTTGTACAGCGGATACCGCTTCTGGAACAGAGAGATGTGCAGAAACATGACGGGTAGCAGTTTGCAACTCTTGGCTAGGATGAAGGTTACGTAGTCGATGTGTTTTAGACTGGCGTAGCCAAAGGGCGAGGCGAGCGACGAGGTGAGGGCGATGCCGAGGAGGGGCAGGAGGATGGCGCGCGAAGGGAAGATTGGAAGCACTTTCCGCGTGCCGGTGACGGGGTCTTTGCGGGCGGAGAGGAAGAGGTACATGAGGCCGGTTATGGCGGCGAAGGCGGATTGTACTGTGTTGAGGAAGATGGAGTAGGTGAAGCGTTGGTGTGTGGGGCCGTGGGTGGTGGTTGTTAGACGCTCTTGGATCCACGCCCAGGTCATGCTGTTGGGGGAGAGTTGTAGTTAGTTACGGGTATTCCTTCTTCTTTTCGGCGCGCTGTTGGGCTGATGTGTCGACTTACAAACTACCGTATATACCTGCTACACATATCACTAGTTGGAAGAGACCTGCTTCCTTCTGCTCTTGTGGGTTTCGCGCAAGTAGCTCCGCTTGCTCTTCCAACTTCTGCTCAATCGAGTGCATGGTGCCATCTTGTTGGTGATGCGCATTTCCATTTGTGGTGCCGTTGGTCTGATTGACGTTTCGTCGGACGGGTTCGGCCATTTTGTGTGCACTTGCGTGCTTGTAAAAGTCGTCTAATGCTTGATCAAGTACACGTCGCGTCTTTTTGACCCTCTACAAATGAATAATGCACACGAAGAAGCCGCGGACCAACCGTAACAGAGGCACAGTATAGACAGGAAGATGATGGAAGAAAAGCTAGGCAAGGAAAAGTGACAACTGTCTTATTAATCTCGAGGTTTTACATGGACTTTTTTGCGCAAAAGTCAACCGTGGCATCAAGTCGCGCCAGCCCCGGAGCTAAGACGGAGAACGCTAATTGACCTTGTGGGCACGAGCACGAGCCGTCCAGGTTCGAGGGCGACTTCAGGGATCGGAACTCGGAAACGGGAATCGGAATCTAGCGCCGCGCGCCGCGCGCCGCCCACCAAGGTCCCAGACTTTCGCTAATGGCGGGGGGGGGGGGGGGGGCGCTCCCTCCAATGCCAGCTCCCTTGGTGCTTGCTTCACTTTGCGGCAACGGTGCACAAGCTTGGAGGGGTTTCTCGCCTGCATCCGTGTGTACATTTGTTGCTTGTATTTGGAGTATGCTATATACTTGTACTCTACCCATTGTAGGTTCAAAGCTGATGCTACAAACGCCCTTGGCTCCGCCTGTCGTAAAATCGTGAACAATGCTCCCAAATAGAGAGAAAAAGAAACGCCGGGATCCTGCAAGCCGAGGCGGGCGAATGCAATGTCACACCGCCGCCCTCCCAGCCGCAGGCCATGCAAAACACAAACACCCCATCAAGCCTCACCCCTCACAATCTTCGCAACTGCGCTTTTGACCAATACCCACATGGGCCCCGCATTGACTTCCTTGCCGTTTAGATCCTCCATCCCGCACTTCCTCTTCCAAGCCTCCCTCCACCCCCTCTCCGTGTCCTTTTGCTTCAATCGCATCAGCTGACCAGACCTCTTGCCTTGCCTCCTATACCCCGCCATGAAGGCATCCCACTCTTTTCTCTCCTGCACAAAAATGACGACGCCGTTGCCTGCGTCGATTGGCTGGCTGCCTCCCGACAGGATCCGCGCCTCCCACGCGCTGCCGAGAGACTGGAACGTGAATGTCGACGTATCCAACACGTAGTACCTTTTGCGCTTGCCGAACTTTGATGCGGCGCTGGATGACGGTGTAATCCAGTGCGTGGCGCGTGAGTAGATGCCGTCTGCTAGTGCTTCGTGGAGGAGCTCCGACGCTACGTATTGACGACACTGGAGCAGCAGCTTGTTGCGTAGCAACGTGATGTTGATGTCTGGGTGTGCTGTAGGAACCTGTGGCGAGTGGGAGAGCAAGGCCTTGTTTTGCGTGCGTGTTGACCGCGCGGGGGGCTTGGATATCCGTCCAGACGCTCGTATGACTGTGATGGGGTTGGTGAATTGGTGGGGTGCTATCGTCTGCGTCTGAATAGGCGCCATGGTTGTCAAGTCTTGTGAAGCCGTGGATGCTATGTGGTCGTATCGTAGTCAAGGTGTACTAAGGCCGAAGATTTTTGGGAGCACACAAGTTTGGAGAGGACGGAAATGGAGAAAAGAGGGAATGTGCGGTCAAGAAACATCTTTAACCACCATGCGTCCCTTCCTAGAACAGCATAGCTCATGAAAAGACAGCTGCCATCCCAGCCTCGGAAATCAGTCGGGCGTCAAATCTGTCTTGCCTAGTGTACCAATCCTAGTCGTCCTGGGCGATCCTGGCAGGATTAGCGACCTGTCCGCTGGCTGCCGCCAAACCTCACCGCGGGCTTGTGCCGCGTGGGGTGCCCTCGTCTACACATCAACTTCCGCCGCCCGACTACAACATTATTACCATGCTTGATACCGTATTCGAGAATGCATGCCGTGTAGCTGAAGTGATGAAGACTCTGGAGTGGCCTGTGGAGATCACCTTGTGGGTCCGAGCGTAGCCCCATGACGTACATCAACTATTCGCCTAGTCAGAACGAAGGGTCCGACCACTCGCACAGCCTTGCCTGTACGTGCTCTCATTTCCCCCATTATGCACAAAATCTTCGCTTTCGTATCTCAAACCTACCGACGATTCAAATCATAACGAGCACAATATTCAGCACATTATTCAGCACATCGATAGTACATCTTGTTTCATTATATCGGCCTTGTTGGTGGGAGAGTGATGGTAGGGTCTATGGGAAGCTAGTTTCGGGTAGAGCATGAGGGAGTGATTAGGGAGGATACATCGAGCCGTGGTAGTAGGAGAGAGTATGAGATGATGAGAAGAATCACTGTTCTCTCCCACTTCTTCTTCGCCCAGAAAACCCCAAAAATGGATGCCAGAGCTGCTACCCATGAGCAGATATGCTATCCGGATATCAAAGGCCATAACGTCATGATATTCGTGAGCCGCTCAGCGTGCACTCAGATCTCGACTTCTCTCTCGACACTAGAAAGAAAAGCAAACAATGTTCCCAAACAGTCCGTGGTATCCATCAGTTAACAGCAAGTAAGAAATTCAGCAAATCCATGCTTTTGTTATCGCTTTCCGCGGGCTTCCAGCTCCAGACGCGTAAAGACATACAGGTTGAGGACGGAGAAAGCCAGTGATACATATCAGAGCCGGATGGACTCCGCATCGTTTCGCCAACTCCAGATAGGACGGTACAGTTGCCACAATGAAGGCGTGGTGGTAGTACCAACATCAGCCATCACCCGCGCCGATGCCGGAAGGCAGATCTGCCGGCTAAGCGGCCTATTCCTGTGCCTGGCTACGTCGCATCTTCTCAGCCTCGAGGTTCTCGTACAAGAGGTAGAGGGCCTTTTCATTAGCACTGGCGCTACCAGTAATGGTGAACATGCGCTCGCCCGTGTCATCATGCGGTGCTTTCGCAATGGAGATGCGAGCGTTGGAGGTCTTCCGGATCTCGCTGATCTTGGTACCACCGCGTCCTATGATACAACCGACCATGTCAGATGGGATGCTTATGTTCTGGGTCTGCATCTCTTCGCCGTCTTCGGTATGCGTCGGGGGCGGGGGCCTGCTGGCGGCATCGGAGCCGGATCGTCGAGAGAAAGCAGGCGGCGAATCGCTGAAATCAGCACCGTGACCGGTGCGGTTGTACGAGCGTCCGCCCATACTACCACTAGGCGCGCTACCCCCGTTGGAAAGCGGACCGGGGCCAGCGCCGGGTTGGACCCTGACGACGGGGTTGTAGAGGACAGTGCCATAGCCGCGCTCATGGTCGTCGATAAGGCACTTGCCAATCTCCCAGACAGCCTTCTCGATGCCAGCCGGAGATCCTTGGACTTCGACGATACGCTCAGTAGACTGGGGTAGCATTTCCTTTTGTGCAACCATTCGTACACCGGACGCATCTTGAATCTGCTTGATCTTGAGGCCCTGGCGACCAATGATGGTGCCCATCTGGTTGTGCGAGATGAGGAGGCGGATGGCTGCAGAGGTTAGCTTGTAATAATGTAGTGTAAGGCGGCTACGTACGATGGGTGCCGTCGGTGCGAATGACGCCGCCCATGCCCATGGCAGGTGCGCCCTCGAGTAACCCTTTAGCGGCCAAGCCGTATGCCTTTGAGATACCAGAGAGACTACCGGTGACGGAGAGGACGCGGTCATGAACGCCTTGAACGACCTTGCTGACACCGGCGCGCACGCCAGTCTCGTCGCGTAGGTCGGCGACGTTCTTGCCCGCCTTGCCAATGATGACTCCGGCCTCCTTGGATGAGACAATGGCTCGCAGGGTGAGCTGCGACTCAGCGTACTCTTCCTCGGTGCGCGGGGCTACTTCGCCCTCACCGTCCATGTTGAGGCGGTCAAGCTGGTCGGCGACGCGGCTGGCATCTTGGCCGGGGCCGGGCTGAGGCTCTTCAGTGGACATGTTGTAGGGATGGCCTAGAAAGTGCTGCACGTCGTTAGTGACGTAGTTATGCGACGCGCGCAATGTCGCAGTGCTTACAAGAGGAAGGGAGGAGGCGGAGACGGAGCGTGGGGGTAGGTGAGGTGGGGTGAGGGGTGTGAAGAACACGTGTTGAGCGTGTCCAGACTATGGGCGTCGACCGTTAGTGGTTTGTGCTGAGGGTTGTCTATCAAGTTTGGCTGCAGGTTTACTACTCACAGGCGATGACGGAAGTAGCGGAGGAGAGAGTCGGTGCGGGAGGTTACCGACAGGTAAGAGGAGAGCAAGGGTGGAGGAGCGGAGGGGAGAGAATTGGGGATGCGTGGGAGGGAGGAAGTGTGGTGGCAGAGAGCCAGATGCAAGAGGGTGCAGATAGTGGAGGTAAGGTGACGGAGAGGCCAGGCTCTGGGTCTGAGCAATATTTGGGCGGCCGGCTGTAGCTTCCTCTTAGCGAGGTAAGTGGACGAGCCTTGCCTGATTGACAAGGACTGCGGGTGCTGGCAGCAGCTACGGAAGATTTTGATGCAGTAGACGCTGTCCTCGTGCAGCAGGTAGCACTGTCGCCCTGGAAGCAATTGCTGTGCCTTGCCTGCAGCCTGGCGTTTGAATCCATCCACCTGTTTGCAAGTCCTCGCGCGCCCCATCCGCGACACACAATGAACCCCGCGTGCACGAGCCCCATCAACGGCAGTGTCTCCACGAAGATGCAGCTAAAGTTGCAGTATTGGCCCGCATTGCTTGAATTTTCTGCATGTTTGCGCCCTCGAAATGGCTGATTGGCCAGTGTGTACGGAATTTCAGCTACTCAATACCGCCCTTACCAACCACGTATGCGCTGGCTACATACTCATAGCGCCTTCCTCCAACGCCACTCTCAGCTTCCACACGGCCACGTCTCGTTTCTTGCCTAGGTCCCTTACTTATGCGCCTCAAAGATGACCTTCTGTACCTGCATCTTGTTGAATATGTCGTAGCCCTCTACTGCTTCACTCAGTGGCATGATCTTGTCGGCCATGAATCTGTCATGAATATCAGCATTCGTCCACTCGATTCTGAACAGACTTACCCAAGCTTGTCTTGATGCTTCTTCAAGCTCTTTAATGCCTCCTCAAAAACGCTCCTCACAGGACAGCGACCCATCTGTATCCTCAAGTTCTTGTTGTACGCATCATCGCCAGTCCAGGGAATTTCGCCATTGTGCACACCAACGGAGCTGATGACACCCCATGGCCGAATCAATTCATAGCCCATGCGTAGCGCGGGAGAGAGGCCCACGACTTCAATGACAATATCTGCACCGCGGCCGTCTGTGAGTTCCTTGACGCGTTTGCCTAGTCCCTCGCGATCAGACTGAAAGTTCCATGGTTCTGCTCCCAGTGACTTGGCGAGGTCAAGTCGCGAGGGCACAGAGTCTACTGCGAGCACGTGTTTGGGCTTGTAGTCCATGATGTTACAGAGTGCGCATAGAGCGACAGGACCGCATCCGATGAGTACAACAACACTGTCTTGTATCTCTTCCGGAGTCGAGTATTGGAAGCCGTTCTTCGCCGCAAAGAAGCCCGTGGGGAAGATATCGGCCATCAAGACGAGCACCTCGTCTTTGATTCCTGGGGGTGCTTTGACAGCCGTCGAGTCTGCGAGGGGAACTCGCACGTACTCCGCCTGGGCGCCATCAAGGCCGGTAGATCCAAATAGCTGGGATTTGACGCATCGTGATGAACAGCCGTGTTTGCAATAGAAGCATTCACCGCAGCTGGTTGTAAATGGAGTTACGACATAATCGCCGGCTTTGAAGTTTTTCACAGACGAGCCGACGTCGTGGACGTGTCCTGTAAACTCGTGTCCCATGACAAAGTCAGTACCAGATGGCTGGTGGCCGCGGAAGACGTGTAGTTCGCTGGGTAAGTTTTGTCAGATACAGTTTCTCGACAGTAATTGTCACGCACCTTCCACACAAAGCCGTCTGTAGAACATTAGTATATGATAATGCTGGTGTAGTGAGCAATCTACCTTGTCGACTTTGACGATAATATCTCCTGCATCTTTGATTGCTGGTATAGGCCTGTCTTCAACCACAACGCTCCCCGGTCCTTTGAACACCACTGCTTTCATGTTACTTTGGTATCGGAGTTGGCTTGAGATGGGCGACCAGTGGAGTTGATGTATGAAAATGAGGGGATGACAGCAGAAGACGACTTCAAATTTGACTACATGCCCAGAGAGGGGATGCTACATGCAGCCGAGTGGACCCGAGGTTCTGCATATAGCACGCGAGCTCTGACGACATGAGGCCGGTGCAAAAGTCCCCTCGGTCATCCCATCTTGAACTACCCCACCGAGGCATGTTGGCTGCGGGGTAGTCAACGGCACCAGCAGCGAAGGCATCTGAGGCCGAGCGATTTTTTGACCCGGGACTTAGATAACTGTCGAAACCTGCACTACAGGTCACTAAGTCAAGCGTGCTCACTGGGTGACGCCATGAGGCTCTACCCAAGTATATGGACGCACGCTGCGTTTCGCTAAAGGTGGATATTCCCGGGAAGCGCGACAAGAAATCTCCGCACATTTCCGGGCGGATACCGATATCGCTGTGGCGAGCTAAACTGGTGTAAGTAGAGCCTGGGCAGATACGTGAAACGCGGAATAGAAAGACTACGAAGACATCAAAGCCAACTTATCAAAGATGATATAATCCATTTGACCAACCTGACGCCAGTTTGGTAATATCGTAAGACATAAAACGCCTCCATTTAATCCAATCCATCCGTATCCAATCCGAGACTCCCTTCAGATGCCCATTAAAGTGACGCCGATGCTGCGTGGTGCAGTTCCCTCAGGTGACGGTGCAGAGAAGTTCCTCTTCCAAGATGAACTTGCCCTCTTTGTACTTCTCGCTGGCCTCGTATGCCTTGTCATACTTCCAGCCGACCGTCTCCTTGCACTGGCGACAGTGTATGTCACGTACTATGTGGCGACCAGTTGTCATGTTGCGCTCGTTTGGGTCTGACTCGGTGATATTGACGACGCTGTCGAACAGATAGGCTTTGCCGTGCTGACCGCGGAAGTTCTAGGGCATGTTAGCGCAGCGCGCGCGACTGGAAGGAGAGCAAAGCGCACTCACCCTGCTGAGGATGTCATCGTGGTTGGATAGGTGTGTCTTGCAGTTCTTGCAGCCATAGATGCGCGAAGAGTTTAGATAGATGTTGTACGTGAGACCCATGGTGATGTGCAGGTGATCAGAATCCTTGATCGAGTGTTGTTGGGGGTTGGGCTGAAGTTCACGATAGTCTGGAGTGGCCACTGGCTGCCGGTCGCCGCCTGTCATACGTGCTGCTGGCCGGGGTGGTGAAGCGATGGAGCTGGCACGGGATTTGGCTGTGAAGCGTTTGGAAGGCCCGAGTCCGTGGCACCCGCTGTAGCGCCAAAGCACGAGTACTTACGATGGTAGATTGTGGAGTACGAAGCTATGAACCAGAGCTGGACCTGGAGGTGACGCTGTGCCGGTATCTGGTGGCACGTGCGTAGAAAGCGGGATGACGACAAGGAGAGGGGCTGGTGCGATGGGCTTGGATGCAACTACTTTGACTTTGACTTTGGCTTTGGCTTGAAATGCTGCAGATGCATATATGGCGTAAAGTGTGGTTTGGGAAGCTGAAGAGAGCTACTTGGAATACGCCGCGGGGGAAGAGGGGGAACCGGGCAAGGCCCCGATGCTGGTTGTGGTTGGGATGGGAGAGTCAGCAATGCGAATGCAAAGCTGCACACTATCAGACACCTGGATGCAAGTGAGTTACCGCTAGTGTGCTTCTGAAACGACTCGCAGAAGATAGTTCTCGTAAAGTTCCCGCAGAGGGCGCAGGATGGCTCATGGCTGAAGAGCAGACGGAGCGGTATTGGCGACGATGACGGCTGATTGGCTGCAGGCGCGTCGAGTTACTCTATCGGGAAATGCCAGGTCTCATACTATCAAAGACGAGTCATACAGAAGGCAGTAAGCAGTCACTTCTGTACATGTATCATGCGACTAGCACACACGTGCACGCGCAAACACGGCGCGTCTGGCGTCGACACAACAAAAGGCTGGTATTCCAACAGCCAACGCCATGACTCTGATGTGCCCATAGCCATGACCATAGACTCCAAGTTACTGTACATAGTACCTTGCGACACACTCTACAGCACGTGTTGCGTCTTTGTCGCATCCAAGAGAGCGTGGCGTCGGCGCGTGCCGTTGGGTGCTACCATCACAAAGAGCGCGGTACTTGCTTTGTTGTTTCAAAATGTTTCTTTTTGCGCCAGAGAATGGCAGCTCGACGCTGTCTCCATGGACGACGAAGCCATTGTCCCCAGACTCGCCTAGCCTGCAATCGGCGTCGGAAATGAGCGAGGCTGGGCTGCCAACGCCTATCCTCGCCGCCATAGGAAAAGATTCGCCCGGCGCATACAGTCGAACATGTTTGGTGTCAAGCAGTGGTGCCAGCTGAGTATGATAGCTACGCCAGTGCGAGATATGGAAGCGGCTTATTTGCGCCTACCAGGGCGTGATGCAGGGCTTGATTGGCGTTTGCAGGACTGCCCCAGCCTTCGCAATGCACGTTCCGCTGCGCTCTACTAGCGGGATTATCCTCGTCGGTATAGAACATTCTGGCAACGTCTTTAGGAGCAAAATCCCAGCTCATTTTTATCGACCCTGGAATCACCCAGCAGCCCACACTAAATTTCTAGTGACACACACCATTAGGCATGGTTCTTCCCTCCCTCTTTGCCAAATCCTCAAAGAAGTCGTCAAAGACCCGCGAGATACCCAACCTTGCCCCCCGGCCTGCACCGCATAGCAGTTCCAGTACCCCTCCACCTTCACCCGACAAGCAGTCGTCACACACGCGGGTGAAAGATCGGGAACGCTCCACTCGCCGTTCGAGCTCGTACTCGTCCAAGCGCTCGTCCAAGTACGACCGTGACTCCCACCCGCTAAACCTCCCGCCCGAAGAGCGTCAGCGCCTGTCTTCGCAAATGTCGGCCATGGAGCAACAGCCCACGCCTCAGCCAATGGATCTCGACCGGGACGGCTCGTCGCCGCCGCCCGCCTCATCCAGTCCCGTCACAGAAGCCCCCCCCAAGACCAACGGCGGGCCAGCGCCTCCCCCACACCGGTATACAAAGAGCCCACCCCCGCCCACAGCAAATTACGCCGCTACCCCGGAGGCTGCCACGCCGCCTGCAGAGCCCCCGACCATCGACGCTGAAGAGTACAAGGCTGCGGGCAACAAGTTCTTCAAGATCAAGGACTACCCCCGCGCCATTGAAGAATACTCCAAAGGTGCGTTGTAACCACCGGGTAACTCCCGTCGAGCTCCAGGCTAATTTGTCTCTTTTTATACAGCCATCGAGGCAGACCCCAAAAATGCCACGTACTACTCGAACCGGGCTGCGGCCTATATTTCGGCAAACCGCTTCGTCGAGGCCATGGAAGACTGCAAGATGGCAGACGAGCTCGACCCCAACAATATGAAGATTCTCCTGCGGTTAGGTAGAGTATACACGAGTCTGGGACGGCCAGATGAGGCCGTGGACGTTTACAACTCAATCAACGCTACAGCAAAGGATAAGCAACCCGCTTTGACCATGCAGAAGCACCTGCGCACCGCCGAGGAGACTTCGCGAAACGAAGGGTCGGGCTCCATGGTCATATACGCCCTCAACGAGGCAGAAAAGGGTCTTGGCATGGGCGTTGACAAGCCACGGAAATGGCAGCTCATGCGGGGAGAGGCACACCTGCGCATGGGCAATGCCAACGCACTTGGCGAGGCACAGAATGTGGCCATGTCACTTCTGCGATACAACAACCAGGACCCGGATGCCCTGGTACTGCGTGGTCGCATCCTATACGCGCAGGGCGAAAACGACAAGGCCGTGCAGCATTTCAGACAGGCGCTGAACTGCGACCCCGACTTCAAAACGGCCGTAAAGTACCTGCGAATGGTGCAAAAGCTGGACCGCTTGAAGTCAGAGGGTAACGCTGCCTTTAAGGCTGGCAGGTTCCAAGAAGCCATCGACACCTACTCACAAGCGCTCGCAGTAGACCCTTCCAACAAGAGCACTAATTCAAAGATACTGCAGAACAGAGCACTATGCCACAGCCGACAAAAGAGCTGGAAGCAGGCTATCGCAGACTGCGAGAAGGCGCTAGAGCTCGACCCCAGCTACACCAAGGCGCGGAAAACCCGGGCTAAGGCATTGGGTGAGAATGGCAATTGGGAAGAAGCAGTGCGAGATCTCAAGGCCATTGCTGAAGAGAACCCGTCCGAACCGGGCATTGCCAAGGAGATTCGCGATGCTGAGATGGAATTGAAGAAGAGCAAGAGGAAGGACTACTACAAGATTCTCGGTATCCAAAAAGACGCGACCGAGACTGAGATCAAGAAGGCCTACCGAAAACTCGCAATCATACACCACCCCGACAAGAACCCCGACGACGCAGACGCCGCAGACCGTTTCAAGGAGATTCAGGAGGCACATGAGACCCTGAGCGATGCCCAGAAGCGTGAAAGATATGATTCTGGGGCCGACCTTGTTGACCCCAACGACATGTTCGGTGGTGGTGGCATGGGAGGTGGCATGGGCGGAGGCATGGGTGGCATCGACCCCGAGATTCGTAAGTATAACCACTATCATGAGCTTGGACACCTCACTAACATCCTTTACAGTCATGCAGATGTTCGGCGGCATGGGCGGAGGCGGTATGGGAGGCGGCCGTGGCGGAGGCGGCTTCCACTTCAGCTCTGGCGGCGGCCCAGGTGGCAGTCCCTTTGGTGGCATGGGCGGCATGCCAAACGGCGGTGGCCGAAGAGGACCACCCGGTGGTTTCCCTTTCTAAGCGACGAAACCTCGTTGAATCTCTAGGAGCCTTGCCATTGCTTCCGCACCCTTCAAGACAAGTCGCTTCTGCACCACATATTACGATCTTTTTGATTCGTGTGTATACCCCTTGGCACTACGCTTACGAACGAAACCCCATCATACCATGGCGTTGGTTTACAGGAAGGAGCGCAAGCAAAGTAGAAATTTGTAGATTGGCGGGGAGTTTGCCTCGCTCTCTCCTGGTGTAAAAGAGGGAATGCGGCAGTCACCTATTATTGACCAGTTGCTATTGGAAGGGGAGTTTAGTTTCCCTTGGTTTCTTTGCTCAAAGCATTACCCCGGCGTCTTTCTCTTGTCCTGTCTTATACTTTCCCTTTAGGGAGAAAATATTTACATAGTCTGACGTGTATGCATGGCTTGAATTATTGAATCTTTGTAGTACCACGTGTGAGAAAGATAATTCAGGCGGGTGTGAGATCAGTGGAGGGCGTAGAGATGGAAGTCGTGAATGACGTAATTAGCGCCAAGGCTTGAAAATACTCCACGGGTTCATGGTCCCCAGCACTTAATGCGCGTGAATATAGATCTAAGCTTGGGCCTTGAAAGATCTAAATATACCGATATTTCTACCACAAGAAAAAAACGTCCGCCCTTGGATCCCGCAAAGTCTATCTAATCTCGATCTATATTTCAGAGAACAAGGCCAAGGTCATCTAGTGGTGTCAGGAGAGTTTATCTTCGTTGTATACAAGTCATAGAGGTTTCTTGGAGAACGGCTACACGTGATATCCACAGACAAAGAGAAGGACTTATCTTGGCCCAAAAAGAGACGCGCAAACTGGGGCAGAGAGAAAAGACACAAATCTTACAGATCCTACAAATCCCGGCCGCAAGACGGGTCTGTCCACCATCGCGCACATCAACCGCCCCAATGCAAGGTCAAGGACGCGGCCGAAGCCGAGAAAACATCGGACCTATCTCCAACAACCTATCGTCATCATCACCATCATCAGCACCATCTCGAGGCCGTGGCAGGGGCGCCAACACCCCAGCCCCCAACCAAACACGGGGACGAGGCGGACCCGGATTCAGAGCACGCGGCCGAGGACGCGTCCGCACCCCCAACATACCCCGTGACCCCGACCACCCACGCGTCCCAGCCTACTCATCCATCTCACGCGGCACCGCCGTCTCCATAATCCTCAAGCAAGACCAACCCACGGGCCACCAAGTTAAGGGTATAGTCGCTGATTTGCTGACTCGCGGCGATCATCCGCGCGGCGTCAAGGTAAGGTTGAGAGATGGGAGGGTGGGGAGAGTGCAGGGGCTTGTTGCGGAGGCTGAGGGGATAAGGGGAGAGGCACTTGTTGGTGGGGTCGGGGCTGGGTTGGGAAGGAATGGGGAGGGTGGTGGTGGGATGAGAGGGGGCAGGGTGGAGAGAGACATTAGGGATGAGGACGATTATTTGTATGATGAGGGAAAGAGGAGAGGCGCGGGGGAGTTAGGCTTGTTTGCTGCGTTGGAAGAGGCGGATAGAAGACATGCTCAGAGTGGTAGTACGAGTGGAGGTGCAGGACAGATGGCGACTTGTCCTGTTTGTAGGGTTTTTGAGGGTGATGAGGCGGCGGTTGCACATCACGTTGAGGAGCATTTTGGGGAGTGAGCTGACGTTAGAATCGGGTAAATTCTCTACATTCTGATTCAGAGAAAGGCTGAACTTGCTCAGCGTTGTAAATCTTCCGCTTTGATACCGTGAATGCAACTTAGCATATGCTTTCGGCATGTATATCCTGTCCACTGTAGTTGCTTCTTTGACACTATCCTCCCCTCCTTCATCCATCCTGCTTTGCATCAGTCCAAGGTGTAGTCAAAGCTCACACCACGATGCTGGTCCCCATGAACGAGGATGTCCTTGACGCAACTAGAATACTCACCACGAGTCTTGCCAGCTTGCTCATGAGCCCTGTGATGGTCGAGTAAAGCTTGTCTCGTGGCTGAATATTCGGTCATGAATACGTCGTCTCCTTTCCAGTCTCTGAAGATCTCATTTGCTGCCACATGTGGCTTCTTTACCCGCGTGACGATTCTATCATAATAGGTGTTTGATACATCATGATGACGACAGGTATAGATGTGGTTGTGGAATAGATCAAGATTGACAACCTGGACGGCGATGTACCGCTTCAATACTTGAACTTTGTTTCGGGAATCCTCCTTGATATTTTGGACATCCTGAGTCAGCCTTGTAATCTTGTTGTTGAGGTGATTGATCTCGGGCGCCCGGTCGGTGTGCTGGATGTTGCGAGCTTCGAGCATTTGGCCGTGTTCAGCGCGATACCTTGAATAATGTTAGTAAAACGCTTTACATCTGAACGAATGATAAGTGTATGATTACATACCAATCACGATCACCTTTGACGATGGTGAGTTTGTGCTCAGCGTTTTCGATCTGACGGCGTTGGTTTTCGATAGTTGTTTCCAGATGTGCTGTCGCTTCACTGCTCTTCTTTGCTGCTTCTGCGCCTGCAGAGAGCTGAGCTGCGAGGGCTTCAGATAGTTGCGCCTTATCTTTGATGGCCTGCTCCTTCTCATTTCGTTCAGCAGCAAACATTGCCTTGAGCTTCTTGATGAGGTCGCGACTGTCAGTGGCGCCTTGAGCGCGGGCTTCGGCATTATCGAGCCGGGCGCGAAGACTTCCGCCTTCAACTGTCAGACGGCCTTGGACATGCTGAAGTTTCTGTACTTGTTCGCGTGCGCGAGCTGCTTCGCTCTCGGCTAGCATGAGGAGGATGTTGTTCTTGAGGTCGCCATTGTCCACGTCAGAGTCAGATTGACCACTGCTTGTTGACTCTTCAGACCTGGAGTACGACATGTTACTGCAGGTGATACTCGTATGTCAAGGTGGGGTGGAGGCTGAGGGTTTGAATCAGCTCAAGTTGCTCCTGCTGAATAGTCGGCCAAGACCCTGGCTTGGCGCGTATTCACCATGAGGAGGAAGGCGCACCCGAGCACACTAAGGTGATCCGTGAGCGATGAACGGTGAGGTTCAATGGTGCAGCATATTCAGGCTACATTGAGAGTCGCCTGTATAGTATTATGAGATGCAGTGGGAAGTATTGAAGAGAAGTGGCAGCAGCACCGATCATGATAGACTGGGTGTCCACACCGTTTTTGGCAGACTACCTAGGTAGGTGAGAGAAGCAGCCACTAAATGAAGCGCGGAAAGGAACAGCCAACGAGAGAAAGAGAGAGAGAGATTGTAGCGCATAGAATTTAACATTAAATAGAAAACCGTAACTGATGCGCGCATCATAACAAAGGAAAAAGAAGGTATATCCAACTGTTCTCACCATATATAACCCTCACCTTACAGCCACGTTGATGCCGTTGCTTCCACCGACTGACGAACTACCATCGGAGCCCTTGGTGATACCCAAGTTGCCTCCTAGGTTTGCCGCCTGACCAGCTTTGTCGAGGGTGATTCCAGACTCTTCGGAAAACTTCTCAGACTCCTCAGTAGCCTTGACACCGTTTGACTTTTCTGCCTCAGCCTTTGCGGCCTCGCCTGTTGCTGCCTCAGCCTTTGCTGCCTCGCCCTTTGCTGCCTCGCCCTTTGCTGCTGCTGCCTCACCCTCTGCTGCCGCTGCCTCACCCTTTGCTGCTTCACCCTTTGCTGCCTCACCCTTTGCTGCTTCACCCTTTGCTGCCTCACCCTCTGCTGCCGCTGCCTCACCCTTTGCTGCCTCACCCTTTGCTGCCTCGCCCTTTGCTGCCTCGCCCATTGCTGCTTCACCCTTTGCTGCTGCTGCCTCTTCCTTTGCTGCCGCCGCCTCTGCTTTGGCCGCCTCTTCCTTTGCCGCTGCGGCTTCTTTCTCAGCCTTTGCTTTGGCTGCCTCGCCCTCCGCGCGTCCGGGTTGGTTCTCAGTGCCGGCGCCGCCGTTTCCTGCTGCTGCTTCAGGCTTCGCCTTGGCGGGCTTCTTTCCAGTACCCGTGGTCATGGATGCCGCAGCAGCAGCTGTCGCTGTACCATTTCCTTTGGCACCGCCGCCGCCGAGCTTCAGACCGCCACCACTGATGCCTCCACCCTCTCCGCCAAGTGTCAGACCTCCAATAGTGAGGGCACGGGCTACCCGGCGACGAGTCTCTGGCTCTACCGGTATGTCAAGACTTGAGAAGCCTGCGTCACGTCTCACAGGACTGGAACGGTAGTCGCGGGTAGCGATGGTTGACTATAACGAGAGTAAGTAAACGATTGATATGACGGTACTAATATGGGCTTGAATGTGGCACAACAAGCCTCGTCGTGTATGGAAGAGTGATTACTTACGGCCCAGAGAGAGCGAGGGGGAACAACGAACGCCTCGACGCTTGATAGTGCCAAAAGGCCAAAGGTCATTTCTAGTGAGAATCTCATGATGATTATATGCGGATGATGTAATGGTAACTGGCCGGCAGTCAAATGAATAGAATGAACAGAGAACAATAACGAAGATGAATGCTACCGTAGTATCGTAATGGCACAACCGTGAATGTATACCATGAGACGAGTGGTTAACCAGGCCCCGTGTCTCACTATCATGTGCTTAACCCAGTCAAATGTTCGCATACTACTGCGCATTGCCGACAAACGCATGATGCAACACATACACAACGTTTGCAGAACGGCTTGGCGATTATAAATCTCCCGATAAGTCGGTAAAACGCCAATGTGCGGCATTGCTAGGTGCTCACCAGGATGCTGGCGCTGCCCACGTCGCAAGAATGTCGCAGTTACCGTTCGGCGCCTTCTTATCGTTTGAATCCGACACCCAAACCGATTGAGCTGCTATAAACAGATGGTATTATAACAGGTCTTCACGGTCAGGTTCCCTCAATGCTCGTCTACACAGTGCCGCCAGCAGAGCCCAGGTGGATTCAGGTCGGCGTGGTTACAGAGATGTACAGCTCCAGTCGGCAGGTCTCGCATCCGAACAGCATCCACTTGCACTGCCCCGAAGCATCCTGAGAGGGGTATGTTCCGAAGGTATTCAGCTTAAGCGCATGTCAAAGAGGGATGGGCTGCTCTCCAATCCAGGGTGGGCATTGTGCGTTTCGGCACACGCGTGCCTTTCGTTAGCATGATGGTGCTTGTGGATATGCAAAGTGAACGAAATTACTTTGCGCATTAAGAGGATAAGAAAAAAGTATCGTGATAGAGCCGATGGCGGAGGATGACACAGGGTGATGGTAACGCGAGCTTCAACCTTAGGCAGTGCGCGAGCCTGACACGCTAGAACTAACCAATCTGCACGTCTCCACATGCGCAATATGCCGGTTTGCTATGATTTTAGTCTGCAGGCAAACATTGGCGTACGTATTATTACCAGATTTATTCCAGCTCAAATCCACTTCAGAAATGACAACGTTGGTTATCGTGTAGATCTCTGAATCGTTCGCAACGGACTTCACAATGGACTTCACAATGGACTTCACAATGGACTTCACAATGGACTTCACAATGGACTTCATAATGGACTTCATAATGGACTTCACAATGGAACCCTGGCGGATCAGTCTGTGAAGGCGGCTGTGGCGCCGCACGATATGTTTAGGCTATCTACCGTAGCTTCGGCCATTTCAGTAACCGGTACAATCCTTAACACTCGACGAGGCACATTTTCTAGTTCAGAGCTATCCGAAACCTCCAGTCGATTTTTCCATGCCACGGTTCAAACACTTTCCCCGCGCCCGGCTCCACACTGTTGCTAGGTTGCTCTTTGTAGAAAACTTTACACCTGCACAGCACCACGTGACTGTTTACTCGTCATCGCCCAAATCTTGTAGAGCTGCTTCCCTTCCCTCTTGTGCTGTACCCAAGCCGCGTGAAGCGATTCCTTAGTTTCACCAGGAAAGAGATGTGCAAAGAATTGATAACCCTTCTTATTCTTGCCTTTCCACAGATACAACATCCTTTTTGCCTCGTCATTCCATCCAGTAAAGTAGAAACCCGTGTCGTCCTCAGCGGGTTCATGTTCTGCTGGGCTGTTTATTGAGTTATCGACGGCATGACCAGTCGCGGCAGGGACTCTTGAGGTAGCGAGTACTTGTGAAGCATCGGGCACTTGTGAAGCAGCACCCAATGCGTTACCAGTATTCCCTGCCACTGGAAACGTACATTCGTTCCTCATCAAAGAGACTTCGGATGATGTTGGGGGTGTTCGATAACCAATGACATGTTCTTGGGAACCTCCTGACAGTTGTGTAATTCCAGAAAGATGACCATTTCCAGATCCCTGGGAAGCTACAACATCTTGCGAGAGTCCAGGACTTGATAAGAAAGCCCTCAATACAGCTGATGTACGGGTATCAGGCTCTGGCTGAGTACGGCGAGAGAAAACGAAGGCTTCACCAGTCCATACTTTATTGCCGTCATAGCGCCAAGCGTCCGCCGGAGTTTCCCATGGGGGTGGATTTGCAGCCGGAGCTATGAGCAACATTAGTTTAGAGGTTCCTGATCATAAATCAAAAACTTACGCCGATAGTAGAGCTGGCCAGTTGCTCTACCTGGGTACATGTATGATGATGCATAGTCCCCTTCGTTGTTTGGAAACAAAGATTCGTCTAAGCCCATGAAGCGAAAGCTTGCGTGGTCGTCGGGAGAATTATCCATGATAATGTTAGTAGAGTGTTTGGTAATGGTCAAAGATGTAGGAATCTTTGATTTTATAGGTAATGGGGGTCCTTGGGCGGCAAAGTAAAGGTGCAAGTGAAAGACTTATTGTTATATGAACCTAAGGAAAGCGTCGTAAAACAGCGGCGGTCAGCTCAAAGAGCACTTCATATTATGTTTCCTCAAAAATTGAAGCGATCTTTATGTAATAATGTCACAAAGCTTGCTTTTCTAGTGAGTGACGGCAAGTCAAGTAACTGTTCAAGAAACAATTCTCGATATCACAAGACTCCGCGTGAACTAAGACTCGAAAAGTTCTTCTATCTATACACTAATTGTAGTGCAGCACATATTTAAGAGTCGTTCTACATTACTATCTACCTGCACACATCTTAAAGAATACTAATAAACCCTTGCTAGAACACTAGACTGATACTCTTTCTTCCTACTCATCTACAGAATTTCCTTTTTCCTAAACAGTCTCAGTCGTCCCAGCTCTCTCAGTCGTCATCATGCAATCAAACAGCACCTAACAGAAATTCACCTAAATCAAGTCGAACTCCTAGTTATCATTATCCCGAATTTCTGTTGAAATGCAACAACTGTCGCAAACAACTTGGCGACTTCGATATGGTACCCCAGATATTCAAAGCTCCGCTGGAACGCATGAAAACTGTTGTGGTCTGCGCCTGGCCAGAGGTCCAAGGCACCCTCCAGAACGGTCTTGAGTGCGGTTTGGTCGATGTCGAGGTCTTGTGCGAGAGCGGCAAGGGCAGATCTGGCTTCGAGGCTGCCACTAGAGTAGTCCATGCTGGTACGACAGGTTACAAGACGTGAGACATTCATCGAGTTCACTAATCATAGAGGTAAAACAAATTGGACGACTACATTATATAGCTCTTTATTGTTCATGGGTTGCCTGTATCTCATCCTAACTATGAAAACACAAACTCCGAAAACAACTGCCGAATATATACCAAAAACGCTGGAGCCTGGCACAAGCCTTTAGGCGGGGCATGAAATACCCTTGGGCGTGCGTGTGCAGTTGGATGGTTTTCCGCCACCAGTGATGCTGTTGCCGGTCCATGTCCAGTCAGAGCAGCTGCCCTCACCGCAGAGAACAAAGTAGTCTTGGCCACTTGAAGTGACAGTGCCCTTGACATTTTCGATAATCAGGCCAGTAATGGGGACGCCATTGGTGGGATTGAGCGTGGGTCCTCCGTTGAGATAGTCCTGTCGGATGACGACGCCGAACTGGGTTATCTTCTGTAGGGTGATATCCTTATATGTGATATCAGAGACAGAGCCGGTAGCGCCTGAGATCGTCTTGATGCGTACACCGTTCTGAGAGTTGATAATGGTGCATCCGGAGACGATAACGGTCTTGACTACATTGTTTTTGCGTAGGCCAACGGATCCAATAGAGATTCCATGCCCGCCTGAGCATATATTGTTGATGAAGTGAATATTAGTGCCGGAGTTGACTGCAAGGCAGTCGTCTTGGTTCTTGACGTTGCAGTTGGTGATGAAAATACCAGAGGACTCGCCGACGTCAAACGCATCTGTGTTGTGCCCGAGGTTGCCCACATCCCCTGCACTGTTGTCGATAGTGATGTGATCAAGGGTTAGCTGCTGCGAATTGCTGATCGAAAAGGCCTGAACAGGTGTGTTCAAGACATTGAGATTACTAATAGTTGACGAAATCATGTTGTGTGCGAAGAAAAACTGACTTATTTAATAAGAGGTCTCAACTCCCAGGAGCTTCATTTCAATATACCTTGGGCTTTGTTTCTCCGTTGGAGCCCGTGCCATCCCAATACGCTGCACCACCTCCATCAATAACGTGACCTGTGGCACCGTTGACCACAAGACCAGTTCCAGAAATCGAAATGAGAGGGCCTGCAAACAAGGCCTGGTGGGCGAAGGTTGTGTGACCCTGGAAAGTGACGGTAGTGCCCTTATTGAGCCCTGTCAAATCCAAGGTGACTCCAGCAGGGACTGCAATTCCATTGAGAATGATAGTAGAGCATGAGGCTTTGTTCTTGATGGCAGTAGCAGCATCGGTAAATGTGCAGCTTTGTCGGGTCGAAAGTGTTGATGGGGCAGCAGAGACGAGAACGCTCGCACCGAGAAGAAGAGAGACTAGTGTCAGACCAGCCATGGTGTTGATGGTATGCGAAGAGCGACTGGGTCAATGAATTGTATGATGTGGATGAGAAGCTGAATGAGTAGATGAGTGTGTGAATGCAGTGAATTCGTGCAGACAGTAGATATTTATACAAAAGCTTCACGAGACAATAAAGCCCACCGGTTCGTCCGGCTCTGTACCATTAGAGGATATCAGCTCTAGGTCCCGGAGACTGTTGGGTCTGAGGCCCCAGACCTGGGAACCTTCAACCCCACTTGCTCCGGCTTAACCTGATATGATTCAGAACGGAGGAAGTTATTAACCTTAGACACGGGCGTTGATACAAGATCCCATCCACTCACTGTCCACTGCGCCCATGCTAGTGCTCCAAGTTTAGACCATGCATGGTCGGTGTCAGCTTAACTACACTCACAATCCTCGCGTCCCGTCATAGTCTTCGCTTCCAAGACACCTGAAACGAGATCTGGCCGAGAATTCTTGCTCTTTTCGCATTCATTCTCGTATATGTAAGCCGGGACAAGACATGTCTCGTTCTGTTAAACAAGCGCTGATATTCTTGGGAGAGTTGAGCTGAGACTATAGGCACAGCGACCGCATGACTTTTTAGAGTTTGGATGGTGATAGTTCGCCTTGTCTAGCCTCGTTTGGACAATACCTACGGAGAACCTGCATTCGTGGTGATCTACGCTCATATCCGGGTCTCTGGTTTGCTCAGTGTCAAGCATCTAGTGGCGGAGTGGCTGTTGCTTGACGTCGCCTCGAATGCGAGAGCATACCAACGCATGTGAGGTCATGCAAGGCCAACTGATTGGCGGCTTTGATTGAAACAGGTGGCTGAACGGTCTAGACGCGTGGTGCAGCCGCCCAAATGCCTCTGCGAATACGAAATTCTGGGGTAGAGATGCGATCCCGCAGCACGGCCGATTGATGGAAGACTTCTCCAGGGCTACGTCAAGTAGTTACAACGCGGAAAAACTACTTGCGGCTGCGCGGACGGCGGGCATCTAATTTGCCGTCCCGCTAGTCCGAATTAGTCATTGATGAATACGTGGGTAACGTCAAACTCTCGATCAACTCTGTCCATTCTGGTCAACTGACGCATACGAAAACTCCCCGTCATTGATGGATATTATATGTTCCAAGATTCTACCAGCACCAGAGCCACTCGCCGCGCGCCTTGGAACCTAGCCTTGGTGCCTACCTCGAAAGACTAGATCTCTTTGAGCACACATCTCTCCTGAGTAGGTAACTATGCTTCGATCTCCCCTGAAAGCTTACCATCTTCGGTCACATATCACGCTTGCTATCTGCAGTCGCTCGGAAAATTAATGAGCCCCGCCTCCCACCGAAGGCTGCCGAACACAGAACCCCCCTTCCGGCAAACTATCGACGAACAGGCCCCAAGCAACCCAGTTCCGCAATAGCCTTTTTGCCAAAGGACACACTTCCTTCTGAACTTCTTTGATCTTCAATTCGGCGGTTTCCACGTCTATAGTCATAAAAGGCCCCATCACAGGCTTCTTCAGAAAGCACACCACTAAATCCACGCACCAGAAGAAGTACAGACAACGCGTTCTGTATATCTGTAAATCCGTTTCTTCAATCCATGGTTCGGCGGATAACTGTACTTCCTTCAGCCCATCGATAGCGCCACCCAAAGCATGGACTAGGGCAGCTACAGAGGGAAGTTGCAAAACTTCGTCCAGAAAGCCAAAAGCGGTAAGTTCGAGACAGTACACTTCGACCATCCTGGCAAGCTCCCGCATATTGGGAGTAGAGATAAGATCTTTTGTACAGTAAGCTGTCTCGACAAGTGCGTGGGCGTAACATGACAGGCGCATCGATATCGTATCCTTCGACATGTCCCTAATGAACTTGCGCGCCCACTCCATATTCTCAGCTATGAGATTCTGAGGGAACAAGTCCATCCCAAGGGGTAGGTGGACATCGCGACGTGCTTTGAGAACGATGCTATCCAAGAAGTTCACTAGAGTAGGGTAAGTGCCTTCCAAGCAGATGTCGCTTTCCATAAGCCTGACTTCCTGTGGCAGGTGCGTCCAGTTGTCATTTTTGTAGGCCTCGAAACTTTTCTCGTGTGGTCTCTGGGAACCCCCTGACAAGTGGGATCGCGGCGGTATCGTGATAGTGGAGAGCTTGGTAAGTATCGCTATCAGCGATTCAGAGTTAAAGAGAAGGTCATGGAAATGAGCAGTGTAATTGAAGATAGGAAAGTTTGTCAACAATTTCGACAAGGTTAGTTTTTCGCTCGACGTCTCTGATGACGGCGTTGCCAAGAGGCGAAGCATGTCATCCGTCAGCGTGTTGAGATGAAAATCCAAGCTGACTCCTCGGCGTACAGCATCTGTATCTTGACAATCGTAGTACAAGGCAGCATTCCTAGGTTCGTACAAAACAGTAACCGGTGAGATGCCTGTGTCTTCGCCATGCGCACCTAGACTGATGAGCGGTTGTGGTGTGGCTTCGCCCGTCATGAACACGCTATGGTTTCCCGAAGGACCAACGGCCACGCCTTCATGAATTTCCCAAACTCTTGTGATGCGAAATTCATGGAACAGGTCATCAGTATCACCCTCACTGTAAAAGGTCGGTATGTCGCTCGTTGTATTGTCTGGGGGCTTCCATTGAAGCTCATGGATGGTAAAGGCGGCATTGACGGGGCCGCCAAGTTGAAAGGCTAGGAGAGCTACTAAAAGCGGGTGTAAAAGAAGCTCGTGTGCAGGATTGGGAGTAGAGTAAGTTCGATCTTCTGGATGCTCAACAGGCGACGGGTATGCGCTTGCGACCAGGTCATTCTCAACAGCTTCATCCGCAGGCTCAACGGCACCAAACAGGAACCCCGCAGCTTTGGAATTCTCTAACACTTGTGCTATAGCAATAAACTTCTGAACCAACTCCACAGCATGCTCTTGAGAGAAGGTCCCTACATTAGCGCATGCTGCCAAAAGCCGATTCATTATGTGCCGCTGATATTCTTCTTTTCTCTCCGTGACGCGAACGTCCTTTGGCGCTGCCGCGAGGATGCGAGTGTGGCGACGGCATGCGACTCTATCCGTGACAATGTAAGCGCGAATATCCGCTGGAACATAGACATTTGCATGAAAGGGCTGCTGCCGTGGCATCACAAGGCTTGGGGGAGTATTTCGAATCGGAGGAGAATCTCGCGGGCGCTGCTCGGGTCGATGAGGTCGTTATTGAAGATGGAGAAGGCTGTAGCGAGAGTTGACAGAGAAGACCCCAAGGTGAGAGTCACGCAACAACATAAGGGTAGGTGAGTGACACTGGGAAAGTTCCTTTGCTGACCTATAGCATTGCGATTGTTTCTTGACAAGCTTGTCAACTCAGCTCCAACAAGCGGTTTGAGATCATCAAGCACCGCTTACAATATTTCAGATCAAGATCAAACAAACGATCAAGATTCAGCACCACGTGCTTCTAGCGCCACCGAGGCTCTGTACGTGATAATAAGTCTGTCTGAATGCAAAATTGGCTATTACGAAAATAAATCGGTTTTCAGAGAAGCATTGCCGGACGTACAACTCAAGCACTTGCAGTCATTCAGGTCGTTGTCTCGATGTATGAGCTGGGTTGGAGCGAGACCAGTGAGTACGTTTTGGAGAAGACCCTAGACCTTTTGGGCACGATGATGGCCATCAGGATGAGCTCTTTGGATGTCCGCTTACCGAAAGGCGTATGATTCGCCATGAGGTCACCGAAAACTCAATTCGTTCTGTGAATCCTCCGCTCCTATTGTTTGGATTTCACTCTACTCAAAGCCTCTACTTTCTGGTATCAGAGCCGATTACTGCGGCGCTCAATCCTCCTTGTGTTCGCTTTACGTCTGAGAGTGCGCGATTGGAGGCAATAATATCATATCCTATATTCGGCAAAAGACAAGGCCAGAGGCGGTCTTACTCAGTACAACAGATGGACTAGGTGTCATTCCTACGCCGCGTCTGTGTACATCCGAACAGGATCAGGTGTCCTACTGGCTTCTATGCTCCATGACAACACGTGCATAGTTCTGGCATTACCGACGTACTTGGGGTGCGACACGCATAACAAAACATGGGGAGAACATGAAAATAATGCAGCCTTATCAGGTATGATTGTGGAGCACATTATGCTATATTATCTCACAATTTCAGCTTCTCAGCCTTGCGCGTAATATCCCCGATACGTACCTAGGTATATCAATTGCAGAGCCGATATGTCGAAAGTTTGGTTACCAGACCAAATTACCGAATGCTAAAGAGCGAAGAGAACGACGCGTCAATAGTACATAAGCCTTTCTGCAAGCTTGCTCAATTTGGGATTACCTATAAGATTGCGGACTCGATCCACTAGTACCCAAGCGCATCCTATCTACCGGGCGTTCTCAGACTTGACGGCAGTGTGTCAACTCCTAGCGGTGTGGGCTGACGGCATGCCGTCGAAGGCTTTGTGAAGCAAGGTTCTAGCCCCGGAAGCTAGAACCATCTGGCCAACGGCCATCTTCGGAACCATCGCTGTGTGCCAGTATGTAAGCTTACCTCAGAGTCCGATGTCGACATGGAATCTGCGGATCACAACTTAGCGACGATAGGAGAATACTCGTCCCGTCCCGTACCCTGTGGGATGACACGAAACCCAGTAGTTGTTCCCGTCACCTATTTCAAGTTCTTGGCCATGATCATCGCGAGGGCCTAGTTGGTTCAGAAGTATTTTGTGTGTCTGTTAGATACTCTCTTCTTTGGAAAGAGGTGGACCACGCAACAAAGGTCGCTAGTACTGGTTACTGCTGCATTGGGTCTAGCGTGATGTGCAATAGGGGTTTCCAACCTACAAGACTCGCCCACCGACATGATTTCCACGGTTTCGAAAGCACGGATTATACATCTAGTGTACCCACTAATATCTGCCTTGTAAGAAACTTGACCAACTAGCCAAACCTATGAGCGCTGTTTCCACAGTTGAAAAACGCTGAAACTTCCAAACGACACCCTGCCAAGCATCCTATCCTGACCCAAACAACGTTGTCGACGATCTCGGGAGGGGTCCGATGACTACGATCACTTCGGATTCTCATGTACCTGGATCTCGGGATGCCTAGCGTCATCGTTCACTATGCGGTACATCAGTCTTGTGATACCGAGTATGGATTGTGAATGCTTGTTGCATTTGATCATGATGCCGATCTCTCGGTATTTGCACGCGTGCGAATACCGATACTAGGAACGCCATACGTCAGCTTATCTCCCACGACACTCGCTCCGCACTAGACGCCGAAGAACGACTTTGTTGAGCCCTACGAAATCCCCTACGTACCATAACCTGCTTGAGACGCACTGTCTTCAAGCAAGAATATAAGGGCGCTTGGAAGTCAGCAACATACGATGCTCCCGGAAGATCATGCTCTAGCACAGCGCATGACACAGCCCGGCAGCAATTTTTCTCCAACACAGAACGGCGGCTATGATGCACGTTTATCAAGCGTTTGCCTTCATGACAGCGGTCCTATAGTAAGCAACGAAATGAAGCCGGGCGATCGCCTGAAGCCAAGAGATATACCCTGGAAAGAATGAGGCACTAAGCCCTGACGTCGGGCTAGCCTCGTCTATCAAGCCTCCTTCGCGCAATGCCATTTGGATTACACCTTCGAGTCATTCTCCTGTCATCCACACGTTTCTTGATGAGACGGGTTCTCTTCTAGGAGGTTACCACCAGCGCTCGGCGTTCTTCCACAGCTTCGGAACAGAAGATAGCCGTTATTTCGGCACTTTTACATGGGCAGCTAAACATTAATGGCGAACCAGGGACGGAGCGACTACTGAATGGATAGAGACAGTCATGCCCTACGACCGTAGGTCCGACTTCACTGAGCCCTACAAGGCTTCTACGATTAAAGGAGCAATCAGAAGCGTCGGTTGGTCAACGGTGGTTTCAAGGATCGGTTAAAGTGAAACCAACATGCTAATAAGGGCCGATAATAGTCCGCTAAAGAACAGAACTAGCGCCTTGACACTGCCAGGTACCGTTAAGTCACTTTCGTTCCGCGTGCATGGGAGAAATACGTGCACGATCAATGCTTGGGGAGGTGCGCGTTGACAAGCTCATTCGCCGCTTCAGAATACTTACGTGCGCGGCCAAATGTAAGCTTGTCGGCCTGGGCACCGACGAAAGGCCTTGTAGTTAACCAAATGCGATTATGAGGAAACTGTCTTAAAGAGCAGTCTATATCGAACCTTGGAATCTTTCCTCTCTACGCACTCGCTGCATCTTACACTCACTACCTAGCTCTTCGTTTTTAATCTTGGCCCAGGGCCGTCCTGTCTTTAAACATGCGTTACTCTAGCACCGCCGCACTCCTTTCCCTGGCCTCTCTTGGCCAGGCTTCCCCAGCACCCCACGTTCACCAGCACCCTCACGCTGCCCGTGATCTTGCTGGTTTGGGAAGCTTGGGCTCGCAATACCAAGCGGGTGTTTACTTCACCAACTGGGGCATCTACGCACGCAACTACCAAGTCTCCGATCTTCCCATTGACAGGCTCACCTACGTCAACTACGCTTTCGCCAACTTGAATGAGACCACCGGCGAGGTCTTTCTCAGCGACGAGTGGGCCGATATCCAGCGCCCTTCCCCTACCGATGTTGCTACCAATGGCTCCCAGCTCCTCGGCAACTTCAACCAGCTCTACCAGGCGAAGCAGAAGAACCGCAACCTCAAGGTCATCCTTGGTGTCGGGGGCTGGACTTACAGGTTCAAGTTCAAGCCCGCTCTCTCCACAAAGGCCGGTCGTGTGAACTACTGCAAGTCCTCTCTGAAGCTTATTACTGATCTCGGAATCGATGGCTTGGACACTGACTGGGAATACCCTGCCGATGAGACTGATGCTGCCAACCTGCTCGACACCATGCAGATCTGCCGTCAAGTAAGAACCATGACAGAAATCATTGAGACTGCGACTAACTTCATACTAGATGTACGACGCCTACTCGAAGAAGTACACCAATGGATACCACTACGAACTCTCCATCTCTGCCCCTGCTGGACCCATAAACTTCGAAAGGTTGGGTATTCAGAAGCTCGACCGCTTCGTCGACCGTTGGAACCTCATGGCCTTTGACTACCAGGGTGGTGGCTTTTCCAACTTCACTGGCCACCTGAGCAACGTCTACCCCAGCACCACCAACCCCAGGTCGACCGACGGCTGGGTTAACGAAACCCAGTCATTCACAGCCTTCAACACCAAGAGGGCCATCGACTACTACAAGGCCCATGTCGCATCTCCCTCCAAGATCACGCTCGGTATGCCCCTGTACGGCCGCTCCTTCGCCAACGTCGTCGATCTCAGCCGCGGTACCGGTGCAATGGGCCAGAAGTTCAACGGCTCCGGTGAAGGTTCTTGGGAGGCCGGTACCCTTGACTACAAGGTTCTTCCCCAGAACGGCACCAAGGTATTCACCGACAAGAGCATTTTGGCCAGCTGGTCTTGGGACCCCATCAAGAAGCAGGTTGTCAGCTTTGACACCCCAGAGGTTGCCAAGTGGAAGATGGACTTCCTCAAGACTGAATGCCTCGGTGGTGCTTGGTTCTGGGATGCCTCTGGCGACGCTCCCGTCAGCAACCCTAAGTCTCTCGTTGCTACTGTTGTCAACGAGCTTGGTGGTGCCCAGTCGCTCAAGAAGAACCAAAACAACCTTCACTACCCCACATCCAAGTACTACAACATCAAGAACGCTAGGAACTAGTGTTCTTAGACTTGTATGCTTGATTGCGGTTGATACCGCGGGGTTGCGGGGGAGGAATTAGTACATGTTGTTTTGCTAGTCTGCCTTTGCATCTTCCCAACTTGCTGTAGTGGGCCCAAGAAACGTGCCATGGCTGTTTTATTGTAGCGATTACCCTTTGAATATAGACATATTACGCATCTGAAGATTTTCAGGGTGCTATCCATTTCATACCCTCCTGATGACCTCAATGACCTGGCGAAGCTTTCGATCCCCAAGTCAGATCCAAGAATAGCCCATCTATTTTAGCCAATCTATGTCATACGTCCTCGGGCCATACATGGCGTCTCATCCGATCTACTGAGGAGTAACAAGGCCGTGGTAAGCACCGGGCTACCTGTTCGGCGATAGCCGCCGCACCAACCCAAAAGAGGGGAAAAATGCTTGGTACAAACGGAGGGCTCTTCGGTATGACAAGCAGCAAAGGTTGCATTTGATTGAAACAAGAAGGAAGAGGTTAGGGTGACAATGGCCCGGTACGTACTCTTATTGTAGGATTTTCTTGGAGTATGAGATCTGGATTGGGGTGGGATGTCAGCTATTCTTCTTGTAGTTAGCGTCAAGCATCGAGCTGCGTGCGGCCTTGGCGCGGAGAGATCGATACGGAGAGGCTCGATGAGCATTGCGTTGTCGCCATCTAGCCATAAGCGATCCGCCGGGTGAGATTTGACCCACATCCCCGACAACGTCGCAGATGAACGCTTTCATCTTCAGAAATCTGTCTAGACCAGCCGGAAGGCTAGACATCACGATCTTCTCACGAGCCACGAGATCGCTCAAGACGATGACAATACCTCCGAGACCTCGGCGGTTTGCGCCTTTGGACCCCGCGAAGAGGAGGGAAAATGATAATAGGCCAGTGCTGCAAGGTATCGTGTTTGACGTCGATGGGACATTATGTAAGATGCCCAAAGTTGTTGGAAATGCATGTGCGACTGTGCTGACAGGCTCCAGGCTTGCCGCAGAACTACATGTTTGCGGAAATGCGGGCGGCATTGGGAATCGAGAAGCCAACGGATATTCTAGATCACATTAGCTCTTTACCGAAGGCAGAGCAAGAGGAAGCACAAGAGAAGATTTGCGATATTGAACTCACAGCAATGGAATCGCAACAAGCACAGCCTGGTTTGGTCGAGCTGATGGACTACCTCGACTCACGTGGCATCAGAAAAGCCATCTGCACACGCAACTTTGACGCGCCTGTTGCCAATCTTCTCAACAGATTTCTACCCGTCTCAAAGTTCGGTCCCATCGTGACGCGAAAATTCAAGCCGCCGAAGCCAGACCCAGCGGGCATTCTGCATATCGCAAAGGCCTGGAACCACGAGGATGGAAATGAGTTGATCATGGTTGGCGACTCGATCGACGACATGATGGCTGGGTATCGCGCAGGAGCCGCGACGGTCCTGCTTGCCAACAGCGAGAACCAGGATCTTGTGCAACACAAGTACACGGATTTTGTTATAGAGTCGCTCGATGAACTCATTCAGGTTTTGGACAATGGGTTCGAAGGGAGTAGCGATGCAGGGGAAAAGTAGACAAGGTCACGTGGAGAGGAGAAATCATGTTGTGTAATGTAATCGTTTGGGTTTTCAGGCTTCTGGTGCTGCAAGGAGGTACCGTCACCAAAGCAACCGTGCCTGCAACCTTGACATATGCAGGTACGAGATGGCTGTACACCTCGCCTTTGCTATTGTGACTCAAATCCGGTTAGGCTGCTGGCCTCATCCACAAGGCGAGGCACAAGCGCGCCAAATCCCCGCATAGCTGAGCCCCTCCACAGCGATCAAAACATCCTTACCCTTCAGCTTACCAAGCATCCTTCGCTGCTCAGCCATGTTCGCCCCGTCTAAATGCAGTTTTACGCCCCATAGATGGTCCCGCTGGGCTTTTGTCGCTTACCCATAGGTCCCCATATACTCGCAATATACTCAGGAGAACCCTCGCGCTCATGCACAAGTAATGTACACAGCCCACATTTTCCAAATTATCATGGGTACCACCTGATCATGCGTGCGGCCCATCCGCCCAGAAGGGACAGAAAAGCATTCGAGTCGAGCGGGTAATTTCAATAGCCTTGTCATTGCTCGCCGAAACGTGGCGTCCGCGCATGGCCGTTTCAATGTTTTGCGAGGCGGACCAGTCACAACAACACCTATGTCGCACTTTCGCGTACTATAGTCGCAATTGATACTGTCACAGGTCCAGGGCGAGCCTGGCGGCTTTTGTTGATCCTCCGGGTATCCACTAGCAGATGAGACTTGAAACGCTGGGTGACGTTCGTGTTGATCCTCAGTTCTTCCCGACCCCATGACTTAGCGACTACGACTATAAGTCTCTCCCGTGTGTGCATGTGTGTGTCTGTGTGTGTAACCCTGCAGTCGCACCTTCCACATCTTGTCCTCCACCCTAGTGCCAAGGAACTAGTTGAAATGGTTATAGGAGTCTTCCACGCCCTTGTCTTTCAAACTTCATCTTTACGTCCTTCGTACAACTAATTATTAGGAATAATGAGGTACATTGCGGCCTTCACAGGCCTATTGGCCGTTTCTGGCGCCGGTGCCATGTCTACTTCAATCAATTCTCACATCCAAGGCGAAGTCGTCGAACGCCTCAACGGTGTGCCAGAAGGTTGGAGCGAGGTTGGAGCTCCATCTCCAGATCACAAGCTGTTCTTTCGCATTGCAGTACCCTCAGTAAGTACTGAATAGATTCTACGTTGCTGTTTGGAATGGCATACCAAATTGAAGAGCCTCTACCGAGCTTTTTCGACCTTACTTTCCTCATACGCGTACCCGCAATCCTTATTTCTGTGAGAACTATGCAGGACTAACAGAACCAGAAAAACCGTGATCTCTTCGAAAGAACGCTCATGGAAGTGTCTTCACCAAGCAGCCCGAATTATGGCAAGCACTTGAAGCGAGACGAGCTCAAGGATCTCATCAAGCCTCGAGCAGAGTCTGTAGCCACCGTTATCAACTGGTTAGAGCAATCTGGTGTCGAAGCAAGAGACATCCAGAACAAGGGCGAATGGATTAACTTCTATGCACCTGTCAAGCGCGCTGAAGCGATGATGGGCACTACATTCAAAACCTATCAGAGTGAGGCTCGTTCAAACGTCAAGAAGATCCGATCCCTGGGTTATTCTGTTCCAGGACATGTGCGGCCCTCTATCGACATGATCCAGCCAACAACGCGCTTTGGCCAGATCCGGGCGGAAGGAAGCATGATCTTGAGCCAGGAGGAGACCCCCTTCTCCGTGCTTGCTGTCAATGCTACATGCAACAACAAAATCACCCCAACTTGTTTGGCAGACCTATACAACTTCAAGGACTACAACGCAAGCACTGCAGACACCAAGCTCGGAGTGACTGGATACCTAGAGCAGTATGCTCGCTTTGGTGACCTCGAGAAGTTCCTCAGTGCATTCGCGCCTAACAAAGCTGGTACTTCTTTCGACGTTGAAGCCATCAACAGTATGTTTTGTACATCCAAATGCAAGGCTAGGACGAGCTGACTTCCTACAGATGGACCATTTGACCAAAACTCCACTGCCAACAGTGTTGAGGCTAATCTGGATATCCAGTATACAGTTGGGCTAATATCTCCCAAGATCAAAACCACGTTCTACACAAGCCCGGGACGAGGCGAGTTAGTACCAGATCTTGATGCGCCAGACCAAAGCGACATTCAAAATGAGCCGTACCTGGATCTCTTCACCTATCTTATGGAGCTTGATGACGGTGAGCTTCCCCAAGTGTTGTCGACATCGTATGGAGAGAACGAGCAAAGCGTACCTGCGGCGTACGCCAAGAAGGTCTGCGACATGATCGGTCAGCTAGGTGCTCGTGGTGTATCCGTCATCTTTTCCAGCGGTGACTCAGGTACCGGCTCTGCCTGCCAAACCAACGATGGGAAGAACACGACGCGATTCTCCCCGATTTTCCCAGCTGCATGCCCATATGTTACATCTGTGGGTGGTACCGCCGGTGTTGCGCCCGAAAGGGCTGTTGATTTCTCGTCTGGTGGCTTTTCCGACCTTTGGCCTCGTCCAGCCTACCAGGAAAAGGCTGTAGGCGACTACCTCAAGATTCTAGGAAACCGTTGGGAAGGTCTTTACAACCCCAATGGACGTGGTTTTCCTGATGTCGCAGCTCAAGGCCAGGGCTTCCAGGTCGTCGATTCGGGCCGTGTGAGTTCGGTTGCAGGAACCAGCGCATCAGCACCTGTTTTTGCGGCCGTGGTTGCAATGCTGAACAACGCTCGGATGGGGGCTGGTATGCCTACATTGGGCTTCTTGAACCCATGGATCTATGAGCAAGGCTTCAAGGGCATGAACGATGTTGTTGATGGTGGCTCGAGGGGATGCACTGGTCGGAGCATCTACTCTGGCCAGAAGACGCCCGCTGTACCTTTTGCCTCGTGGAATGCCACAAAGGGGTGGGACCCGGTAACAGGATACGGAACACCTGACTTTGAGCAGTTGCGCCGCCTTTCGACAATGCCGCAGTACGGTAAGCGTCGGGTCCGTCGTAACCCTCACGGCGACATGTAGCCGGAGGTCTCAGAACTGCACAGTGCGCTTCAAGGTGTTTCAATGCTTTTTCCCTTGCAGAGCCGGAACTTTGACAGGATATACTTGTCCTCAAACGAACGAATGCTATTTATTGTATCACGAATGCTGATGATGTTGATATTAAGACCAGTCAGGGTCGTGATTGTGCTGACACTTGGCACACGCCACTCCCGGCATTTGCTGACAGCTTCTCGAACAAGATAGCTTAATTGTGACCTCAGGCCTTGTTTAGAGGCAGCAGCATGGTTTCTTGCGTTGAATCTGCTTGTGATATTTTGCTGGTTAGGATATCGATGTAAGTTCGTTTCATGGCCGCGGCGACACATCTCGTCGCGTCTCCACAAGCCGCCCAATAGGGTACCCACAGCACCACGATGTCTCTACAGTCGCCCTATGCGCCGTGCGGTGAGTTTGTTCAATCATTATATGGGAGCGCCGCCCAGTGCGGACCCAGTGCGGAGGTGCCACACGAGCGTTCTTTACCAGCTGCCTGTTGTGGTTAAGGGCAGAGATGTAAGCCTGTCAAGCATCCGCCACAGGTGCTTGATGCTTGGACACGCGGCAAACGACGCCGCCGCGCATAGAAAACACAGCTGTGAAGCTTTTCCTCTCCAATCATGAGTCATGGCCTACATACCATCACACGCGCTGCTCGTTCCAGGGCCTCGGTTCGCGGCATAAATATTGGTCATGTTGGAAAAGATAAGGAAGTTCGGTAATTTGGTGGCTAACTAATCGGACGACGCAACGCTTTTAGCTATCAAAACCAAGGCGAACCAGTTGCGGCGGCCCGGTGCTTGTTCGCATTGGCAGTGCGCTCGGCCAGGGGCTTGTGGAAGCTTTTTTTCTTCGCGGGTGGGTAACTATGGGCCGAGTCCAATAATGTGGTTATGATGTTTAGTCGCCCCGGTCTCTATCTCGGCCCATCCACATGTGAGAAATGACAGGTTGAGAAGTAGGGCACAGAGACTGTTTTGCAGCTGTCAAACATTTGTTTCAAACATGTCGACTATGGGTCCAGCTCCAACTGCAACACCTACGCATGTCAATTACCTTGGCACAAGAGAAGCGTCTTCGCAATCGACGCAGGGCGGTAGGTAATGACACTCACGGGCCATTGCTCACGCCTGCCTAAAGTGGAAAAGAGCTGGGACCCTGTGCGTAATCGACTATCTGTGTTTGTACAGGTACCGCGAGATAGATGCCGTGCCAGATGCAGGGTAGCAGCTCCCAAAGTGACGTCGATTGCGCCCTCCCTACCTACTTGAAGAAGGCCTGGTGCCCGTCAAGTTTCTTTCTGTTCTTCACGGCCCTTGATAGTCACAGTTGCGAACTTGACTACCGATTATCAATCAAGCCAAGATGCAGCTGCTTTCCTTCGTCGCTGTTGCTGGTCTCACGGCAAGCGTTGCTGCACGCAGCGCTCGCTCTGTTGGCAAGGACTTTGAACTTCCTCGCCCTCGCCTCACGCGTCCCCTGCCGAGCGTTCAGCAGCACAAGCGCCAGAGCAAGCAGATCATTACCACTGAGGCTTCAAAGTGTATGTTGAACAGACATGCCGCTATGTGAATATGCAACTGATATCATACAGCTTTCGCCGTCAATGGCTCTGCTGGCGCAATTCCCCAAGTCGACTTTGACATTGGCGAGTCATATGCTGGTCTTCTCCCCATCAGCGACAAGGCCAATGAGACGTCTGAGCTCTACTTTTGGTTCTTCCCCTCTGCGAACCGAGATGCCGACGACGAGATCACCATCTGGTTGAACGGTAGGCATCATCTTTATAAATGCAAAGGCCAATTTAGTCTCACAATCCCATAGGTGGACCTGGTTGCTCCTCTCTCGAGGGTTTCCTCCAGGAAAACGGACCCATCTCATGGCAGTACGGCAGCGGTCCCGGTCCCGTGTACAACCCATGGAACTGGGCCAACCTCACCAACATGGTCTGGGTTGAGCAGCCCGTCGGCACCGGTTTCACCCAAGGCACACCCACGGCTACAAGCCAAGAAGAAGTTGCCGCAGAGTTCCTCGGCTTCTTCAAGAACTTCATCAACACCTTTGGTCTGCAGAACCGAAAGGTCTACATCACTGGCGAGTCTTATGCCGGACGCTATGTGCCCTACATCGCCGACGCCATGTTGAGCGCAAACGACTCATCCTACTACGACGTCAAGGGAATCATGTTCTACGACCCCAGTGTGGCCAACGATGTGCTCCTCGAGGATATTCCCTCTGTTCCCTTTGTCGACAAGTGGGCCGGTCTCTTCAACTTCAACGAGACTTTCATGAAGGAAATTCACCAGCGCGCAGACGAGTGCGGATACACTGAGTACATGGAGAAGTACCTTACCTTCCCCCCTACCAGCAAGCTCCCCATCCCCACAAAGGACGCCAGCACGCCCAACTGCTCCATTTGGAACGACATCATCGACGCCGTCATGCTCACAAATCCCTGCTTCGACGTCTACGCTGTCGCCACCACCTGCCCCTTGCTCTGGGACCCCCTTGGCTTCCCCGGCTCCTTCGACTACCTTCCCCCCAACACTGAAATTTACTTCAACCGCACCGACGTGCAAAAGGCTATCAACGCCCCCGTCCAGCCCTGGGCTGAGTGCTCCAACGGCGTCCTCGACACTGACTCCTCCCCCCAATCCTCATGGGAAGTCATCCCCCGTGTCATCGATGCCCTAGACCGCACCGTCATCGCGCACGGCGAACTCGACTTCATCCTCCTCTACAACGGTACCCTCATGGCCATCCAGAACATGACCTGGGGCGGTGTCCAGGGTTTCCAGAAGCCGCCTACTGACGACTTTTACGTCCCTTACCACACTGACCTCAGCCTCACTAGTCTGAGCGCAAAGGGCATCATGGGCAAGACGATTACCGAGCGCAAGTTGACATATGTCCAACAGGCGCTTAGTGGACATATGGTCCCCCAGTACCAGCCTAGCAGCGCGTACCGCCAGCTAGAGTTCTTGCTGGGTAGGATTGATAGCTTGACTAGCCGTGTTGGATTTACTACGCTGCCGGCTGTTGAGCAGAGTAATGCGACGAGTGTCGTGAGCAGGGATTTGGGAGTGATGAAGAATGAGTTTAAGAAGTGGTTTTAGGTTATGAGATAATGATTCGAATACTACATACTTAATGTGTAGTTTAGCTGAGCTATTGAATACAGGCTATTCTCACCAAAGATTCCTCCCTTGTTACAACTCCGACTTACCTCGCAGCTAGAGGATCAATCCAAAACTAACCCGCTACGTTCTCAGCAACCCTCGCGCCATCGCTTCCAAGCACGCCCTCCTGCCTCTCCGCCGTCTCATCCGCCACACCCGCAAAAATCTTGGTGATAGCCTCAATCGTCGTATTCCCCCCACTAAACACCACACCAACATTCCACCCCTCTTCGCCAGCCTCCCTCTGCACCATGTTTCTAAAATCTTCATTATACAGTACAGTCGCCAGCCCCACGACAGCACTCGGCTCCACAAAGCACTTCATGCGCTCCAGCACCAACATCATCGCATCCTTTATATTCTGCTCCGTCACAGCGTAGAGGCCCTGGACGAAAGTAGGGTCAGACACGATACCCCAGTTGTGGTGGCCGAGCGGTGTACGCAGCCCATCAGCAATGGTAAGTGTCTTTACGCTCTCGACGCGGGATCCAGCCTGCACACCCCGTCTTGCATCATCCGCGCCCTGAAAACTAGGTTCAGCGCCAAAGACGCGTATTCCAGTGTCTTTGAGCGCAACAGCAATACCGCTTAGCATTCCGCCACCACCACATGGCGCAATTACCGCGTCTAATTTGCCATTGTTCGCCTCGAGTAGCTTCTCGACTTGCTCTTGTATCTCTAGGGCCATGGTGCCTTGGCCAAGGATTATGTTGGGGTCGTCGTAGGGTGGGATTAGGGTTGCACCGGTGTTTTTTATCACGTCTGCGACGACGGCTTCGCGTTCGGCGCTCGTAGAGCCAGAGAAGTGGAGGGTGGCGTTTTGGGCGCGGGTTCCTGATATCTTCGAGGGCGTGGATATGCTGGGCATGACGATGTGGGCGGGGATGGAGAAGGTGCGGGCGGCGAGGGCGAGGGCCTGAGCGTGGTTTCCTGTGTGGTTGCGTTGGTATTGAGAGGATTACATGAACTTGAGACATGTTGTAGAGCCTTTTTGTATCATGCTTGGGTTGCTGAGTTTGGAGAATGAAGACGAGATCCTACCACTACTGTGCGTAACCACTCCTTTCCTCTGTACCTCTTCTAGTCCTTCCTGCTCGGTCAGGCGCATAGTCGCATGGAACGCGCCGCGGACTTTGAATGCGCCAATTCGTTGGAAGTTCTCACACTTGAAGAAAAGTCTAAACCTTGGCTTCGCCGGCGCTTTCCCTTCCCATTGTGTCCCTTTGAGCGCATCGGCACTTTGAGGCGTAGACGCGAGGTTGGTCAGGGTCGTGTTTGTCAGGACGGGCGTGTCGTGAATGTGGGGTTGAATGAGAGCGCGGGCGGCAGACACAGAGTCGCGCGTCAAGGGGAGTGTATTTCCAGGTTTCGAAGATGCCATTGTGGCTGGGTGAAGCACTTCAGGTGAGTTTGAGTCATGGATGTTCTGGTGTGGAGGGGCCGCGGGGAGACGGCGGGTGAGGGCCTTGTCTGATACGAGTCATGTCGCGATACGGCTTCTAGGCCGAACGTAAGTACTACGGATGCTTGGCCGTGGCTCCTCCATTACAACACCAACAAGGCATCCTCGAACGCGTCGCTACGAAATCAGGCATACGCATTAGTTTCGTCCAAGTTGAAGTGAGCGTAATGACTTTTCGTGAATAATGAAAAGCCACATTCCATACTTAGATGTTCAATGCAAAGAGCATTGCAGTCTCCAACTAATGAGAAGAGGGGTTGTAGATTCTATGAGTATGGATATGTATACTCCAGGCCTGGTCTCACGATATATCTACTGTTGTCCAAAAGATATTGAGGGTCTCCAGGCCATCACACCAGCACATGACACATTACTCATCAATGCCATGAAGACTTCTACGGCCCGATAAAACCACATCAAGATATCTACTCAAAATGTCGCAAAGCTATACAGGGTACATCGCCATGACATGTATTATTCAATGAAATCAGATCGAGGTTCATCACAGTAGCACAAGACAGGGCAGTTGGGAAAGGTAACAGAGATATCATTCCACACCAGGATGGCAGTGTCTGAACCTATACTATATAAAGAACCACCGAGACATCAATCCAGATCATGGTGGACATGTCAACTATCAGTACCATGTAGGAAGCCACTTCGTGAAACCGCCTATCACTGTCCCCCCCCCCCCCCCCCACTCACAAACCAATGGCTTTTGCGAGCTCAGGATACCATTGGTCGCTGTTCTTACTAGGAAGACCCGTCTTGTGTTCGACGATTTGAAATTTGATCTTCGTGGCGTGCATCTGAAAGCCAGCCGAGCGGTAAACAGCGCACGATGCCAGGCGATCCTCACGGTGGAAGAGCTCTTCAATCTGGAGATCGAGGCTCCGGAGCTTGGTGATGCTTGTGGTGAGAAGTTGGAGGATGCGGGCACCAGGGCAGTATCGGAAGAGTTGGTCAGCAGAGATGATGGGGAACCAGGCGCGGGATTCGTCGTTCCACCAAATGTCTGAGAGGTACACAACGATGCGTATCTGTCGGAGGTACTTGTGAGCCCACAGAGGGGGCAGCGCAGGGGGCATGCGGCAGCCGAACTCGTTTATGGCCGGGTAGGCGTCTTTGCGGGAGCCGTGGGCGAATTTCCAGAAGTCGAAGCGGTTCACCTCATAGAACACGGGGACTGCGACAACGGCGAAGTTGTAGTCGACACGCATCAGCTTGCCGAGCATGCCCATGCGGGAGAGAAGATCGTAGTACTTCTTGTCTACGCCCGCCTTGCTACGGGCCGACGATCCCTCGAGGACCAACGCGAAGATCTTCTGCAAGATCTCGTTGGGGAGTATGATATTGCGGCGAACCGCAGGCTGCACCATGGTGATGGTGTTTGGGGAAGACATTCTACTTTTCGTAGATGTCTTGGTGTGTCTGAAGGTAATGGAAGGAGATTTTAGGGTGGTATTGGAGTGTTTTGAGAGCTTTGAGATTTTGAAGCCGAAAAAACTCGAAGAACGTCAAAGTGTAGGACGGCTTATATACCCCAGAAGCTAGGCTGCTAGCGTTGTAGGCTAGAAGATATCACCGTTCCTAAGACAGGAAGAAGAGCGTGAGAGTATGCCAGGGAATTGCCGTTTGCTTGCTTTCACTGCACGGGCAACTCTCTTATGATTCGCCGAAGAGGAGTCTAATCGGTAGCAGTGGCTCCTCCGTCGATGAATTATCCCAGAGAGTTTCTCATACAGTAAGCAAGAGAACCTCAAGTCTACGGTCTGAACTGAACTTGACTGAGAAGGGGTTCCTTGCTCTCTGCTGTCTTCAATCTAGACCAGAGAATTGTGGGGCCAATTGCTCTTCAATGTTGAGAGCAAGTGCAAACGGAGATTCTCGGCACGCTGGAAGAGTGCAAGAGTACCGGCTGCTAGCATGTGCAAAGCCATCGAGCAGCACAGGGAGGCCCAGGACAACCAATAGCTGAGAACGTCCACGGACACATGTGACTGAAGAACTATTATTATGCTCTGATGATGTTCCGTGAATGTAGCCCGCCAATTGCGCTGTGGAGTTGTTCTGTCGCGTATGGCACTATGTTGTTCCAAGGTTTCTATTGGGAAACTGCATCAACACAGACCCACCACCATTTGCGTCCACGGCCGTGAATGACGTGAACCTATCCGAGAAGAAGGCACTGCTACTGTAAGATGCAAAAGTCTTTAGGCCTTGCATCTCGCACCAAGAATGAGGACTAACTCGATAGACCAGATCCATGGATGGCGCAAACGAGTGTAGATCCGGGTGCGTCGAGCTTGCAATATCGAAAAAAGCCACCCACGCCTGCAACGGTAGTGCGAACGAGCCGAAAAGACCGAACTGAGGAGGAGGCATAGATACCACAGACTGGTCGTGCGTTGCGACATGGTTTCGCATAAGATAAGGACAGGACTGACGGCGTTCAGCGCGAAACGGAGGCGTGAACCACGGCATGCAAGAAGTATTGGACTTGAGCATATTCAATCTTGAGATGGCCGAGCGACTGGGCAACGAACAAGGAAGACGTTTGAGGAAGAGGCATAGGCGTCGTGGTCCCGTTTGGCAGAGGCAGTGGTACGAGCAGGCAATGTCTGGGCCAGGACAACCTTCGCTACGCATACTACTTGCTACCGAGCAAGAATACACTCATGAGAGCTTCTGGGATATCGAGAAGAAGATGCCACACAAGTGGGATTCGTCTTCAAGTGGAAAGACAAAGCTCCAAAGAGCCAGGGAGAGCTCAGCATGAGGAAGGACCAGAGTCCCACGAAGACACTACAGCACAAATAACACAAGCATAGAGAGCAAGGCTGTGGCTTCCAGCATATGCAGGATATAGAGAGGCTGGCAGGTGTGCATCTAGCTTCAATGAGCGGCGCTTGTGGCAGGCGAGCGAACATGAAACAACACCGAGGCATCACAGAAAGACGCATATGCCGCTGGGCTCTCAGCAGTGATAGATCCTGGAGGTAGATTAGTGGTTGATCAACGTGACAGAGATCGCAAGGCATATGCAAGAGGGCAACAGGTTCAGCAAAGCGGCGACGGCAGAGAATCGTTGAGCCTAGAGATGTATCAGTAGCTGCTTTGAAGTTAGAGGGCGCAATAAAGCACAAGTCATTAAGCAATTTTGTCGAGGTTCGTATTGTCAAGGCGCGTGCGCATGCTATATTTGCTGTCGAAGAGCGACTGCAACCTCTTCGTAGGGGAGCTATAGCTATATCAGCCGACGCCATATAGAAGCAGAGCAATCAAGGTCACGCATCTAATTCTGCGCGATGAGGTAGAAGCATTGATTGGTGAAGAGCCTATGCGACGTGCAGTTCAAGACCAGCTGCAGTGAGTGACGTAGCGACCTTGACAGAGTAGCTCCGGTAATGTTAGCAGATGATTCAGTAGAGAAGCCAGACAAAAGGCTGGATAAAGTGCGCCCAGCTCCGGGGCGCAGCAAAGCCACGGGGGCAAGACAGCAGACCGGGGGAGCTGGGTATGAGGTTGGTGTTGAAGAGACGGCGGAGAGGTTCCAAGGTCGCAGGTCGCCCACGTGGCACCTGCATACACTAGTTAAGTTAGCGTAGATATTACTGGCGCCGCGCGCAAAATGAAGGACGAGACGGGCAATCCGAAAGCCACAAAACAGTGAATCCAAGACCTAGAAGATGCTGCAGAGAAAGTGATTAGGAAGGCCATGAAGCGACTTCCCTCTAACACACATCTTATATAGCTGAATTATCCAAGAGAAAATCCTTCAAAACCTTCATCTACACTTAAGTTTTCAGCTGCAGATAGAAAATGCGAGCATCTTAACGTCGAAGACGTGGAAGTTGACCATGTTGCTGTATTGGTCCGTGCCCGCTAAGTTAGCGTCGTCGTTCCCGCTACCCGCCTCCGTTCTTCGCATGCCATCTTACCTCAGTAACCTAACATTCACTGTCGCTTTCTGTGCAAATGCAAACACGAAAGCAATCTTAATATGCTATGACCAAGAGACCCCATGCCAGTATCACCCGTTCACATGTGGAGCTTCCAGAACGACAGGCGTCATACGATGGCGACGGAAGCCACGAGGATGGGGACGGATCATCGCTAAAGAAGCCGCGGTCTTTTATGGCAACTTTAGTAAGCCGTGTCTGGCTCGACCATGGATATGTGTTGACGTTGACAGGCATGCGATATATGCCGATCAAGAAAGACAAGATGCGACGAAGATAGGCCGAGCTGTGGTTATTGTAGGTCAATGAACTTGGAGTGCAGATATCAGGCTCCACGAGCCACGAAAAAAGACCAGTCTATGGCAGTCGCTATCAACGCTATTCGGCGGTTGGAGTCCAAGATTGAGGACCTGACAACAGCCATTAACACGCCCAAGCCTTCGTCTGCATTGCCGTTTTCACCAGCACCAGCCATGATGGACCACCACTCGCCTAGCACCGTCTTCTCTCAACCTAACCCTGGAAGTCATATTGTAACCATACCTCCGAACAACCTGCAGCGGAATAGGCTAAGCATACATGAGCTTGCCATGTCTCCACAGGTTGTTGGGACGTCTGCCAAGAGTCCGGTCCATATGCCTGAAGTTCACGGCGCGGTAGATCTCTCTTTCAGCCAGCATCGCGTCGCACTATGGCCTGCTATCAAGCAAATCCTTCCAAGCGATTTTGTCTCTGCTCGTGCCGAGCTTCCTGAAGACTACATAGTCGACCGGGAAACATGCCGACCGCCTCTACCGATGCATATCGATCGCCCGTATGGCACGGAATCAGAAAGTTGGCTGATGAGCCTTCCACAATCCGCAGTAAAAGGACTTGCGGATGCTTACTTTGCTGTATTTCATCGCAATATGCCTGTTCTGGACAAGTACCACTTCTTCTCGAGCACACTAGGCATGGCCATGGAGAAAGAATTTGGTTATGACCTTGAATCTGCCTTGGTGCTGAACGTATTAGCTCTGGGCTGTCTAGCCGTCAAGGCTCACGAGGAAGGTGATTTCGCTCTTACCTCTCGTCAATGCTCTACAAGACGTGGCTTTATACAGCCTGAGTGGTACGCGCTGATTACAGACGATCCACCAGGACTCAACTTCTTCAATGAGGCAAGAAAGCGGCTTGGCTTTCTCATGTGCCAAAACGATTTGCAAGCAGGCCAGTTCTATATGCTCTCAACGCTCTATTACGCACAGATTCTGCGTCCTCTTGATTCATGGACTACTGTGAACAGGGCTGCGCTATGCTGCGCGAGCATCCTAGCACGTACTGACACGGTCGACTATGAAACTTGGGAGGGCGACATGCTCTCAAGGCTCTTCTGGTGCACATTGATGTATGAGACGGTCATCACACAGGAGCTCGATCTTCTTCCCCACAGCGGATTACTGGAATACGAGCCTGACATCCCTTTACCGAAGTTCGCGCAATGTCCACGGCCTAAGACGTCCATATCAGGCCTACTCACCGACGAAAACGATTCTTTGTTCAATTTTCACTTCCTTGCTCAGGCTGCGCATCGCATCCTCCTAACACGTGTGAAGCAGAGCGTATACACGTTTGCGGAAAAAGACAGCTACCCAAGCGCCAGCTTGACAGCGGAAATGCATCACCAGTTGGAGCAATGGCGCGCGAACCTCCCGCCATCACTCCAATTCTCGGACCAAGATGATGCCAGCGACTCACCCAGCCCTGCACACGTGATTGCCAAAGCGATGTTACGCAGTCGCTACCTCGTCGCAAAACTCCACATCGGTCGGCCATTTCTGTATAAAGCGCTACATGCCCCAGCCTACACCAACGAAGCAGAGTATGATGAAGTGCGTAAGGGACTACGGGGTGGCATGTACTGGCCAACGACCATGGGGCTCTGCACGCAGATGTTGTCGGCACTACCGATAAAATTCGGCTGGTGCTGTCAATGCTTTGGACAGGTGCTCCTATTCCATGCAGTTGCACGAAGCCCGGACCCCAAACTACGGGAAACTCTGCCGGGGGGATGGCGGGAGTGGGTGACCATCATGATGACGCTGATCGAGAGTTGCGCAAGGAGTAGTCCGGGTATTGCCAAGGACTATGAGCTGTTGCGTCTGCTGGACGCCTAATGTATATTATTATTTGCGAAGTCCACAATCATGTATAGACAACAAACTTACATCAGCCTGCGATACGTGGTGCCACCAGAGTCGAGGCAGACGTCCGTAGTGGTGCGCTCTTGTGAGATGAAAGATGACTGGCCATGCCCGTTGCTGCGAGCGCCACAGCGTCGATCATGCCAATTATAGACCATGTGCGGCGTGCGCGTCCAAAGTGGCTGACTAACTGCTACAGAAGAAGGCCTTGTCATGATTGTAATGACTAAATCTTACCGCATCGTTAGTCTCGCAAGCGTTTCTTCTCATGGCAGCAGTAGTTACAACGATACGAAAAATATGATAACCGGATACTGCCACACCAAGACTGCTTTCCGTAGCGCAGCTTATGTGCATGTTCTGTGTTTGATCTGCAACTCTGCCTCAGCCCTTTCCGGGCGGCAGCTATCCCCTTTGCAGACACGCTAGTTCTGTTTTAGGTTGATGAAAGTAACCCCTGGGATGCTCCGTCAGCTCCCGTCTGACATAGGATTTGCCCGGCCGCTAAACAAGGGCGATCGTCTCCTAACTTCCTCATGTACATTCCATTCATTTCAGCCGGTTGCCCTTTCTACATGCTACACCTTTCTGTTTTATTTTGTGCCGATACACCATAGACGGCCTGTTGACGATATTCACGTTTCGCGCTTCGGCTTTGTGTTTGTTCTTGGCCGGCAGTGTTGTTGAATCCATCCCGGCGCGCGACGGGGAATTCGACAACGACGGTGCAGAGACTCTGAACCCCAGACTCTACTTCTGCAACCATGGGCGACTACTCGTATCAATCGCTGGCCAATATGGGACCACAGGGTCGCTGGCGGCGCGTTTTGTTGCTTGCAATGGTGCCTTTGGCCCTCACCCTCGTTTACATCAACTACCCGTCCTCATACATGCCCACTAGCCTGAGAACGACAACGTATGTCACCGAGCTTTCCATCTTCCCTGACCAACTAACACGCGCCAGATATCCGCATACACAGAACATCTCCCTTCCCAAAGATGATCTTTCCATGGCAACCATCATAAAAGCCCTCTATGGCCCCGTGCTGCATCCGATCGATGCTGCAAACTTCACAGACGAAGATGGAGATGTGTACCGGTTGGCTGGCGAGCCACGGTACAAGAGCAAATTGGGCAAGAAGGTGCTTATTTTGGACATTGACAGCAGGCCGTTGACAGACGAGGGCCAGCTCATGAACGAGAATCTGAAGTGGAAGGGCATGCGATCGCTGAGTGCGGGCATGTTGGCACATTACATGTTCGGTACGCTATCCTGGCACCTCAAGGCGTGACAATGGCAGACTCGACTAACGCCTGACAGCCAAAATACACGGCTACGATTACAAGTTCATCCGCGCACCCGACTACGAAGACCGCTGGGGCACCTGGGTCAAGGTCCCCATGATGAAGGAGGCGCTCAAAACACACGAATACATCGTCTTCATGGACTCGGATGTAATGTTCCATTATCCGCATCTGCCGCTCGAGTGGCTCCTGAACTACTGGAACATGACTGATGACACTCTCGCCATGATGTCACTCGACCCCAACGAACCGCAAAACTACGACGAAAAGGGCAACAGGTACCTAAACACCGGTTTTGTCATTGCGCGACAGAGCCAGCGGACACAGGACATGTACAAGGCGTGGGCTGAGTGCCCCTCCGAGACAAAGTACAAGGGCTGCGCAAAGTGGAAAACTGGCTGGGCACACGAACAGGCCGCGTTTGGAAACTATCTACGATACGACTACGACCGACCAGACGACATCCGTGTTCTCCCTTGCGTCGAAGCCAACGGAGCGCCTGAAGCAGTGGATCGCGGTGGCTGCAAGGGCGTTTTCGTGCGACACTTCTGGGTCGACAAGGGTTTGGTGGCCAAGAACCTGGCAGACAGCGTCATGCAGTACTTCCTACCACGCTTACACGAGGCCTACATGGGCGCTGCCCAGGAACATGTTGTGGATGCAAAGGGGTTCCGCCTCGAGGGCGCAGAGCTCATTGAGATGACAGCGGAGGAGAAAGAGATTGCGAAGCAAGCCCCGGGAAAGAACCAAAAGGATGAAGGGTGGTAGAACAACCCGGAATTCCACAAAGGTCTCCCGGCCTCGCTAAGGCGCGATTGAACCCCAATCGAAATCATACGAACGATTCACGCCGTCGTAGTCTGCTACAAGCACTGGCATCGACTGTCGGACGCTATTCACCCCTCGCGCAACGCTTTTCATCACATCTACGCAACGCATGGCTACCATCTATAATGTCATCTACTCCACGACCAACGGAACGGACATGTCATTTTTATATACCGGGAGTTGGCTTCGGCATTCACGGGCGCCTTGGGTTTTGTCTCGTCACGTTTTTTTTGGAACGCGACTTTGGTTGCTCGCATATGTTATGTGTTAGTTTTTTGGCGTACGGCTTGGATATCATTTTTGGATGAATGAGATGCATCGTCTTGTAATATGAGCGTCTTTTTTCTTATCCACGCTACAAAACTCCAAGCATGACTTTAAATGTAAGCTAGAACCGACGCTGAAGAAGATTTTCTTCAAGTTTATGACGTGCTTTTTACTGTAGGATATGTACCACTGCATGTTCAACGGTCCTTGCTTTGTAGTTTGTGTAATGCCAGCAACGTGTACAACACAACACGCCACTGTCTACACACAACATAACCATGATACCAGTCTATCCAATCCACCCGTGTTGCATACGCCTATACCTCGCCTTCAATATCCGCCACCCTCGGCAACTTATGCAGCCGTAGTCCACAAAACCTCGCAACAAGCTCAACCTATTCCTCGTCAGCTTAGACACATCCCAAACCCCCCACTCACACACTTGTCACATACATTCTGCTGCATTGTCTCCACATCCTCCATACTGTTCCCCAGGCGCCTACTCGCCCGCATATGCCACGCAGTCTCCCTAGGTAAGTTCTGAATCATGATACCGGATAGTACCACGAGCTCTGATTCTATGCCGCTGAGGATGCTGTGGTCTGAAAGGAAGAGGCCGTAGGTTATTTCCTTGCTTATCCATTCTGTGCGGGTGAGGGCATGTAGTTAGTATCAGCTGTGGTGAGGATGGGTAGAGTGGGACGGAAATGGGATGGAATGGGATGGGAGGGTGGCTTACCAAAATCTTTATGAGATGCGAGGACGTCGTTGATGCCGGTTATGTTGTGCTTGTATAGTTTGCTTAGCCATGCGTTGCCGCGTTCGAAGTTTGCTTCGTCGCATTGCCATCCTTCTCTGTGTGTTTGGTCAGCTGATTTGGTCTCGGTTCTGTCTAAGTGGCATTGTCGATATCGTTGCTGCTGCTGCTGCTGAGCAGTCGTACCTAGAGAAGCTGTAATCTTTATCTTCGGGCGCGGTAACGTCGTCGAGGAAGAATATGGCGTCGAGAGGCTTGCAGACTCCTACGATCGGAACGAGCTTGACTAATGTTTCTCGTATCCTCCGCATCAGCGCTTTTCGTTGCTCTGAGTCTTGGTACTCGGGCCGCTGGATCAGCTGTTTGTAGAGGAGGGGTACAAAGTTGTATTGGCCACCGCCTACCATGGCTGCAAGCTAATTTTGCTCAGTGTGTAGCTCATACATTTGGAGGGGATTGGTACCAGTAATAAGTACCACTTGTCATCCCCGAGTGTCTTCGATGGGAATTGCTCTTCCACGGTCTTGAACAGAGTCAGAGCCTCTTTATCAGTAGGATCCGGAATAATTGGAATCTCTTTGGTTGCCATTGTAATGCTTTTGTTGTTAAGAGGCTACAATGGATTCGATAGATGATGGTGTATTATGTGGTAGATCTATGGACTACTATCATGTGTGCACCTAGTGTGGTGATCTTCCGATGTTCGGAAAGCTTGGGATGATGACATGGTGGAAGGTCCGAATGTGACGCGTCTTCGGCACGCGTTGACTACCGGTAAGTATGGCGGGGTAATCTTGGAAGTCCCCTCTGCAATTATCACATGCCGGGTAGCACTTTTGGGAATGTTACGATAACAGTAGTTCAATTGGTTTCATTCTTGAACATGGACTACACTTACGTGACTGCTACTTCACTCTCACTGTAACCTTACTTATTACTCACTCGTTCATCCCGCTGTGGAAATCCGATTATTCCGGGACAAGGAATTTACAAAATTTCCAATTCCATTCATGTGAAGTAAATGAGTGTATCTCCACACCATATTTACCAGATCAAGGCATCGGCCTACATGGTAGCAGGCGCGGCAGCACCAACAATGTGGGTGATATAAAATACTGGACAGTGTGGGCAAGCACCTAATAGACGTGTCTGGTGACTATAGTGGCTTTTTTACACTAGTATGTCCAGTATTTTATGACACCCGGGTGAACGACAGTCTTGCTGGACATGGTCTCAAGACGCTTGAACCCACCATGCTGCTTAACACCCTCCTGCAAAACCACCATTCTCTTCTGGTCGCCTGTCGGATCATCAGCCTCCTGCTCCAGGCCCCACGCCAAGTACTCATTCGTATAGTTTGGAGTGAATCCGTCATCCAGCACACCAAGCCTCTTGCCATAACGCGTTACTTTCTCCCAGTCACGCTTGACATTCTGCAAATCAGGGCTGAAGTACGCAAAGCTGCGCTCGAAGATCTTGCGGTTGACTGGAGTGTTCATGGCAGACTTGAAGTTGCAGAACATGTCCCAGGCTTCGTCGGGAGAAGCAAGAACGAAGTCCGTTGCGCGCTTGCAGGCGCGGAGGAAGGCGCGGACTTTCTCTGGGCTCTTCTCGATGAAGGTATTGTTTCCAATGTATAAGATGCTGCAAAAGCAGCAGCATCCAAGCTGAGCGAGCTCATCGATACGCAACATCTTGACTTCGTCGCGCGAGCGGTTTTGACTGACAAGCCACTCCTCGAGCTCCACCATCTGTACATTCTCCAATCCAATGCCGGCGTCAATCTCTCCGGTGATGATGGAGCGTGTAACGTTCATACCGACACGTACAGCCTGGTAGTCGTCGGGCGACATACCATAGTGCGCAGTGAGTTCATCCAACTGGATCTTGCCAAACTCGCCAACATAGCCAATCTTCTTTCCTTTGAGGGTAGTAAAGTCAGGGGTGATCCCAGAAGAGGTCAAGTATACAACGCCTGTGAAAGGCTCGTTGAGTAGAGAGCCGATGGACTGGACTGGAAAGCCGCGAGCGGCTGCAGCGAGGGTGTGAATCATGGCCTTGAAGCCGAGATCGACTTTGCCGGAGCCAATGATCTCAGTAACATCCTAATCCGGTAAGTTACTTCATGCTAGATGGATTGGGCTTGAACATACGCTTGGGTCATTGGGCTCCAGGAGAGCAACCTTGATGCCTTCGTCTTTGAAGTATCCCAGACTCTGTGCGAGATACAGAGGGGCGTGGTATGGCGTAGCGTGCCTGCTCTTGTTAGCAAATGCCTTGTGAAACCAGGCGTGAACCGCACCAATTGGTCAAGAATGTGATCTTGTCAGTCGACATCTTGACTTGTGTGCGGATGCTATACTAGTCAGAACGCCAATAGCGAGGGGAAGGGGACATCATGAAGCAGCAGTAGTCCTTCGCGCTGGAATTATCCAGATCAAGTTTAAACGGTATAATCTCAGAACAAGCCACCAACAACCGAGACTCCCGTGAAGGAGGCACAATTGCTGATGACCTGAACACCCGCCATGCTTTGCTTCTGATGGTTGAGATGGGTACCTGATGATGCCATTCTGGGCATCTCTTCTACTTGACCGAGATGGAATCCTGGAGTGCGAAGGGTAAAGCCAGCAAGGCCCTGCAATGCTGGTTCGATGATAGCATCGTACCAAAGTGGAGGATTGTATGTGGATGTAATGCTTGAATGATAAAACGGCTCAAGAGTTGTGAAACGAGAAGTAGTGTTCGATCACGGAACAATTCCTGCTACTTATATCATTTACATGTACTACAGATTTGTTGAGCTTGATGGCGTGTGAACGGCTCATATGCGATGCAGGTGTATTGGTAAACAGCGGGGCAGTGAGGGGCAGAAGAACACTACACGTCGATCTGCGTCATGCAACCGCACGGATGAATGTCCCTTGCCAGCTCCTACTCGTCAGAAACTTGCTCTCATAGAGTTACGGTTCGCTAACATTAATGCAGATGGCTCAGTTTGGAGTTTCTCTGTGCCTAGACACACGGCAGCGCATGGTAAAGTGGGGGTCAAAGGTGCTTCATCGGGAAGAATTGGTTGGCTAGTTCGCATATTGACAATCAAATGCTTTGTGGTTCAAAAAGACGTGGTATGGTTTGAAATAAACCCTCGTAATCGGCAAAAATAAGTGCGGTGACTGGCCGTCACTCTAGCTACCAGAGCCAACATTCGGAAAGACCCAGGGTGCCCTCCAGCCAGCCAGCACCGAAACTTTCAAGCCCAAATTCCCCGTTGTCAATCCCAGGAAGTCCCGATTCACAACCACTGTCTAAGGCATTGTCCCGATCGCACAAGTCCTTGCCGCTTGTATCTACATAATCACGATCCCAGACCAGGGGAATGAAGCTTCCAAAAGTTCCATCGAGTGGTGAACGCGATAACATTGTATCTGTATCCGCGATTTCAAAGCTTGAGTCAAGGCCATCTACGATCATACGATCCGACTCGTGTTGGTGTTGTTGCCGTACTGGGAGATCAGTGTGCATTCTGGCAATCTTGGGTAATGCGTTCGGTCGCCCTTCACTCGAAGTCGGGCGTTTTTTGCTTGGGTCAGCTCCTGCAACTAAATTGGTGTGTTCCTTCCAATCTGTCATTGTTGAACCATCTTTGAAGTGCTTAGCGATATGCCTTTCTCTTGCTTCCCATGTCTTAAGCTCATGTCCGCAAAAGCCACAGATCCAGTCTTCAGCCGTTTCATCTCCTGTTTCCCCTCTCCTCCAAAGATCTCTGACTTCTCCATCTAGGGGCGCTTTGTGAAAGTTGTTGACGTGTTGTCGCAAATGATCAGGTCGCAGGAATGTTCTCTCGTGCTCGCTCTTGTTTGCGCATTCTGATATGCGATGAGCAAGTAGTAAGTGATCTTCACTAGGATCTGGAATTTTGCAGAAGACGCAGTACGTAGAAATAGCCGTGCGGGATGCAACATGAAGGCTGGGTCCAGTAAGTAAGCATGTCCACTTCCGCTTCGGCCGGTGTTGAGTTTCCTCGTGACGACGCCATGACTTGTGCGCGATACGTTGATAACAGAAAGTGCATTGCCATGTCTCCGAACCGTTACCCTTGGCGGAGATGGTTGAGACTGTCGGTTCGGATTGGATGTGCAAGGCATGAGGTGTAGCAAATAAGACGCCAAGCTGACCGTAGTCTTTCTTCTTGCCTCTTCGAGAAGTAGGAGGAACTTCGATCTCCTGGCTGTAGCTACTACTAGCCGAGCAGGATATATCTGGATAATTGGGGTTGAACCGCGCCGTCGGGCTCAAGGAATTCTTTTTCTTGACTGCTGGCGCTGTGCTGGAGCGTTTAGAGGTGGAAGAGCCTTCGTCTTCTGATGCAGAATCTGATGCATTGTGTTTGAGAAGTTTTCCTCGTGCCCTCGCGTTCGTAAACCATGTATTGACCTGTTTCTCGGTTATACCGCATCGCTGGGCGAGCGAACGTTTAGTATCTGCGTCGGGATACGGATTCTTTCGATTTTCATGTAGCCATTCTCTCAAACAACGTAAGGCATGCGACTCAAGCTTGGTGGGTGGTCTTCGTGCTCCTGAACGTTTGATCCTGCTATTGCAGATTGGTGACTCTGGCGAAGATCGATATGCAATCGGATCGCAAGAAGAACATGTAGACAAATGATCGGGGTCGATCAGTGCCGCAATTTCGCAGGCTGAACACCTTCTGGCAGCTGGTTTCTGCGAGAGGTGTTCTGGTTGTAACACGCTTGTAGTATCCAATACGGTGATCTGGGTCTTCGATTGTATGTCCTGGTGATTGATAGCATCAGGTACCATTGAAGTATCACCACTGCAATCACTGCATTTTAATCCCTCATCAGGATTGGTGATATTCCAAAGTTGGCACGTGATACACTCGTCACGCTTATGGGCATGTGGTGGGGCCAGTAACTCAGTGTTGAAGCCTGCCCGTGTTGTAAACACATTGAGCTTAGTGATCACCGGCTCAACTGTAGATCCCGGTGCTCTCAGTCGTAATCGCCCATCAGACTGGAAGTTGGCGAGGCCACCATAGCCCACGCTAGAGAGTGAAGAAGACACTTGGTAGGTAGACGAGCTTGCGTGATGATTGGTCTAACTAAGATCAACTGAGTGGATATACGAGTATCGTCCGTAGTACTTACCTGAAAGTTTTCCTCATTTTCCAAGGTATTCGATCCATACCCGGAGTCGAATGACCAGATACTAGCGGCTTTGACCTTTCCTGGTGGAGGCAGCATGGTGTCCAAATGTAGATGTCGTTCAATAGTAGGTTCTTTGCTATGTATACTGACGAATGGCTTTTGTTCTACCCACGAAAAGAGCAGTCTGTGAGTATGAATTTCCAGAGAAACTCCCCGCCTCGACGTCTACATACTATCAGCCTATTCTGAGATACAGGGTGTTTGTGGCTGTGCTGGACGCCTAACATGTATCGCTGTGGCGCTCCTGCGTATCCACGATTGGTTCAGGGCACTGTCAGCGCAGTCAGACGAACCGAAAACTTTACATAGTAGGCTTTTGGTTTTTTCCTGTTCGGAAACATAATCGATCCTGGGGTTTACTATGGATATGCAATTGGTAGTGGGAGAGCATTTGATGACTGGGTATTGTGGAATCACAGTATTATGTTTTGATAGGAACAGACAATACAGACAGTTTGATAATCTTAGAGCCATACGAATAATACAGGAAATGATAATATCGTGTCCCATGTAGCACTGCCTCCATATGTATTCTCATACAAACTGTACAAGCGAGCTTGTTGTCATGCCCACCATCCAGGTATGCTCAATACCTCAAGGACAATGGCCATCAAGCTCACTCCAGACTTGGATGTATGCCTCAACTTGCATGGTATATCTCCAGATTTGTCTTTGGAACGCGTCTATCTCGATAATCTTGGATCGGATCGTAAGGGCAGCGGTAGCTAGAGGGGCTGGTATCGTAATCGATTTGAACCAAGGGCATTGCTTCCGTTGGAGTGGTAGTTCGAATTTCTGCGCTCGGATTTGGAAGCCTACAGTACCACAGATTGTAAGCTCGCCCAGGGCTCTAGAGCCATGCGCACTCAAAATGAGATCAATGGCGATACAGCCTTGATTGTGTAGAATGGCAAGTATGAAAAAACAAGCATGGGTTTAACATCAAACCTGGGGATTTGAGATATGCAAACCACAGGTAAAAAGAACTAGTAGTGGGAGTGGGTTAAGCCTCTGGTTCCGAGGAGCTCCATGACCGATGAGTGGAATGAAAAGGGTTGAGAGGATGCATCAAGGGTGGTGCGTGCATCGACACCGGGCGTCTATAGCAGCGCCTAGTGAGTCACTGATGGGCTGTTGTCCAGGCTTGGTGAGGGCATATGCCCAAACACGGTAATTGAGATGAAAGTAGTGGCTAAAACGGAATCACCTGGGTGACATGAAATACTGGACAGTGTGGGCAAGCACCCAATAGACGTGTCTGGCGACTACAGAGGCTGTTTTACACTAGTATGTCTAGTATTTTATGACACCCGGGTGGAATGGAAGAAATGGACACGGTGTTGTGCATGGCGTAGTGGTGTCCGTAAGGCCTCAAAGACTCCGCTTGTAGTGGGGCAAAGTAGAGGATGATGGCAATGTCAAGTACCCCGCCAAAAGTTTTGCGGCAGAGAAGGCGCTGAGAGCCCGACCTTGGCGCACAAGTCGTTTCGGTTTGGTTTCAGCTTGTGAAGCAATCAGCCTGCTCACTTGAGACGGGAAAACTGTTTTGAACAGACAGCTAGATGAAAAGAAAGCTAATTCATGGCGATGACGAAGTGCTCAAAGACTCGCGTGAGGCAAGTGCTGCGGCTGTGGCGAGCCCATGGCGGGCGGTCAAGGAGGCTTTGGGGGAGTCAATGGGTCCATGGCCAATCAAGGCATGGCATTTTGCCGCGCTCGCTGTTTAAATCGTTCCAAGGTCGCAAAGTGAAGGAGTTTTCGACGCCCAACGGAGGCCTAGCGCCGAAAACTAGCACGGACCCACCCAGCCCTCCAGGTATATTAGCAACACTCGACCCCTCCATCTCTGAACTTTTCTCCTCGTCCAACTCATACCTTACACCGCGCGCTGTAAACCTGAGTACTCAAACACACTTCACCTCACCACACACAAACCAACAAACACAACACCGCCAATATGGGGTAAGTCATCTATCCCCGCTTCGAGCCTTCCGGTTCGCCATATCGCGCATCGGACCAGCTCCAGGCCGCCACTCACCCACTTCGAGACCACTCTTACTAATAATGTCTGCAGTAAGGAGAAGATGCACATCAACGTGGTCGTTATCGGCCACGTTGACTCCGGAAAGTCCACCACCACCGGCCGTAAGCCCTCCCTCTCCGACAGACTGCGGGGTCACACAACTTACAATGGGATACAGACTTGATTTACAAGTGCGGTGGTATTGACAAGCGTACCATCGAGAAGTTCGAGAAGGTACGGCATCACTTTTCTTTGATTTGGATAGTCGCAGTTGTGCGCTTCAGCCTCTTCACCCGCGTTCTTTTTTCGCCTTATCGCGATGAGGGGCATTTTTTGGGTGGTGGGGTTGTGCGGACTTTTACGCGCTAGCGCTAGTCCGCATGCGGCCCTCGCGAAGTGCAACACCATGACGCACATCCGATTTCCCAAATTCGGTCACAAGATGCTAACAAACCCCATAGGAAGCCGCCGAACTCGGCAAGGGTTCCTTCAAGTATGCATGGGTTCTTGACAAGTTGAAGGCTGAGCGTGAGCGTGGTATCACCATCGACATCGCTCTCTGGAAGTTTGAAACTCCTAAATACTACGTCACTGTTAGTAAGTACTTTCACCTTCTCCTCTTTCTCCTTCACCTTCTCCTTGTCCTCCTTCCCCTCCCACTGACACTCTACTTAGTTGACGCCCCCGGTCACCGTGATTTCATCAAGAACATGATCACTGGTACCTCCCAGGCTGACTGCGCTATTCTCATCATCGCTGCCGGTACTGGTGAGTTCGAGGCTGGTATCTCCAAAGATGGTCAGACTCGTGAGCACGCTCTGCTCGCCTACACCCTCGGTGTCAAGCAGCTCATCGTCGCCATCAACAAGATGGACACCACCAAGTGGTCCGAGGACCGTTACCAGGAGATCATCAAGGAGACCTCCAACTTCATCAAGAAGGTCGGATACAACCCCAAGCACGTTCCCTTCGTGCCCATCTCCGGTTTCAACGGTGACAACATGATTGAGGCCTCCCCTAACTGCCCCTGGTACAAGGGTTGGGAGAAGGAGACCAAGGCCAAGGCCACTGGTAAGACCCTCCTTGAGGCTATTGACGCCATCGACCCTCCCAGCCGTCCCACCGACAAGCCCCTCCGTCTTCCCCTCCAGGATGTTTACAAGATTGGTGGTATTGGCACGGTGCCCGTCGGTCGTGTCGAGACCGGTATCATCAAGGCCGGTATGGTCGTCACCTTCGCCCCCGCTGGTGTCACCACTGAAGTCAAGTCCGTCGAGATGCACCACGAGCAGCTTGTCGAAGGTGTTCCTGGTGACAACGTCGGCTTCAACGTCAAGAACGTCTCGGTCAAGGAGATCCGTCGTGGCAACGTTGCCGGTGACTCCAAGAACGACCCCCCCAAGGGTGCCGAGTCCTTCAACGCCCAGGTTATCGTCCTCAACCACCCTGGTCAGGTCGGTGCCGGTTACGCACCAGTCCTCGACTGCCACACTGCCCACATTGCTTGCAAGTTCTCTGAGCTCCTCGAGAAGATTGACCGCCGTACCGGAAAGTCCGTTGAGAACTCCCCCAAGTTCATCAAGTCCGGTGACGCTGCCATCGTCAAGATGGTTCCCTCCAAGCCCATGTGCGTTGAGGCTTTCACTGACTACCCTCCTCTCGGTCGTTTCGCTGTCCGTGACATGCGTCAGACCGTCGCTGTCGGTGTCATCAAGTCCGTCGTCAAGGCCGACAAGGCCGGTAAGGTCACCAAGGCCGCTCAGAAGGCTTCCAAGAAATAAGCGCTCTCTTTTCGGATTGCTTGTTTCTCTTCTTTCGTCCTTAGATACCTGGTTCTGGGGATGTGTGGTTGCTTCGGAAAAGCTGTGATGACTTTTGAAACGTGTCATGCATAACGGTCTGGGGTTCCTGGCGTCGTCCTTCCATAGTTTCCATAATGATCTGAATGAAAACATGGTGGGCAATAAACTATACATTCTCCTTGTGATGCCATTGGATGTTGATATGTTGGTGTATCTAGCTACCCCATATCTGCTTACCCTTTGCCCCTCTCGGCCGACGCCTCTGGTACATGTAGCGGTCACGCGGAGAGGTATGCGCTGGCGACAAGCCAACTGCCTCATCGCGCACCAACATCAACTTCATGCTCTGACTTTGTATAAAAGGAATGCTTCGTATCACGCTTCTTTCGTGGTCTTATTTTGTATGGTGCGCTTTCCCTGTTGTCCCATGAAGTCACCGCCTGTCCAGCAAAGGCAGAATGCCCCCATTGCAGGAAGTAGCATTTGCCTACAGAGATAGAACCTTTAGTTAGTCTTGATATGCAAGCGTTATAATCTGAACTTTGTATAGCGTCGGGGCTCTTCTTTTCCGTAATGCCGATGGTGTAGCCACAGGTGAAAGGTACTACTGATTTGATAAATGCATCTGCAGAATGCATTCAATCCAATCAAATCCTCCTATTCGTTTGAAAGCGATGCGGTAATCAATTCTTGCTACGTTGAACCTAATAAACTGAGAGATACTGTGGGTGGCGGATGGGTTGAATGGCCGACCCACTTTTCTGGCTTAGTTGGTGGCCGTTGCTTCCCAAACCAACCGTGGCATCGTTTTTCGACTTGTCATTCCATATCGCACGCAGACAATGTCAGCAGACCTGTTCGCAGAGTTTGGAGCCGATCCTCCTTCCAACCAACAGCAACACGCTACAGCTTCCGGAAAACTAAGTGGGCCTGCAGCGTCAGATTTCAGCTTCTTCAATGACATAAACACCTCAGCCCCGGCCGCACCACTACAACAACCCCGGTCAACGACTGACTTTCAAGGCTTGAGTTCCACTCCCATACAAGATTCGACAACTGATGATAACGATGAATGGGGCGATTTCGAAGGCGGATCATCATTCGAACCAAGCTCAGATGCCCATAATGACCCGTTCGCATTCACATCGTCACAAGCCTCACAACCTGCATCAAGCTTATGGAATAACGCGTCAACCACCCCAGAAGCTTTTTCGTTCCAGTCTTCATCCCAGCCAGTCGCTCAAACGTGGCAACATGCTCCAATTATAAAAGCCAAGAAGTCGGCGGATCCGAGCGTATTATTTGATGCAGAAGATGATTTTGATGACGAGTTCGGGGAATTTGAAGGCGAACAAAAAGTAAACGAGGCTGAGGCTGCATATAATGGACCCAGCGCGCCATCCTCAGCACTCGTGGATCTACTGGGTGACATGAGCATCTCGCAACCCAAGTCTCCCGTCACTAGCGGAAAAAACGAATTTGGTACACATGGACCTTTGAAGAGCACTGGTAATGCGAAGAAGAGCTTGAAATCTGGGTTCGGTGCTGCCTCCAAACCGAAACAATCATCAACTACACCAGTCGTACCGCAAGACGACGGTGGATGGGACGAATTCGACGACTGGGAAGCTTCTATACCCTCCAAACCATCAGCGAAACCTGAAGCTATACAAACTGCCGAGGCCAACCAAACGATTACTACACCGAACCCAATACTATCCCCAATCCCGAATGATCCACAACCAGGAGAGCTTCCGCCTACAAATGTACCACCGCCCGGTGTGCTGCTATCACTCTTCCCCCCTCTATTCACAGAAGCGCAAGAGAAACTATTCAAGCCCATGGCAGCACAGCCTCTACCGATGAGGAACAGGCTGATGGCGGAGCCGGCTACGATTGTCTATCTTCAAGGTTACCTAATGTTGGCAAATGTGGCAGCGCACATCATAGCCGGACGGAAGCTGCGTTGGAAGCGGGATCAGCATTTGTCGCAGGGCATGCGAATTGGCCCAGCGTCATCAAGAGCCACTTCTGGGATGAAGTTGACGGGTGTCGACAAGGGCGAGAACTTGAAAGAGGAGCGGGAGGTGTCTGACGTGGTCAGGAGTTGGAAAGAGCAAGTCGGACGACTGAGACATGTTGTGTCTGGTGTAAATCAAATCAAAGCCGGCACTTTGGACCGCGGGCCGGATCTACAGGACACGATGCCAGTCAAAACATTGAAGCAGTCTGAGGGTGGCATGCCGGCACGGCAACCTTGCATGCTGTGTGGGCTCAAACGAGAAGAAAGAGTGACTGCAGCGGACATGGCGACAGACGATAGCTTTGGCGAGTGGTGGATTGACCAGGTCAACATGCATCGAGGTGGGTAACGATTAGTGTGAGAGTGTCTCAACTGCATTCACTGATTGACCCATTAGGTTGCAGAAACTTTTGGAACGAGCATAAGGATAGTCTTCGACAACGCTGAGGACTGTGGGATTCCCCGCATCACCAGCTCTAGTACACGGGGTACGGCACACGGCGCTTTGAGGAGTGGCAACCCACCAATGACCTCGTCCGGGGGAAACGGAGCCGGCACAAGCTCGCCAACGTCGACAACCTTGTACATGACGGAGGCAGGTCATTACGGGGTCCATTGAACAAAAGTTGAGAAAACAAGCCAGTCACGTTTACCGGTACATGCATGGGCGGCGCATGAAAGGGCTGGTGCGGGTATGTAGACAAACTTTAGTCTTGGGGGCACATGTCACGGGGGCTTGTCGGCGCACAAAGGCAGCTCTGGCAGCGGAAGCTTGTCTAGCAGGAATGCCGGGTTACCATGGGCAATGATTTTGGTTGAATATAAAGTCGCATGGTGTAGCATGAAGCAGGGCAGTAGGAAATGGATAGATTGTGCGACGTGGCTAGGTGTTGTCATGTGAAAGTGTAGCCTCTGTCGGGACGGCCCTACGAGATCTGAGAAGCGGCCCACAGGCGCATCGTCTGTGCACTTTTCGCGGGGCGGCCAAGGACGTGGGCAGTGGGCGCCATGCAAGTCACGCCGTTGCCGTCTCAAGTGGCATGGATAGTGGCCGAGACGTGACTACAGGACAGACGACGCTCTATTACTACGTACTGCCCACTACCCACTGCCCATAGCACACCGCCTACTGCTGCTATTGTAGTGTAGCCGCAGCATTTCCAGCACGAAACCCATCTTGCTCTGTAACTCGGGTCGGCTGTCTTTGGTGAGCCGCACACACGTACGCCGCGCCCTGCATTCCCCCGCCCAGCAAGAGAAGGCTTTGCACAACCCGGATACGCATCCTCGGACGTAGACGTCGAGCTGTGTACCTGCCTCTGACCATTGCACCGTTTGAACCAGCTGTGCCCGGCCTGGGAACAGGCAGTCCTCGCACGCCTCAGGGAATGAGCAGGCCAAACCACCATGGTACGTCCAGTGGCTCAGGCTCGCTACCAGAAGAAGCACCCCTCGAGTCATTACCGCAGTCCTCATCGCACGCTTCCGAATATGCACCGTTGGTCAAGACGAAAAGCACTCCGAGCCTGCTCGCATACCGCTCAGGAGCCTTGCCGCCGCCGATAAACACTGCGAAGCGACTCAGCATCGATGCCGGCCAACTAGACCGCATGGCAAGATCACCCATCCTGCCTGAGCATGAGCACGGCCTAGGAGCTTCAGGACTTCGCCGCATCCGCCAACAGCCGGCCCAGAGAGCAGCTTCCCTCAACGTCGCGACCCCACCAGCATCGCGACACGCCTCCGAGTCGGCGCCCACAGCCCCTCCGTCCCCAACCTTTGCCTTTGGTGAAGACCTCTCGCGTTTCCCCTCCGAGTCGCTGCACTCATTCTCCTTTGCCACACAGTCGGAAGACTTCATCCACAACCGTCAGAATGTCCTGAAGCGGTCCATCGAGTTTATGCGCGATAGGCTAGGCTGGGCCGCCACCAACCCCGGCATAGCAAACGCCCAAGCAAGACTCAGCGGCGACCAGGAGGTGCAGAGCATGATGGAGCTGCTTACACGCGCCAACCTGATCGGTCAGGACGGCACCGGCGCCCATGGCCTGGGTGCTCTTGGGCCTGTCACCGGGCCCGCCGACATGTCTGGCGAGAACCCGTTTGACAAGGGCTTCGTGGTCCAGCGGTCCGAGAGCCCTGAGAACATGCTCAAGGCTGCGAAGCCGCCAGTGCACAGGGCCTCCATCACACCCGTCGGACCCACAGATATGGACGAGTCGTCAAGTACAGAACTGCCGCCCGCATCTCCACCCCCGCCGCCCTCGCGACCTCCGCGACCTCAACGCGCCGCCCTCAAACGCACCCTCACCGACGTCGTGCCTCTGACGATACAGAGCCAGCTCCACGATGCCCTGGCCCAACCCTACCGCGTGGGCGACCAGGAAAAACTCGGCGACCTAGTGTCTCCCACCACTATCCCTTCTCTACAACATCCGAGCTTCAACAACACGCCAGGTCCGCATGCGGCCGGATCCGCGCCACACGGCCACGGGAGCCGACACGTCCCTGCAGCACAAGCCATCTTCACAACCGGTACCGAAACGCCGTGGACCATTACGTCTGCAAATGATCTGGCATGCTTGGTCTTTGGCGTTACGAGGGCCGAAGTCCGCAAGCTGGGTATACTAGAAGTCGTTCGAGAGGACCGTAGGAAGTGGCTCGAGAGCAAGCTTCGAGATCCTGACACTGGCTCCAAAGCAGCTGCGTCCAGCGCCGCACCCTCGACCAAAAACCTCAACGTTGGAAGTGGTGTTACAGCCCGGCTGCTGAGCAAGGCTCCCTCACGCGTAACGGCTGCCAAAAAGGCCAAGACCGACGACGGTAGCGGGTCTTCATACTACAATGCGAAAAAGACTGGTAAGCTTAACCACGAGCCAAAGGGCTCAAGAGGTGTCTTGCTTTGCGGCGATGTCATACCCATACAGAAGCGGAACGGCTCGACTGGCTCGGCCAGCTTGTGGGTCAAGGAGAAGCGGGGCAGTCTCATCTGGGTACTGGAAGAGATTGCCGAGGACGTAGTGTATATCACCGTTGATGAAGTAGGCTGCGTATCCAAGGGCTGGGGCGCGACCGAAGCAGTCTTCGGAAGCGACCGATTACGGAGAGGCATGGACCTGAAACGACTCATGCCAGGCATACCACGACTCCGGGGTACAAACACCGGAGCACTAGACTATGAGACCATCGATGAGTTCCGCAGCTACACAGCGCGAACATCCAACAGCATCAACATACCCGTGACGGTGGAGGCGTTGCCGGGCGAGCCCACTTTCCGCGTCTCAAGTTTCCCGCACATTGCTGGCATCATCGTCCTATCATCCACCGAACTCAAGATCACAAGCTCCAATTCTGTCTTCTCATCCGCGCTGTTCGGCCAGCCGCGGCCTGAAGGCGTTCATATAAGCAAGCTTATACCTGCTTTCGACAGAATACTGCACGTCATGACAGATGAAGACAAGATTGAATTAGTCGATGGCATAGTCATCCCTGAGCACAGCTTCCGTCGCGCCCGCGCTCTGCTGGCTATGCGAGAAGGTAGTACAGATGCTGCTGCCATCTTCCTAAGACCAAGCGGCTTGCCAGCATCTCATCGTGACGGCTCGGAAATAATGGTAGACGTGCAGATGCGTGTAGTGAAAAGCGAAAAGACGCCTCGCTTCGATGAGAATGTCATCGAAGAGGAGGATGCGCCGACGAAGCCTGACAAGGGCCCAGAGCTAGTATATGCTTTGTGGATAACATACTCGCGGCAGCTGCATGCCGCAAACCATGGTATTGGTCCTATGACCCCGCTCATATCACGACCCCCCTCACCTCGTCAACCTGAACCTGGTCAATCAAACTTCCCCGTCCCCCAAGAGCCAGAATCACATCAGTCACAAGGAACACCGCCCTCGGTGTCGCTACTGACCCAACAGATCCAAGAAGCTATGCGACCTAACACTCCGCAAGAGCCCCAGAAAGGATCCATGGCGCCACCACCCACACCCATGCAGGAAGAGCCAATGAAGAAGAAGACAATCAGTGATTTTGTGGTGCTAGAAGAAATGGGCCAAGGCGCGTACGGGCAAGTCAAACTCTGTCGATACAAGAAAGCTAGCAACAAGAAGGTTGTGATAAAGTACGTGACAAAGAGGCGCATCCTTGTTGACACATGGACACGGGACAGAAGACTGGGCACAGTGCCTCTCGAGATTCATGTCTTGGATTATCTACGCCGCGATGGGTTTAAGCACCCCAACATTGTCGAAATGGCAGACTTCTTCGAAGATGACATCAACTATTACATCGAAATGACTCCGCACGGCCTACCTGGTATGGACCTTTTCGACTATATTGAGTTGCGTGTCAACATGGAAGAGAAGGAATGTCGAAAGATCTTTGTGCAAGTTGCTGAGGCAGTACATCATCTCCACACGAAAGCAAAGGTCGTGCATCGCGATATTAAAGACGAGAACGTAGTCCTCGATGGTGAAGGCAACATCAAGCTCATCGATTTCGGAAGCGCAGCGTATATCAAAAGCGGTCCTTTCGATGTTTTTGTGGGCACCATCGGTACAGATCCCTCGCTTCCCTCTCTACACATGTGAATGATGTGCTAACACCGTGAACAGACTATGCAGCCCCTGAGGTCTTGGCAGGCAAGGCGTACCGTGGTAAAGAACAAGATGTCTGGGCTCTGGGCATCCTCCTATACACTATCATCTACAAGGAAAATCCCTTCTACTCGATAGACGAGATTATGGACCACGACCTCAGGGTACCTTGGGTCATGTCAGAGGAAAGTATCGACCTTGTGAGGCTAATGCTGGATCGGGACGTGGAGAAGAGAATCACGATTAGTATGGTGCTTGAACACCCTTGGTGTAAGGGTGCTGGTGGTGGTGGCGCTACCGGAGGCGTTGTGGGCGAGGTTGCTTGATGACAAAAGAGCGGGTGAAAGGCATCTGAGCCGCCATATAGAACGACGTTCACGGTCACTTTTGTTGCATGAGCTGGGGCTGGGACACGGGACGGGACATGGGAGTAGAATGGAAAGGGGCGGCTTGGGTCGGCGGCGTAGAAAGCGCTACTTTTCGGATACACACTTTCTTTACCCTCTTCTAAGCTCTCTCGGTTCCGAGACGGTATTATGCACTATAGCATTTTTGGGCAAGCGGTTTTCAGACATCACCTAGAAATACCCAATATTCTTTTTTCGCTTCTTGTCTCCCTCTCACATGGTGAGTCTTGGTCAGACGTTGCAAGCAAGGATGATCTGTCACTTATCAACCCTCCAACACCTCCCCCAACAACCACTCCTGCCCTGCCCACTGCTCCCTCACAACAGGCCAAATAAACTCCGGCGGCAACACAAATCCACCCCCGGCCTCATCCCTCGGACTCAACTCCATGGTCCACGAGTGCTCCGCCCCATGCACCGCATAATGATGATCCCTCGAGTTCCCCGTTGAAAAATACAATATCTGACACCCAGGCCCAAACTCATACGTACTATTCATCGTACTCGCGCCCATGATCGCCTTGGCCGTACCCCCTGCTACCTCCAGCATCCGCGGCAGCGTCTCAGGCAACGGGTCGCACGAGAAACCATACGGCGTGAGTATCAGCTGGCCGTAGGAGTGGAAGTCGATGAATGACCGTATACCCACCGGGCCCTGTTTTGCCAGTTGGGCTGAGAGGCTGTCCATGGCGGCATTCTCGGGTGTGTCACCCGGGGACTCGCCACGGTAGGTTTGCCCGCAGGGGTCGGGGGTTGAACCACCTTCTGGTGGTTCGGCGTCCCATTCGTAGCGCCAGTTGCGGTTTCCATCGGTTCCGAGACAGGTGCTGTTTGTGGAGGGGCGGGGCTGTCGGTTCTTGCGCCAGAGACGGTTGTTGGTTTGTGTGAAGAGGAAGCCGTCGGGATTGTGGAAGGGGATGAGGTAGAATGTGTAGTCGGAGAGATAGGCGCTGTTGGTGGAAGTGAAGAGGAGGCGGTGGGCTAGGTATTCGATGACTGGGGGGTAAGGTTAGTTCTTGGAGGATGGGGAAGGGGAAAGGGTGTGGTCATGGGCATACCCATTGTTGAAATCCATTCTCGGGCGTGGACTGTGGCGTGCCAGAGTATTATCGGTTTCTCCTCTTTCGTCTCTTCATTCCCGTAGAACTCAAAGGCCCAAATAGTTCTGTTCTCGTAGCTTTGCCCGATGGCGAATTTCCTCGTGTTGTTGGGGAAGGCGGTGACGAGGTCGTCCCAGTATTGCAGATGATCCGCGTATGCATGGTATGTATCGAACCATGAGAGATCTGGTAACTCTCCGGTTTGCGATATGCTTCGCTTGTAGACTGGTTGCTTTTCGGTCGAGCGGATGTATGCTCCAAGATCAGAGTTCACCAGTCGGGCGTCGAGGCCCAGACTGTTAAATTCGTAGATTTCCTCGGGTGGGATGGCTACGGACAGCGTGTCTCGGATCGGATGGGTGTAGTATTTTGAGAAGCGTTTCTCTAGTTCGCGGGCGGCTTGGTCCGAGGACGGGGTGATGGAATAGATGTGGTAACCATCGTAGCTGACTTGTCCGTTGTCGCGAGTTACGGGTTTAGGACTGGGATGGAAAGGCGACGCCACTGCTAACTGGGTGGCGAGCAAGAGAAAGTTTGGGTACTTCATCATGCAATTCTGGATTACTCACAGAGCTTATGAGATGCTACCCCAAATTTCTTATATACGCGCGTCCAACCCCAGCTATACATCTACTAGGTCTCGAAAGCCACGCGAACCTTGATACAGATCCTGATAATCGCATATATCTTGCATGAAGATATGGCACTCACTCTTGCTACTTAGAGAATGTGGTATGTCGTTCAACGAACAGCCAAGAATATGCCCAGACGTTGAGTTACTTGGGACGCTGTCAGCTTCCCGATCAGGTCTCGCTGCCAAGCAGCATGGCAGTGGCAGATACGCACCTTCCCCTCATACCCGGGTATATCATCATGACCGTAGAGCATCTCCCGTGCGCCGAGGCCTATACACTGTCGATATCGTCATCTCGTGCGCTATGGCGAGATATAGCCTCTCTTTAAATGTGCGGCGCCGAATAAGGCAATTAGAGACATCTGGGAGCAAAAATGAAGTCTGACTGTGGACCACGTTGATATGCAAACCCAAGTCAAGAAGGCGTTGATACATGATATGACTGACAGGAAAAAAGCAAAAAATAAAGTTGTTGTGACCTAACCAGGGGTCGCTATTGTGGGTTAGTGAATGCTCGAACAGATGTTGTTCTGAGTAGTACTACTTACAACCTGGAATCTCTTGATATCGAATAAATCGTAGTCAAGCGCCTTGCCATTGGGCCATTAGGCCAGTTGTACTGATTGATGGTAAACATTAAAAATCTATTGTATATATTGTTTGCGTTAAAAATCTTGACATGTGCGCGCTAAACCGCGGGGTTAGACCAACTCACCAAACGTCATCCGCCCCACTATACTTTCAATTCAATTCGATGCACGTATGCAAGGCAACAACACAGCACCGTGACAGCCTTCAGCCATGGCTGTGGTATCGCAGAGAGGCCGCTCGTACAATCAGACAGATTATAGCATAGGCGCTATAACTTGAACACTTTTGCAATCTTCATAGCCCGTGTGCCTCCTTCCTTCTACATTCCACCACTCGAAACAAGCAACAAGACGAACCATGCCGTCCACCAAGAGCGAACTTGTCTCCAAGATGCCCATAATCGCGCAGTTTGACGGCAACTCGTTTGTCGTAGGCGGTGGAGTCGCCATCTTCCATGTTGCGACTGGTCGCGTTGTAGTGTGCAGCTACATGTATCGCGGACAGCAGGTCTATTTCCTACCCAAAGGACGGCGCGATGCAGGAGAAGAAAGCGGTCCAGGTGCAGAGAGAGAAGGATATGAAGAGGTACTTCATCGTACTTGAGGACTATAGACAGCAATCAATGCTAACGGTGTGGAACAGTCAGGTTACCGCAATCGTCTTCTCCCCCTTCCGACAGCTCACTGTCAGCCGCAAGCCCATCCACGCGTACACGCTCCTCTGCTTACTGCAGAACCTGTTTGGATGCAGTTAATGCCGCTTGCAACACGACAGTATGTCATCTATTGGTATGTCGCTGAGACGCTGCCTCCCGATGCCGAAGTCATACTGGAAACGCAAGCTGGCGATGCATATAAACCTCCTCCGTCATATCCACAACGTCTATCGTTGAAAGACAGGATCAAACAAGAGCCCGAGGGATATGAGCCGCGACATCATGAAAATACAGGAGTGGATGCTGAAGAAAGGACGTATAAGAGCGAGCTCATGAGTGTGGAGGATGCGGTGGGTTTGATGAGAGCTGGGTTTCCAAGTATGGGATGTGTAATGGCAGATGTAGTACTGAAAGGATGGGAAGGCATTCAGCAAAGATTCGCGATGGAGGATGCTGCTACACACGAGAGTCCTGAGGCAGTATGATGCACGAACATGATATGAGACATACGATCATGAGTGGAGAAGACAGTTCCCTGTTCAGTAGCAATACAATCACACATATGCCCTCAGTCATGTACCACCTCCCACGAATCTTCCAAACATCACTCTGCAATTAACGAACACCATTAACAGCTCCAGATATCCACGTTACCGTCACCATCAGAAGACTCATACCCCTCCCCTGTAAGACCTCCTACCGTTCGCATGTGCACAGGCAATCAACGTACCCCACATGAGCATCCAGACCGCACCTGGAATAAATGAAGCAACCCCACAGCAGACCTCACACACGGGAGACGTCGTCGCCATCCAAACTCTGGTAGCGAAATAGGCGGGACGCATGCACAGCCCGCATAGTAACGAATTGGTGGAGCTTTCGTTCCCATTCCCGGTCACATGTTAATTGAACGAACACACACGACACAAGACATCGCATGACATGCTCCCCGTCGTATACTGTGACAAGTTCCCACCCACCCACACGCATGTTTACTTTTTCAGACCCTTTGCACATTACCGCACGTCACACACGAAACACCAAAACCTATCCTGCATTCTCTCCCGGAAATTTATCTTTTGCCAAGCTCTATATTTTGTTTTGGTCTCTGCACCTAGCGCCGGGTATATACCCACATCTGCCAGTTTTGTTGTTCAAGTTGCTGCGCGTAGCCTGCGGAAATGACGCAGCACAGCACACAGCACACAGCACAGCAAAAAAACCGACTGACGGCGCTTCTGCGGTGGTGCAGGGTGTGGATGCCGGCAACAGAAAGGGGACAAGGGGGATTGCGCAAAAGCGCGAGCTAGAAAAAAAGGATAAAATGAAATTTGGGAAATGATGACGAGCGCCGCGACCGATTGTCGGTTGTGCATACCCTTGTCTTAGCGTCCTGTGCGCTTGCTTGCTCGTGACGACCTTGTTTTGTTATCGTCTGTATATTAATATGTGGCAGTCTGTTATGTATACGTGGGGTTTTGACGCCCAAGGAGGCGGCCGCTGCTGTTGACGCTGCTGCGGTGACATGATGTTGTACGACGTGACAAAGATCTTTGTAATTGCAGATAAAAACGTGACTGCAGTATGAGTGCTGCAGTATATATTATCTATGCATATGAAGAATGGAGGCGAGGGTGCACGGTTGGGGTAGTGGTGATCGAGACGGTGAATTAAAGGTGTTGAGAGGATAATGGGATAGGAATTTTGGAGCGTTAGGGGTATAGAATTTCGAGAAAAGACCTCGATATTCCTTCCGTACATGAAAGCTTGTGAAAGTGAATGAGAGTGGGTCGTTGAGTTTGACGCCGGATACGAGAAAGAGGTGGTAGCCCGTTCGTATTGCGTCGGGTATGGCTCTTGCATGGCTACGGTAGTAGAGCCGAATACTATACGGTAGGCCTGGCGTATAAATCTTGTTTTATGATCCCTTCTCGTATGTTTGCCATGAGCTGAAGAACGGGTAAACAGAATGAGACACTGCGATGCAAGTCCACTGTACTATTCTCGAGCGATCGAAAGTATGCATTAACCTAAGTGACTAAACCTGCTCAGATATAACGCCGACATAATCTGGTGGCGCTATCCGCTTGCTTACATGCTACTTGCCAAGTGCTGTGAATGTTCATGAAGATATCTCTTTGCAGTAGGCGTGGGGGAGTACGTGTGGCAAGCAGTGCGATGCTCCGTATCCAATGTACACATAATCGCACAGTTGTGATTTCGCCGGGTATTATTCCGCTCTCTTCGCGACACTGAATTCAAAAAGGGTGTCGAAAGCTGCCATCGCGGACGTCAGTGTGAAGGTGATGACGTGAAAGTGAGGCCTGGCAGGGCTGTTGAGCTGCATGATGAGCACTTGGGTTGTCTCTGCTATCGAATCACGCACTTCTTCACACGATGCCGGCATCTCCATGTCACCATGGAGTGGTTATGTTCGAGATAACAACCTGTGTCTCGACGTTGACGTAAGCCAGTACACTTAACTTAACACTTTCCCGTGTGTCAACCATAGTCACCTCTGCAAGCAAAGAGAAGCCTCACCCTGCTTTCGAATACGATTTACATACCCGAGAGCCTACCCGTCTGCAAGTCCATCCTGCGACCCGTCTCAGCCCAACGGCGATTTGAAGTTCGCGCGCCTCCGGGTCTCCTCAAAATACCCGATACCCCCACAGAACGCTGCTGTGACTCCATTCCTGCTGGATGGAGTAGACATAGTCGACGAACGCCAACCGCGAATGACCGTGGGGGTACACGGTTGAGAACAAGCCGGTCTCGTGCATCTCAACGGCCTGGTACCCGGGACGGCGTGCGAACAGCTGGATGGTGTTTTGCCGACTTCAAGCCCAAATTCCCATGATGACGCACTTGTGAGGGCAAGCGCCGCATCAAGGCGCAAACGATCGCCATGGAGATGAAGCTTGAGTTGAGCAGTCGTATGGCGAAGTAGTATCATAGAGTGCGCCTCGTGGTACCCTAGCAGTATGCCGCCGCACTATGTTTCGCCAGAGACCATTGGAGGTGTTGCGACGCAAAGCCACCGTTCGTCTATCGTATGTGGGTGCAGGTGGTGGGGAAGGTATTGGGCATAGCAAAAGGTAGTGGGTGGTCGAGAAAGTTTACGCTAAGCGTAGACTAGAACAAACGTCGAGGAAGTCGCGGTTTGATCACTGCAGGGATGAACATCACGTTGGAGCAAGAGCGGTGGAGATTATAGTAGTCGTAGTCGTTGGATCGTTAGAGATGATCGTCATTAGCGGTAGTTGATACCGATATGTACACCGCGGAACAAAGCACCACCCGCTCAAACGCCAACAAGCATCGCCGTGCTCGAGAAAAGGAATGTTGTGGTGACGTTGTAACATTGATAGTTAACCATAAGCCGCTTCCGGCAGACGTGCCCGACCACATGTAGTTTTGTCTTCGTGCCTGCTCCACAGGATAAAATACAAGGAGTGTGAAGGAAATGGTCGTGTCAATATCTGACACGAATAAGAATGTAATGAAATGTATACAATGAAGGCGCAAATGTGTCGCAACGAGATTGGTCGTAGATCTTTCCAAATGAAGGAAGATGGTAGGACAAGGAATCGGGGAACACAATGGAGGACAGGGTGCATGGACAAGACTAGACCAAAGATGACGTACGCGACGGGATACGTTTACCATGAGAAGGATTCCTCACGGAAGTCGACATTCCACTGGGACTCGCGGTTGCGGACAGAGCGGCGAAGCTCATCAGCAAGTCCACCAGTACCACATGTGCTGACGCACGCAGCACCGATGCCCTCTTGCATTTCCTGGTCGACCAACGCTTGAACGTTGGGCCTGCCGGGGAACATCTGAACACTAGAGGACGGCGAGTGAATTTCCTTGGTGCTGCGTGGACGAGTGACGAAGAGAAGAATTTTCAGGATCTCGCGACGGCGGGGCATAGACAGAATCTGTGTCATCCATGTGCGGATCCATTCGAGATGCTCCGGTGATTGAATGATCCAGACAAGCGTAAGGCGGCGGGTAGCGACAGTGCCGTTTGCGTAACCAGCAACGATGTCACGAACGTGGGGAACTTGGTGTGTGATACCGATGCCAGCAGCCCAGAGCATGACTGTGCCGTATGAGCTGAGATCTTCGCCACCTGCAGGATGATGTTAGCGTTGTTCGGTAATATCGTATTAATATGCGCGATAGTGCAGTCTGGGGAAAAACAAGCTTCGGTACTCACCATAAGGCCCTTCTACAAATGCCGAGGTAGAAAATCTGCCGGCAGCCGATAGATCAGCTTTCCTGAACAGCTTGTCGGTAAATCCTGTGCGGCGTCTGATGATGAAAGACATGCTAGTCTTGTGGTGCTCGAGGATGTCTTGGCGGTTCATCGGCAGACCCTTCTCGTCGGGGACAGAAGAGGCAATGGTAAGATCTTCCTCTTCTTCACTCCAAGCGACCGAGAAGGGGTGGTTGGTCCACAGTCCGACGGAAGGAATGTACAGGTAGGCGTGCTGACCTGGGCGGAACCTCCAGGGGCGTGCCATACGGACAGTTACGCGAAGGGCATCTCCGGGAAGTACTTCAACATCACAGGCGGTACCGCCAGAGCCGACATTGCGTAGCACCAGACGCGCAAATCTCCAGGTTCGCTCCATTGCCCAAAGAGCCATTACACCGTAGAGCATGAATTGCTGGGGACGCTCCTTAAGGTGGACCCATACGGCACCGAGTGCGAGGGCAGCGCCGACAATGTGACCGTGCAAGAAGACCTCGTAGAAGGAGTGGCGAACTGGCGATGGTGACTGAATTAGAAGGAAGACGAAAGCAACGGTTCCCTGGACTCGTGTTAGCTCTTATTCATAGATGCGTAATGATACACTTACAATGAAACCCGACATGATGAATTCGCTTCCAGTGATGGACGCCTGTACGGCACCCCATCCCTTAGTGTGCACCTTGTTGGAGATCCAGCAAACGGTGTGCGCAACAGCTTCGAGGATGACAATCCGTCCAAACCAGCGGTGGATGAGGTTCATGGTGTCGAAAGAGATACCCGTCAGCTTGATGATTGGGTTGTTGCGACCAGCGAGGAGGAACAGGGGGATCATGTTGATGACGGCCATGATACCGGAGCGGCTGAGCAGTTCACCAGCACCCGACGAAAACGTGCTGTAGTCGATCTTCCAGATGCAGAAGCCAATGTTGACGCACAGGTAGCCGACGAGGAAGAAGGTTTGCAGGCGGCTAGGCAGGGTGCCAACACCGATGGCGGAAGAGAGCTTGAACTCGCGGTGGTGACGGGTGCGGAAGAGAGGCGCATCGAGACAGTGCTTCTTGAAGGCAGCGTAGGTCCGGTTGGGAATTGAGAAGTATCGTTGTGTCTCGTTGTTCAGGCATGCTACTGTGCGGATGTATCGAACAAAGTAGAGGATGACTTGGTAGAGAAAAAAGACGACGACGATGATCCACCAGATATATCCAAGATAGTGCTGGACATTGACGTTCTCTCGACCAGCTGTTGGATCTTCCTTGCCATGTCCAGCCCGGGTGGACAGAGCACGTGCGGCTTCCATGAACGATGACATGTTGGCAGTAACGTTGGAGGGTAGGGTAATTGGTGATAGTTGGTGGGGAGGCGGTCTAGAAGGTATACTTTAAGGACCCGGGTTGGTAGGGTGCACCAGGCCCGGCAGGGATACCGATATGGAGGGAGTGTGGAATCTGGCCAGCAGACGGCAGGCGGAAGAAGCAGATTTGCACTTTTCCAAATCAGTGATGAGGGAGGTAGTCCGGGCGGTCCCTTTGATTCTGATTGTGAGGAGGGCGTGCGTCGTGACCGGCTTCACTATGGTAGATTGGGGTAACTAGGTTCAGGCGCAGGACACAAGGATTGTCGGCAGGCGCAATGCAGGCTGTTGGTGGTCAAGGTCGACGATAGCCAGATCGGGCGGGTTAAACCTGCTCTGCAAAGCAAGGGCTATTGCGGTTGATGGTGATATGCAGCCAAAATACGCAATGCGTTCGCGTGATAGGGCCTAGAGTGAAAATCACCAACCAGGGGATAAATTGTGAAAAGCCGGCGGGGAAGCGACGACTAGGACGCGGGAGGCACGAAGAGAATTTGACCAAGGCGAACCGAGGCGGTAAAAGAGTGACGATGCTGAAAGAGCGTGAGGGTGAAGGGGAAGAAGAGGCTTTTGCAAGCGTGGGCAAGTGGGTAAGAAAGGGAGGAGCATGAGTTTGATTATCGCGGTATGCCGATGCAGGATTGGAGGGCGGGCCTGGCGCGCACGACTAGGGACAGCCAGGACCATGCCTGTCGCTGCCCCAGTAGGCCTAGGCTGTGCCGCTTGCTATTCGGGGTACCGGGCGATGAAACGGGGCAGCAAACGCCACAGGCGAGGCGCTAGTAATTGGGTGTTTCATCGCTCCGAACGAATCCACGACGTAGGCCGTGGCCGTCATCACCACCCAAAGCTCCACCTAGTGGCCTCTGGCAGCAACCCGTTGTCGCTTCTTGGTTCGCTGCCTGCAAGCGGCATGTAAAACAAGCATCCACGCACCTACCCCTCTGCCTCTGCTGCGACGCGGGAACGCCTTTTCTTGGCCTCGTCTTGGCCTGTCATCCCAGATGATGCCACCGACCGCCTCCGCACGCCTGGCACGGCCCATGGTCATCTACTCACCACTTCACCATCTCCACAGGCGCTTCGTACAGCAGTCTGGCCTCTTGTGTAACAAACAGTGTTTTCCAATGACCGGACTGACGTGCAGCAAACACGCCAAGTTACAACTTCCGTCCTGGTTACCCATCTGTTCTCCACATCCGCCTCCTAGTCTATGCCAGCATACTTTCTTCTGCCATCTGTCGTCGCAGAGCCCTTCGCTGACAGCCCATGATAGCCATGGCAAAGAGGTTGAGGCCGACGTCATGTGCCGTGAGGCATGAGCATGATCTCGAGACAGGCCCATGTCTAGGTATTGGCATCAGGCTTTCATGCTGTGGCTCCCCACGCACTGCATGACTTGTGTGTCCATTGGGCAAGACGTTCCTGCAGTAAACGTTGTCATCGATGAACCCACCACCCCAGTTTCTGGTAAATGTTAATCCATCTCGGGCCGTCTGTCTTACAACCACCGCACAAAACAGAGGCCGTCTTGGCCAAACTTTGAGGCTTGGTCATGAGCCTTGGGCTCCGGAGGTCACATCTCTTTCTACAGTGGATTCCGTACGACGGGCGGATGCAGAGCGTCGTCGTACCCTCAATGTCATGCGACGTGGGTAGAAAGATACGTATGCGGTCGACGTTACACCAACTCCACCAGCGCCATACGAGCCGAAAACTGCTGTGAGGTGACATGGCGGGCTCAGTCACATGCACACTGAGACTGAGAAGCGTTGATACCCCGTACTCGTTAGCTTGGAGCGCTGCGGTAAAAGCTGCCATGACTCATTGGAGCGGAAGGACGACGCGAAGGTAACTGTGGTATGACTTCTCAGTCATGGCTGATGAAGACGAGTAGATTACCCTTGTTTCACGCAGATGACGAATGTGCAGCGTAGCCCCACGACTGCGAAACCTGGCTTGCCCTGCGATTCCTCGTATAAAGTTTCAAGCATCTTGCCTTGACCATCCCTCGGCTCCCGCCGCAGAGAAACGAGAAACGTTCTCCGCCGTCAGATTCACTCGCGTAGTTGTGACATGCGACGCAAACACGTAGGTGCAAGCGTTGGTGAAAAGAGGGGTGTCTGACGTTATCGATAAGCCCGTCGATCCGGAGCAGGCACATGGCATTTCGCCTTTATTTCCCAGGGAGATGATGCATGGGCCGCGGGCAGTGCAGACGGCCTGGCAACGCTGACGCTCTGTTTCTGTCATTTCCCGCTACTGCTAACCTGTTGTTGAGCGACGTCGCGACAGCAGCCAAGATTTGATCCGCATGGCCCAATCTCAATTTCCTTTCTTCTCCTCGCTGCTCTCCATTTCGCTTACCGGCCAGTAGCCTGGCGGCGTGGCGCATCATCATGCACGAGATCTTTCCGAACGGATCGGTTCCTGCGTGCCTGCGGATCCTTCCACGAAGCTGACAGACAGTGCACCGTTGACGTGTTGACAGGTCAAAAGAAAACAGTACTACTGCTTCCGGCGTGCTGGCAGTTCTTGTTTCGACAACGTCGGCTCTGCCGTATGTATTTTCACTTGTCATGACGGAGATGAGAATTGGCCTGCATCCGTCCGCTGCGTAGCTACTGGGCAAACTTCGGGCTCCCGGACATACCAAGACGCGTATGTGTTCTGGATGGGGCGTCTGACCCGATGCTATAAGTAGGATTTCTTGCACCGTCCCAGCATGCGCCTAGAATATGTACCGAGGATCGGGGGCTGATACGCCCCTTGCACGTCGTATACTTGGAAAATCGGATGACTGACGCGAATCCTCCTCTCGCCATGTTGCGACAATTCACTGCCATCCTGCATCGATATACAGTAGATGACATCGTTGCTGACGTGTGTCTTAGCCGTGCAGTTTACGCACTTTCGGACATAAGCCCAGTCACTTCCGACAATGAAACGTCAAATGCGCTCAGATGTGCACTGGTACGTAGTTGTTGTAGCGGTCAGTGATTGCACACGTGAAGATGGTGTTTCGACGGAGACAACAGGGCGCGTTGCACTTAACGCCGACAGCCGATGTTGTCCAAACAAACAATGCGGCGACAACATGCACATCGCACCGTATCGCCTATAGCACAACTAACATTACTGCTCAACTTTGATCATACATGCATTATCAGATATAGAATATGCTTGGCGCCATGTCGACCGACGACACATTGCCTTGGATCACGTCGCGATGCAATCGCCTACTGCGTCCCCTCTCCTCCAAACTCGCGAAGCTACGCAAAGAGATCCAGCGGCCATCACTTACGAGCGCTGAGCCGCGCACTGTCTCGTCTGCATTTGCGACGAAAGGCTCCCCGCAGAAGACGACCAATTTCACCCGCCCCGCGAACAAACCCCGAGGCTTCGAGAAGGCTACAGATCCGGACTGGAGACCAGGTGCGAAGCCAGGCACGGGTAAGAAGACGACATATGGAGGGAGGGGGAAGGCAAGAGTAGCAAGTCTCCAGAGAGCTGGCTCCCATGTTGGCAATGGCTCTCGACCAGGCGAAATCGCCTTCACACCGCTCATCTCGAGAATGGGCCAACAGCTTTGCAGCAGCCCGCAGGCACCCATATCGCCGCTACGCAAGTACGCAAAGAATCGGGGTCCGCTTCTGGTGCCCATGACGACCAGTCTACCGGCAGACCTCCACAAGCTCGTGCACGGTTTGTTGAAAGCGTACACACATCTCCTACAGGCAACCGCTCCCGGCGATGAGAGGAAACGAAAAGGCACCAGGTCGCTCATGGGAGTTTGCCTAAGGAATGTGCCCGCCTATATTGAGCTGGAAGAACACTTTGCGACGCTAGACAAGCTGCACGAAGACGCCGAGGACGAGGACCGCGACATTGCAAACGAAATCTACGAGCACCTTGAGTCCCGTTTCGAACAAGACCATGGCCGCGGCTGGCGACCTTTCAAGCAGGTTGTCCGGGCTCATGCTACCACTCTGATATGCGACGCTATTACAGATGAGGTACTCAGTCTAGAGAATGCCCTCATGCTCGTCACACATTGTGAGAATGCCTCCGCCTGGGATGAGGCCGAGAAGTTGCTATTAGCGTATGCGCCTCTTGTCGAGTCTGCGACGATGCCCATCAACACGCGTGCAGATCTCTTCGATGCACAGAGATCGCCTTACCTGCACGCGGTGAAGAACTTTGCCCAACGAACTGGTCGCTATCGTTGCCTATACGGCCTTCTAGAGCACATGGTCGCACTCGAGCTTCTACCATTGGAGTGGCTCGCGGCTGATTGCATGCGATCAGTATGGGACCGATTAATTCACACAATCTCCGAAAACGATCGTCGCACCATCGCAGACGCCTACCGCTTCTTCGAGACCGTCGCACTTGCAAGCATGGGATTGCCAGATGCACGGCTTTTCGAAGACGAGGTAATTGGATCTATCTCCCGGCGGTTTGTGCCTTCTTCACGGGTAGAGCTTCGCCAGGCGCTTGACACCACGTTCTCAAGTCTCCTCACGGTGCTGTGTAGTATAGCGCTCGTTCACGGCGGTCGCGAGGAGGTTTCAGGGCAAGATATAGCACGGCGTATCATGTGGGCCCTAGACTCAACTGTTATTGCCATTGCTACACAACACGATATTCCAAATGAGTTAAGGTTGCTTGATGCGGACATTACCGATGTTCAACTCATGGCTCAGCGAGGTCTCTGGATCAACTTCGCATCAAGTCTGCTTCATCTGGAAGACTTTCGCAATAACCCAGCCATGTTGTCTCTTGATACACCCGATACCTTTGATCTCATTAATTGGCTAGCAGCTCAATATTCTTCAAGTAACATCAACTTCGCATCTGTATTAGCGACTCTTCCGTCTCTTATCTCATCAACAGCACGTGGTACTGGGCGCATCTGGAAAAACAACGGATTTGAGCAACTGCAACGCTTAGTCACGGCTCTGATGACCACATCGGGCTGCCGTCTACCTCACAAACTATGGACCCTGAAGCGGCTCGCTTTGGAATCGGCGATGGAGTTCGCCCAAGTCACTGGTGATGCTGATCACATGGCATATGCACAAGATATTGAAAAGAAGATGCAAACCCAGGGCCAGCTGATCATCATGCAATCACCATCACTGAAGAAGGATTCTCCGACAACCAGTGGCGGTTTCAGATGGGAAGAGGGTATTGGCGAGTGGGTTACTTGCACCCCATTCATCAGACAAAATAACAAGCGTCAACAACGGAAACCTGTGCGACCGTTAGAACTCTTGCCAACTCCCGTACACTCCGAAGACGATAAGACAGACGTCGAAGACGGCCTTCCAGACCAGGTCCCCGACACTCCAGACTGGGAAGCCACAGCTTTTGATCACGATGATACAGTACCACAATCATCTCCTATCAGAACAAGAAAATCCCAAAATCCGAGATCTTCCCTCGGAAAACGCACACGCGCGCCATCACCAAAGGTAGTCGTTCCCGCAAAACGATTACATTCTTTGCATACGGAGCCTTTACCAATAAGGTACTTTTCCGAACTCCCAGAAGACCGTCGCGACGGTCCACGACGCTCCCGTCGATCGCAACAGACGAAAAGGGTACACGCAACCAGGCGTACCAGGACTCGGACGGAAAGCAGACTACGCCATATCCAGCGACCGACTTACGCAGAGCCCGTGGACTTTGAGCTCGAGGTCGCAACGAGCGACAGTGACGCGAGCACAGACAGCTCCTCGCTGGAAAACGATTCAGACGTCTCATCTGCATTAGCACACGGTAGCAATGGCAAGCCCACTGCATCTCAGACTCGTTCTACGCGTCGCTCATATAATACGCGACATGATCCCGTCTCTGTGCCTGTTCCCGATGACAACGACGACGAGACATCCGAGCGTGACGAACTGGGCAAAACGCCAGCCCGCCCTGAGCCGCGCAAACGCATCAGTATAAACATTCGACATGTTGCTTCTACTTCTGCTTTGCGTAAACCGCGGTCGAAAGCTAGACTTTTAGTGGCAGATAGTGATGAAGGGAGTGAGGATGAATTGAGCTTTCACTAGGTATGTAGCTCAAGTCTAGTCTCACCAAGTGACGATGGTGGTGCTTGGGTGCGATCGGATGGCTTTGCATTGGGTTGATACAACTGAAGTAAGGTGTTGAGGGCAACTGTGTTTTTGAATCAAGGATGTTGTTTTGGGGTGATTGTTTGATGATTTGTTAGATACCCAGTTTATGTTGTTTTGGTCATCATTGAATAGACAGATGTTTGCTCATCAATGCTTTTGGTATTCTCATGCCTTCGTGATCGTTATATGCTACTTTACACAGATGTTAACTAGAGTAGGATTTACATGTATGTTTACACTAAAAAGGTTGCGCTGACTACTGATTCGTTCCCGCTGCAGGAGGTTGCTCCTCAGTGTTTTACTGCTCGGATTCCAGTGTTTTGGAAGAATCATCAAGTCGACTGTCATTGCCATGACTGTCTTCCGCAGAACGTTCCTGTATTTCAGCATCATTCACCGACCCCCCTTCCTCCACCTGTCCACCTAGGTCGTGCTCCCTGCCCTCTTCACTAACTGCTCTCTCACCTTCACCCTCCTCCCTATCCGCCTTCTTCCCGAACATACCTTCTCGCCTTATCTTCCTCTCACTATTCTCGTCCCTGGGCCTCAACAGCTTGCCCACCGGTAACGTCTGCATACTGGCACCATGGACTAAATTGACAATATCAAAACACCTCTTCACAAACGCCTTGACCGCCTCTTCATCCTTCGCTTGCTTATCCCCGTGGCCGTTATAATGCGCGGTTAGGCTCGCGAGATTTGCCCCAAACTTGCCCGCTTGCACCGCACTGTACGAGATGGATTCGCCAAACAGATTGCCCTGGACCGACTGCCTAAATTGAATACCTGAGAAGACATAGTTTACGGGACGCAGCTTTTGCGAATCTGCAGAAAAGCCAGGGATCACGCATTCGGGAATTTGGAGGCGGAGGTTGGGAGCGGTGAGGCGGCCGCCACCTTGGATGTTTGCGAGGACGGTTTCGACCCATTCGTGCACGTTGTTCTCCTTGTGGTCTTCGCGGAGAGTCAAGGTGCCGCGGCGGAAGAAACGCACGTCTGCCGCCTTGTCTGGGAGGAGCACGTCGTGTATGTGGTGTTGGAAGCTGAGGGTGAGTTTACGGAAGATTGGCTTTGCGCCATTGTAACCGGGGCGCATTTGGATTTGGAGCTTGGGGAACAGTTGGCCGCGTTCAAAGTCAGGCTGGTCGGGACTGGGCATGAAATCGTAGAGTAGAGATGGCACGCGTAAGCGTGCGGTTGCTGTTACTTCCGGCGATGTGAGCAGACTGTTCAGGCCGGGAAAGGTGGGCAGGAATGTGGCTTGAGACGGTTGAGCGAGCGCGGTCTGAATTGCTTTGGTAGGATCTGCGTGTGCTAAGGGGAAAAGTGCCTGGCCGATTTCTGCTGAGAGCCTGTACTCTGGTACTGGCACCCAAACGTCGGTCGCTTCTAAAGGCTTTGGTGCATCAGAAGTCGGCTTCAGTACAGTCGCCATAGTTCGAGTCATGAGACCACTCAGTGATGTCTTGGGAATCTTGGGAATTTTGTGAGGTTTCTCTACCGAATTATCGACATTCTCAGGTCCAGTCAGGCGTACGATGGGCATCGACATACGACCCAGTTGTTGGTCGCGGTACTTGTGATCCATTGACTTCTCTTCTGGGAAGACCGGCAATAGGAAACTTGCACTTTTGGCACTCCCTAGCTTTAGGGTATCAAATGTACGGACTGTGGAGTCCTTGAATGGTAGGAACTTGACCAAGGTCCGCTTTGCCTCCTCCACGGCAGTGCTGTCAAAGCCCCGAATAGTGAACTACACGATTTAGCCTTTTTTTTCACAAACACATGCTGGACAACTACACACCACTAGCTTGGTAGTAACCTCGATGACAGTCTGGGTAAGCTTTGAGACAGTGTCTAGGGTCTTTTGTGAAAACAATTCAGTCAAGTCCGGCTTCTTGTCATTCGACACAATGCCATCGATTAGCAATGGCTTGTAAGGAAGCAAGTTGATCCGTTCGGTCACCGTAGTCTGTAGAGCATTTTCTATGTCATTCGCAGCATACTCAGCCGTGCTTTTGTCAGCCGTGATACGGATGACGTCGAACTGCTTCAAGACTTCAACCTTGGCCCGCCTGGCCTGTCGAATCTTATTGAGCACTGTTTCCTTTTCTCCGGTATTGAGCAGGGCCAGTTGCCATGGCCTTAGGAAGAACTCAATCTCGCCAGGCGCCTCAATCTCCTCTAAGAGCATCAGGTTCCAAGCATCTCTGAGGATGCGGTCAACTAGCAACTGCTTGCTGACGTACCTCCGCCAGCCCATGACTTTCACATGGCGGTCGACTCCAGGTAGGCGTTCGGTAACTTTTGTGGTACCGGGCTGCCACTCAGAGCGCTCTATTGGCTGATTTGGGTCGCTACTGTCGCGCTTTATGCTATCCAGGACCCCCTTGTTGACCTTTTTCTGTTGTATATTCTTGGCGACCGAGTAAAAGACCATCAGTTGGTTTTGGGTGAAGCCGTTCATCAAGACCTTCTTCAGCTTGATAAATTTAGTCTGCTTGACGTAGTGAGGCTCGTTGGGATCGCCATTGTTCGGCGGGCACAAGCTCATGACTTGCTGGTAGATATCTTCTGGTTCGACGGCTTTGCCCTCATTTTGCAGAGCGGCTTCGATATCGGGCACCTCGACGGGCTCATCGGGTTCGACGGGTTCGGGCTCTTTGGGGGTTGTTGTGTAGTGTGCCAGATCAATCATCTCTTCCAAGACCAAAATCTCAGCATCGTCGCCCAAGCGCTTGATGCCATTGAGTCTTGCCGATGTTTCTCGAATGACGTTGCCCCTGTCGATTCTCAACCGGTTTAGCCGCTGCATGTACTTTGTGATTTTAACCCTAGAAGGCTGAGGCTGAGCCTCGACTTCTTGCGCGTCATCGCGCTGGCGTACGGATGTAGAAAATTGGGCATGCGAGGGTCGGCGAGGGAGCGCAGGACGAGGCTGACGGGCCAGTCGGGCTTCACATCGGAGGCATACGAATGCACTGCTTGTACGGGGCGTAAGCATAGAGAAGGAAGGCGCAGAACCAAAGTGCAGGAAACAATAGCTGAATGCGGTGCGCAAAGTGCGATGCGTCCATCAACTTTCTTCACCGCCGAATTCTGCCGTCGCGCTTTCACGTGCGGGGGTGCGTCATGATCAACGTCCACGGCTATATATGTACAATTAAAGATATACCTATCTACATGCTACTCTCCCCTCAGCCAGTAATTCTATCCAGGACGGCGCCAGCTGCACAGGTCTTCACGTAAGTCAAATTCATCCACTTCCTGCTGCGGGCCATAACGCTTCCGCTCCGCCTCGGCCTTCAGATGCGATGCCTGCTGCTCCAGACTGCCTCTGCCGCGCACGTTTGACGGGCGGTTGGCCTTCATGTCTCCAGGACGCAGCGTCTCATGTGATTTGCGATGGGCGGTGCTAGTGGCGCGCATGTGTCTTGAATCGTTTTCGCTTACAGACGTGCTGCTGTCACCTGGCGCGAAGCGTGACGTCGGCGTGCGCATGTGTTGCGAGTATGGCTTGTCGCGGTCGCCCCAGCCGTCACCGCCAGCGAAGATATCTTCGATACATTCGTCTGCCTTGAGCTCGCCGGGCTGAGCGGACCAGTAGGCTGCAAGGGTGCGTCGGTACATGTCTTGGAGTTCACCAGCTTCACGCGACTTGCTCGTCAACGACGGTGCTGCGCCGTCATCCTCCAGCTCCGCCTGGTCGCCCGCCATGATACCGGCGATGCCGCTGAAGACCTGGGCTGTCTTGAGGGCTGGTGCAATGAAGTTCTTGTCGCCCTCGGTCTGCTTCATGTAGATGCCCAACTTGAGCGTGCTGTTGATCTTGCTGTCTTGCATGAGATACCTCCGCGTGACGCCCGCGTCCTCGCCCGCCATGGTTGCCATCTCGCTCTGCTCCACATACTCTGCGAGATTGAGCCTGACGCTGCCCAGCACGATGCGCTCGCCCCTGCCTGCGCCTCTGCTGTACTCTTGCACAACCTCAAACTCGGCCCAGCACTCCTGCAGCATCCCGTTCTTGTCGACGGTGAGGCGGACGGGGAGAATGGTATCGTAGTCGTACGCCACTTTGTGGTCTCGCACCGGACAGCTATCTGTGCGACCGCGGTGCTCGGCAGCCGTCGAGTGCGAGAGGTGCCATTTTACAAACGATGTGCCCGAGACGAGCGGCACGTTGTTGAGGTCGATAATCTGCCTTTGTTAAACCAGCCATGGTGCGCCTCGTGCGGATTTGCTCACTCTCAGACGCAGGTCAAACTTGGGCTATGCGCGCGTCAGCCAGTGCAAATCGACCGATACTGTGGGCGCCTTACTCGTCGGCTCTTGGGTACTGCAATCGTGAGCGTCTGGGTCGCAAACGCGACAGTCCGCCGCATGGCCATTGCTCACCAAATGCTTGCATGTTGAAGGAGGGAGGAAGGCGAAACAGCCTGTCCACTTCGACCACCTTTCACTCGTGCTCAGCGTGTGACAGGGTTCTTTGTGACGTGACCCGAGTAGGAGCGTTGCTTTAGGTACTGCGAAGTATGGATGCATCCCGGTTTCAGTTGCCCCGAGGCTCGAGCTCCAGTTCCGCTTCCGCTTCCGCACCTTCACCACCACCATTGACCAACCCCGATAATCACAATGACCATCACACCATCACACCACATGGAATCTCACTAGTATGCCTGCGCCGTTTTGCTTATTGCATCCTATTAATGCACTCTAATCATCACCATGCTGATAACCTTGGAACAATTGCTGATAGCCTGGTTCTACTAATCCCCACTAAGACACATATGACCGGCACCCCACTCAAATCTCATAGAATCTTCTCGCCTGGTCCTCAGTAACGGAACTATGATAGCACCTCTTCATATCGATGAGTCCGTACTTGTTCCCTTTGATCTTCCACCACATGTCCCTTCGGTTGCCGTTGAGCTTGCCGCCTAATATGTCTTCTTTCAGCTGCTTCACAAATTCGTTGTATATCTCTGGCTCCTCAAGGCTCGTGATTTCTTCCCTCATCACACGGATGGCTTCGAGCGCACGTGCATACGCACTATCGCCGACACTGTTGCTGATGAGCGACCGGACTTCTTTCGCTATACTATCTGCGGCTTCTTGAATAGCCTCGACGGTGTCACACACGTCAAGGGCTTGTTTGAACGAAGGGATGAGATTGTTCGCTTCGATCTTGACGCGTTTCGGTTTACCGAGAAGCTCATCAACATCGAGACCCGAGAGTGGCTTGTCGCGTTCAGCACGCTGACGCTTACCGCGCCCCTTGACTTTTGGCGGCACCTTCTTCACGTCTGCTGCTTTCTCCAAAGCCTCGAGATGCTTTTCTGTTGATGCTAGTAGCGCTGCTGGTGGGACTGAGTATTTCAGTAGAATTTCCGGTGGATCGGGAATCGGCAGTCCAGGTTCGGGATGTGTGGCTCGCCATTGTATGACATGGTTGATACGGTGGACGAGAGGCGAGAATGTGTCTTCCGGCTTTGCATACTCTTCCTCGTTCCCATCTTCGTCGCGGCCAAAAGTAGATAAATCCATTGCATCCACGTACTCGCTCATGGCGTCCAGAAGATCATCCGTGGGTAGATCTTTGTGCTCGGTAATGGTCTTGCCGCTGACTGTGAGTTTTCGATCAAGCGGTGGGAACTTGTACCGCCTCATGTCTTCTTCAAAAGGCAGCTCGACATCTACCAGAGCCTCCCATTCCAACTCTATACGTGGGACGAGCAACAGCAGAACTGGAGGCTTTAGATCTTTTGCCACTAGCCTAGCGATGGCGTAGCAATCAGCTTCGTATAGAGCGTGGATGAATGAAGATAGGCCGAGTTGTGCAGGCTGGTTGGCTTTTTGGGGAACAATGAAGTTTGCGCGACTCAGCGGTAGATATCGCTCAAACTCCTCAGCCTTGATAAAGCCCACCAAGTCCAAAGATTGCTGTGTTTCCAGCTTAACTACATTCATATCCGACTCTGAAATGTGCACTGCCGTTCTGCCGTACTCAAAACCTCGTTCTAGTTCCTCCATCTCGACGGTAGTTTTAGTACCAGGGTGATCTTTATCATCCACCTGATAAATACGTGAATTATGTACCGCGGACAAGTCAGTTGTCGGAGGGTTGTCGCCAGTCATAGTCATAGATGACTGTCCACTTTGGCCAGATTCGTCCTTGACGTCACCCTGTACTATAAAGGAGCTCGCCGTGGGCGGCTTCGCAAGCATGGTACACGGATACCGCTCAACGTCGATGGTAATGGTAGCCTCGTAATTTTGGGGATCTCCCAAAGTAAGCGAGCCTCGGTAGTTGTGTACAGGGCGGGTCTCCTTCAGGCGAGGGACGTGTAGTTGGTCTATGGCTGTAGCGAGTGTACCAAAGTTGCCATCGCAATCATCTACGAAGCTCCTGAGAATCTCCTCGTTTTGTGCCTGCCGCTTGTTAGCCATGTTGGAGCACACTCGGTTGTCGCTGTTACCTTTTGGGGCTCTTTTCCTTCTTCTTTGAAATCGACCTCGGCATCGTCAAAGTCCAGGCCAAGTAGCACAATCTCAAACGGAGCAGCAGGGTCTTTGATCTTCGTGGCCAGTTCCTCCAAATCATCAGTGACCATCTGACCACGACCATCAGTCACAATGATGATCCTGCGGTCATACTTCAGTGGGTTGCCTTTGGCTCCCTTTGTTGCGTTTTCTACCATATGAATTGCTACCACAAGGGCAGACAGTACTAAAACTGTCAGCTTGGAACTTTTACAGAGGCTTGGGGGACTTACAGTCGCCATCGTTTGTATTACTGGGCTTGAGTTGCTCCTGTAAATTCCGGATATCGCCAAGCAGATATCTACAGCCTGTTAGATAGTATACATGCTTGGCTATACTGAAACCTACTGTTTCAGTTCCGAGAAAACTCTAATGTTCTCATAACCCTCACTCTCCTCCATAGTCCCAGCGAGGTCGGACTCATCAGTGCGGCAGCCGATGACGCTCATGAGCGAGCTCTTCCTACCTGTTGCGACCTAATTTTATCATTAGATTTCGCTCAGAATCTGCAATCCAAACATGCCAATTTATCCAACGCACAAGATCTCCAAATGAACGTCGGCTTACAGTAGTTGTGATTTTGTTCCACACATACTCCAGCGCCCAGTCAAGATCTGTCTGGTCTCGCCCGTGTCTCTTCTCGCCCATTGACTGACCGAGGTCAAGAATGAACACTGTTGCCTCTTTGCCCGCCATGATGGTGCTGATGACGGCTCCTTTTGCGCGTTTCGCGTATGACAACTAGCGCGGCGTGTTGCAATTGTTTTCGGAAAATGTTGCCACAGACCAGCAGAATGCAGAAGTTTTTGCAATTGCAGATTTGATCCAGTCGAAACGGAAAGAACAAAACTGCGAGGCAAGGACGTTAAGAGTGTTTGCTGGCGCGGTGTGGAACGGCACATCGTTGCATTAGGCAAACGTGTGCACTGACCAGGTCGCGCGAACACGTGACTGCGCTAGCCGCGGAGGATGCCTGGAGTGGAGACTAGAGTAATACACATGCGACATTAAATACTGATTCATGTGACAAGTGTTACAGCGGGTGAAGTCTCATCATGCACTATTTGTGTTGACACGGCAAAGGTGTCGAATACTAGCAGTCGTTGCAACGAACAAAGTGTATAGTATTTGATTAGTAGTGAGCAAGAGCTGGATGGAGAGATCTCCATATGTACGGTTGCGAGCTAAGCGGGAAGCTTGGTCTAACTAGTGGTCCAAGCTTCCGGCCCGGAAAAACTCGCCGGGCTGGCTGTACGCGCATGTTCCGACAATTTGTATACCGGTATTCGCACTCCTAATCTTCTGCGCCCATCGTTCAATATTCTGAACACTAATAATGCAAAACATACTCTCTACAAGTATCCCAGGTCGTCCCGTATTCTCCCAGTACCTCGAGCTTCTGAGACATGATTTGCCCGCATGAAATGGTATGCTATTGGCTTAATCTGAGAATATACTTGGATAAGACACAGGCTGAATGGGCGAATTGGCGTATGAAGGAGCGTAATGACATCCTAGGGGTTCGGGCGTTTTGTAGTTCGCAAACCCCATCCTTGTCACTGAACCCGCAGCGCCTCAAATTGGCCATGGAGGAGTTCATAGTATGCAGTCTGACAGGACTGATTCTTCAATAACTCGAAATAACTAATACGCATCCATTTCTTTACTCTTAAGACAGCATCAGACGAAACAATCGCTCTTAGCAAAAGCCTTTGATACCAGACCGTTCTCATCTTTTTGTTTAGTTCCGACTCTTTATCTTTGACATGTCTATACCCTGCCATGTGCTGTACGTAAATATCAATGGGTTGTTGAGAGCCGAATCGTTGACCGACCCAGCTTCGTTAGAGGTTAAATTCGAAGTAGCGTAGACAGGCAATTCACACATCGGCTGATCGAAGGAAACAGGAGTGTTTCCCGAGTAATTAGACAAAATGACAAGGAGGCAAGCGGATGTATAAAAGAAAAATCAGCCCAGATCTTGGCCGTCATAGTTTGCGGTCAGGAGGACCCTTGGATTTTTTTTCTTTTTTTTTTTGAAAAAAAGCTGTGTGTACAGTAGTGAGGGTATTGCCAGATGGTAACGGCTAGTCGGCGCGAGCAAAGAAACCTACCATAACCCAGGGACCATTCTTTTCCGCGACCTGACCCTATGGAGCCCAAACTTATTGACATACCACTCCTTTGTGCCCACGGCCGTTACGCCGAGATTGGTAGCAACAAATACGGTTCCGCAGGCCAGGGTCGGATTTAGTATGCTACCGTTTGGAGCAGCAATGATGGACAAGAGGGCATAGATGGCGACCTCGCAGGTATAATGGGGGCAAAGCAAATTGGGGAACAGAGGATGCAACGGCAGCTGATAGTCAGTGTTTTGAGTGCGCAAACGGTAGAGATAGGCGTGGTAATAGTGCTGCAGCACCTGTGCAACAACGACGGCAGGTACGAGGGCCCATTGAATGACGTGGTTGGCGGGCGTCTCAACCCAGATGGCCATGTTGATGGAGAGGTAAAAGACCAGGCCCATAAACCAGTGGGCGACTGACATGGTGCTCTTGCTGGACGACATGTAGGCGAAAGACTCGAGCATGCGGCGCACGCCCTGGAGCAGCAAGAGGGCCCACACAGCTTGTTGCAGCGCCTGCGCCTGCCATAGAGGGTGCCAGACAGCCCAGAAGAGCGAGCAGGTAACTGAGGTCAGGTAGAAGTGGGTGAAGTAGTTGTGCGGCACCTGCAGCGCAGCCGCGTAGTCGAGGGCGCGGACAAATGCACTCGGTTGCTGTTGCTGCTGGTCTCTGTGCAGCTTCTTCGTGCCCGTTGCCCGCGAGCCATAGGGCAGGAAGCGGGCGCGCAGAACAGGAAGAGCGTGGATGGCGAGAATCTAACAGACAGGCACACGTCAGTTGGCGTGGGCGACGGCTGGGCAGTGTCGTTCTACAGTACAAGAAGGGAGGCGGCGATGTAGAAGGCGCGCAGGAGCACAGCGACGTCGCATTCTTGCATCATCGGCATGACTACCAACATCATCATGGGCGGTGTGGTGATGTGAGATGGTTAGTTTGTTAGTGATGGCGAGGTAACCGGTGCATGTTGCAAGTGCAAGTAAGATTTGTGGTGCCGGCGCTGTGGCCGGCGTATTGGGCATAAGCGGGCTAGCGCCTTCTGGCTGCCTCCCATCCTCTCTCCGTACCGCTCGCCTTCTGCTTCAGCTCGCAACCACGACGTCGGCGAGGCCCCATCACCACCGCGCCCCCCCTGTGCTCCCCGACGCCCTCGCCTGCCGCGCCGTCTCCCCTTCCGAGCTTGTCTGGCGTCGCTGCGCCTGCTGCGCCCGCTACACAAGCTCTGGGCGCTCGTGACCCGCCCGCGCGTCCCATCGTCCCTTGCTCTGCAAGCCAGCATGAGGCAGGAACTCCCGTGTCCTGCTCCCTCGGTATATGCGTCATGACCAGCAATGCCCATTCGCTCCTAACTCCCTCTGCCCCCGCTGGCCTTCACCACGACGGCCCCACGGCCCACGCCAGCTCGCCGCGACACACGTCGAGGCCAGCCTCCCCGTCTAGTCGCCCTGCCGCCGATCCAGACCATGATCAGGATGCAGAGGGCGAGTCGGAAGCCGAGACGGTCGTCTTGTCACGCGATGAGAAGCCTGTTGACGCTGTCGACGACGACAATGACAAGCTGATCAAGAAGGAGCGCCTCGACGACGACCATGACAACCCCAACAACAATCCCAACCACAATCATAATAGCGCCGATGCCGATGCCGATACCGACGACGCGAAACGCCTGCGCTCCAGCAACGGCCATGTCAAGGCCAACGGCACCAGCCACGCCGCGCGACACATCAAAGAAGGCAGCTCCCAGGACTCGGGAAAGTCGCCTGCCCCATCTGCCCTCTCCCCTACACAAACAACGACGCGCGGTCGCAGTGCTTCGACCGTCGAGAACCGCAAGCGCAAGTTACGCGACGAATCCTTCCCAAAGTCCTTTGAGCCTCCGCGCCAAAAGGCCAGGACAGAGGGTCTCAAAGACGCGCCCAATTCACCCGCCACACCCGCTTTTGGCCGCCCTCACAAGCGCTCCCAGTCCACACAATCCACAATCTCAGCTATGACCGGCCGCAAGCGCCGCGACGTCACCAACCTCGCCTTGTCGACAGAAGCCGACGAGCATTGGGCGGGTTCCAGTTCGGACCACTCAACATCGCCTCAGCCCACGTCCGCACCCTATCTCCAGCAACACGCCCGAGTGAAGCGTTCTTCACACCGTGCCCTGACCTCGCCCGCACGCACCATGCCCCAGCGCAAGATCGACAGATTCGGCGCTACCCGACTCGCTCGAGAAAGTGAAAAAGGCGACCTGGAGGCTGTCAAGGAAGCATATGAAGAGGCACCAGACGAGCTGGACCAGGCTGATTACGCCGGTATTGCCCCCTTACAAAAGGCCGCCCTGCATGGATGGGCTCCCGTGGTCCGCTATCTCATCAACAAGGGCTGCCGTACAGATTGCGAGAGTCACGATCGGGACACCCCCCTCATCGATGCTGTAGAGAATTCGCATCTGGACGTAGTCCGGCTGCTGCTCAACCAAGGCCAGGTCAATCCGCATCATTCCAACAAAAAAGGCCAACGTGCCATCGACGTGTTGGACCCTGAGGATGAAGACGCGGCGGAAATAGAAAAAGAACTCAAGGAGGCTATGAAGAGGCGGGTAGACACTTCCACAAACGACCACGAGCGATCCCAGAAACAAGCAAAAACAGCCTCGCGTCTGCTGTACAATGAATTCAACGTCGAGACCTTGATCGAAAAAGCTGGCGACGGTGATATTCTCGCTGTAGGCGAGCTAATCAACAGCAACATCAAGCCGAACATAACCTGTGGAGTTGCTGCGGCACGAGGTGGACACTATGACATCCTCAGCATCCTACTAGCAAGTGGCCTAAAGGCCGACCCCGACCCGTCCAAGCATCCGGAGACACCTATGACAGTAGCCATCGGTCGCGGATATCTCAAAATCATACAGCTGCTTCTCGAGCAAGACAACTTCAACCCTACGCGCCGAAACAAGGATAACAAGACCTACTACGAAATCTCAGAGGAGCGACATGGCCCAAAGTGGGAAGAAGAGAGGGATATGCTCAAACGCGCATGTGATGAGTACCAAGCAACCCACCGGAGCCCTCGTAGGGTCAAGAAAGAAGCCCCCAGCGCTTCAAGCCAGCGCATCAAGCGAAAGTCCCCTCCACGACGAGAGCGATCATCGTCACCGCGAACAGAGCCGAAACGCGCCCATCATGCAAAATCGACGACAGCGACCACTGCACCCCAAAAGTCCCGGCGACTAATGTCTGGAAAAGAAAAGGCAACGAGAGAAGGTCAGCGGAGGAAGCGGGTTGTGGATGAAGATTCGTCAGAAGAGGAGAGCGAAGAAGACGTACGGCCACCCACGCGAAAGACAAAGCATCGATCATATAGCGAAGGCGAGGGTGAGGGCGAAGACGTGAAACCCGTTCGGAAGGCTCTCAAAGCACGCTCAGACGACAACGAGTCTAAACGACCGGCTTGCCCGCATTCAGACGAGAGCGATGAGGTTCACAGCACTAAACATCCAGTCAAGATCCGCACAAAACCTGCCAAGCCCGTCAGTGCAAAGCCGACACCTGAGGTCGACTCCCCAGACGAACGCAAGGCCGTAAAGAACAAGATCAAATACAAGACGGTAGAGGATAAGCTACGGAAAAGGCGGCTGTCTGACGTATCAGCGGATGATGCCGCAAGTGTGAAGAGAACACCTAACGCGTCCAACAAATCCACACCTGCTCCGCCAGAGAGAGTAGCGACCCCGGAAGTCGAGCGTGCGCGTCGTCTGGAGGAACTAAAGGCACAAGCAGAAGCAAAACGCAGAGCAGTGCAAGCCGCGGCCGAGGCCGAGGCACAAAAGAAGGAAGCTGAAGAAGCTGCTCGCAAAGCTGCAGACGCTGAAGAAGCGAGGAAGAAGGCTGAAGCAGAGGCAGAGGCACAGCGCCAAGCGAAGGAAGCCGAAGCTGCACGCATACGAGAAGAGCAGGAAAACCAGCGCCGAGCAGAAGAAGAAGCAAGAAAACAAAGAGAGTTGCTAGCACGACAAGACCGTATATCAAAGCTTCCCCGAGCTCTACGGCGAGCCTGCGAACTAGGCACCAAACGGCCACTGCATTTCTCTGGAGAGGAACTTGGAGTATCGGCAGTCTTTCTTCCACTGTTCTTTGTAAATGCGCAGGATCTACAAGATCCACAGGCCTTACCCAACAAGACCTATGTCTGCTCTTTCCAGGTTGTCGGCATACTGGGACTTCAAGAGCTCGACCTAGCACGTCTGAGCGCCCCCTATTCGGACTGGCCCCGGATTCCCGTAAGCCGCACGCAGCGAGATGCCATACTGAGGCAATACGATGTTGCACTTCTGGCCCAAGATTTCCGATTTCCTATGGAAGGTGCCCCGGACTTTGACTACGCCAAAATCCAGGACAGTATCAAGGAAGCCAAGAACCAATTTTCGACAATGGAAGGCATGTATTGGGTCGAAGAGTCTCTGCTACACGCCGAAGTTGAAAAGATTGACAGCCTACGGCCACTACTGCACGATATGCGCTCTCAGTGTAAGAGAAGGCGAATCAATCTAGGTGTCAATAGCGACGAACGACCAGAAAAGAATCACAAGCCGCGGAAAAGCTTCATGGACATGGTGCTTGCACAGAATGGCATCAACGGTACAGCGGCACCAGCAGTTGTCAATGGAAATGGATGAAGCCCTAGAGAGCATGCAGACTCTGGCATTGTATACCTAAAGTGACGATAGAAGCTCCGTACAGCGCAGCGCCGCCCTCCCGGTGTTGTGAGGCAAAAGCATTTGCTTGGGGGATGTCAAGTGTGACCATATATGTATTATTTGGCGCTGCGGACTGGAGGGCTGCCTGTAAAGAGAGAAAGAGCCTAGTGGCTATGTGAATGGGACTTGTGTGAATGATGACGAGATAAATATCACCCTGGGACGATGAAGACTTCTTGCCAAACCCCTTAAATCCGACATGTCTATGTTTGTACGCGAACCGAGTATCGTCATGAAGCGAACGGCCAATCGCAACCTCACAATATTCTCACGAAGAAATCTCGCGGAGATTTGATGAAGAGCTTCGAGCACAAGATGGATGGTTGTGACGATAGAATATACTCTATACAAAAAAAGTAATGGCAACAGCCGCGTTATTCTGACCCGGGACCGCCCCGTTCAATACACCGATTTTATTCCGTTCCTCCCCCTCAGCAAATACCAATAACACCGTTAACAAGGATGTCAAAGCTGGTAGTATAACTCGCCGCGTCACTAAGCAAGTACACATAAGCACCTCCCAGCTCCTCAACCGCCGCCAACCTAGGCATACCACCGTAGATTGAGCTCCTGCTCCCAGTCAGGCTGTTGCTCAACCTAGTACGTCATAGCTGTCCTGACGAGACCGGGCGACACAGAGTTGACGCGGATGTTTTACTGTGCCCACTCCATGGCGAGGGTATATGTCATGTTGCGTACACCAGCTTTTGAGGCGCCGTAGGGGGCTGAGGGAACACGCTGATGGAGATGTTAGTATGAGCTGGAGTTGGATCTTGAAGGGAGGGTTGAGTAAGGGACAAGGGTGAAGAAGAACATACCTTACTCGGCCTATAAATCGCCATAATAGCCGTAACAACAATACTTCCTTTAACCCCCTGTTTAATAAACGCCCTCGCCGTACACCCCGCGCTATAAAAGCTGCTGTACAGGTTCACGCCCCACAGCTAGTCAATCTCCTCGGTCGTGGAGTCGAGCGCTGGCTTGTGCGGCTCATGTTTCATACCATGTCGTGCAGGGCACCTGCGTCTTTTAGGATGGCGTCGATTGCCGTTTGGATTAAGGCTTCTTGGGTTACGTCGGCTTGGAGGGCGAAGAGTTTGTTGGGGTATTGGGCGCTGAAGGCGTCGAATTCCTTCGCCTGTGGGGCCGATGTCTATGGAGTAGATGCGGGCGGCACCGTTGGAGAGACAGCAGTCTGCTAGTCCAAGACCAATACTTGTAGGGGTTGGTTAGAGGGGTGTTGGGGGATGGAGTGTGAGGTGGGTTTGTGTATCTCTGTTTCAGTGATGGTGATGAATTTGCCTTCAAGTTGGACATTCTTGACCGGTGCGATTTCTGTTGATAAGGATATCATGGTGTTTGATTTGAAGATTCAACATGACAAAGATAATCTAACAGTCTTCTTCTTCAAGATGAGATATGTAGAATAGTTTGAATTGTAGACAAACAACAACATAGCCACCACCCCGTCCTCTTTATACCCCATTCCACCCCATCCTCTTCGCAAATACTCGTCCCCATGGAACCAACGTTTGTAGAAATGTAGTAGCGGTTACCCTAACCCCACCCCTCTGTTCGTGGTGAGTTGTTGGTACTGCTTTTGGTTTAGCCACTCAGTCAGATCTGATCCGAGTAGCACGCGCCAAGGATGTATGGTATCAACAGTACAGCGGGCTACGACTACTGTGGTTTGCGGGTGGAGTTGTGATTAGGTGGGGTGTTTATTTTGCTCGCGTTGAAGTGGTAATATACAAAATGCCTCGTTGGACATATATGGTGATGCGTGGCTTTCCCTCGTCGTTGCGACCCGTAAGCTTCGGCGAGCATGATGCTTCGGGACGAGACACACACACACACACACAAAGTTCATAGTAATCAGTCAGACACCGCATTCGTGTCTGTACTCTGTCTCTGCATTTGTAGAGACGTTTTCATTTTCGTTGTCATTAGCACATAGTCTATCTAGTTGAATACAACAGTCTTCTGTCCGTTCAAAAACACTCTCTTCTCACTCCACCACTTGACCGCTGCAGCTAGCACCTGACTCTCCACATTACTGCCCTCCTCGACCAATTCCTTTGGACTCAACGCATGATCGACCCTCGCAACGCGCTGCTCGATAATCGGGCCCTCGTCCAGATCTGCCGTAACGAAATGCGCAGTCGCACCGATAATCTTGACACCGCGCTCATAGGCCTGGTGGTACGGCTTCGCGCCCTTGAAGGAAGGCAAAAATGAGTGGTGGATGTTGATAATCTTGCCAGACATTTCTGTGCATAGGCGTGGGGAGAGAACCTGCATGTAGCGTGCCAGGACCACCAGGTCGATATTGTGTTGCTTGATGAGATCGAGGATTTGAGTTTCCTGATGCTCTTTGGTATCCTTTGTTACGGGAAGATGGTGAAATTCGATTCCGTTGTTCTTTGCGAGCTCGGCAAATTCGGGGTGGTTGGATACGATGATGGGCACTGCGATCTTGAGCTGACCGGACTTTACGCGGAAGAGGAGGTCATTTAGGCAGTGGCCAATCTTGGAGACCATGATTAGGACTCTGGGTTTGGCGTCTACTCGCTGGATTTGGTATGTCATGCTCATTTCAGCGGCAAGCTTCTCCATGCTTGACTGCAGTGCGGAGACGTCGGCTGCATGGCCGAAATGTACGCGCATAAAGAAAGTTTTCGAGACAGGGTCTGAGAATTGCTGCAAGTCCAAAATCGTGAGGTTTTCCTTTGCCAGAAGACCCGTGACAGCGTAGACAATACCTGCCTTGTCAGGGCAGGAAAGCGTAAGGTAGTGATCGTCTCCGGCCATGGTGGATGTTGAGATCCTTGCTTTTCGAGTATGAGATTATTAGGGGTCGTTATATCGCGAGTAACGTCGAGCGTCTACAAAAGTGTGACTGTGTTGTTGGACATTTTTACGAATTTGCTTTTTTAGTTTTGATTAGATTAAGGTTAGTGCGTGTAATGCAACTCCCGAGATCGGGAGTTGATTTCTTTTGAGTCAGCAATGCTAGACCGGACATGGGGTGGGCTTTGTTGACTCCAAACTCCATCAAAGTAAAGCATCTTTGCCGGCTATTACGTCGACATGACGTGAGGTCTATAGTAGTACAGTATATCGATTCTGTACATGTTTGGGTGGTGCTCAACTTTATATCTACTTGCTGGGATTAGTAGTGGGGGTAAACTGCATCGGACTGTGCGTAATCGAGAAAGTGCCTGGAAAGTAGGCAATACACACCATCTTTCCCCAAACAAGTTCCTACAAGCGTTACCTCCGGGGTAAAGTTTCCAGAAGTTCGCAGGCGGTCCGAGGGTACACAGACCCTGCCAAGGTTCGGCTACGAAGCCAATCACCATGGTGGAGCGGCGGGGAATTGTTAGGGGACCGACTGTCGGCATGGAGCCTTGATCTTCACCTCCCCTTCACCTTCTTTTTCTCGGCTCGCGCAGTCGACGATTCAAGGTTTGGACGATGCCATCAATCATGGATCTACTACCGGTTGCACTAGCTTTTGCAGCCATTGTGGGCGGCTTTCTTTTCTTCCGCAGCGGCAGCGCTGGTGAGTGAATCAATCGTGAACAACAAGACGACGGAATAGTCGGTTAACCAACAATACAGGGTCCCGGAAGGTGCTCAAGCCGACTGAGTTCCAAGAGTTCGAACTCGAGCACAAGGAGGTGCTGTCACACAACACAGCTATCTACCGCTTCAAGCTCCCGCGCCCAACCGACATTCTTGGTCTCCCCATCGGTCAGCACATCTCCCTCGCCGCTACCATTGACGGCCAGCCCAAGGAAGTCGTACGTTCGTACACGCCTATCACATCGGATGAGGACAAGGGTCACGTCGACTTGCTCATCAAGTCGTACCCCACGGGCAACATCTCCAAGCATGTTGCGAATCTGCGCATCGGTGACAAGATGAAGATCAAGGGGCCCAAGGGCGCCATGGTATACACACCCAATATGGTCAGACACTTTGGTATGATTGCCGGTGGAACTGGTATCACACCCATGCTACAGGTTGCAAAAGCCATCATGCGTGGCCGCGCGTCAGGTGACCGCACCGAAGTCGATCTCATCTTTGCAAACGTAAACCCCGAAGACATCCTGCTCAAGAACGACCTCGACTCTCTGGCTGCCAAAGACCCTAAGTTTAGGGTACACTACGTGCTCAACAACCCACCTGAGGGATGGACCGGTGGCGTCGGCTTCGTGTCGGCTGATATGATCAAGGAGAAGCTTCCGGCTCCTGCAAGCGACATCAAGATCCTGATCTGTGGACCCCCGCCCATGGTTGCAGCCATGAAGAAGGCGACAGAGAGCCTCGGATACACAAAGGCAAGGCCTGTCAGCAAGCTTGAAGACCAAGTCTTCTGCTTCTAAACTGAGAGGACAATGAATAGGAAGTACCAAGCCAACCACACGAAGAAGGCCCATCTGGCAATGATTGGTTAAAAACATTAAATCATATATTGTACAAAAGCCCAAACTGAGTCTCCTCCCGGGGGCAATCAAGTCTCTGCTGGATGATTCAATCATATGTCTAAAAGCGAGAAGAAATAATCGTTCCAAGATAATATTGGTTCGACTCGGTTCGTTCGTGTTACTCATCCCTTCCCCAAAAAGACGAATCAAAGTTTGCAATTCAGCACCAACCCACCCGACTAACTAGGCCGGCCTCAATCCAATTCAAGCAACCTCTGCCCCTCACTCCTTTACTCCCAAATGAACGCCTGCTCAAGATGCTAAAAAAAACTTGCATGCGAATGTTATGACATCGCTTAATCCCCCGAGTTTTTTGTGTGAGCCCACCGCGCTTTCCCAATGCTTTGTGAAAAAAAAACCCTAAGATGCAAAGTTTGACAATAGCTGATAGATGCTTAGAAGAAGAGAGAAGACGTAGAGAAGAAGTTAGACGCGTATACAGGGTCCAAGAACTAGCCCAAAATGAATTGGGTACTGATGAAGCGCTTGAACGTCGACGAAGCTCAGGAGTTTCGTGTTGGTGGGACGAATAGTGAGGGAGGGATATAAGAAGCTGGGAAGCCCATGCACCATACACCCAAAACCAAATAAAGGGTTGCAAGTTCGTCGTTGTGCAAGAAATTCAATCAATCAATCAATGATCATCCTCACTACTCCACCCACCATCATCTTCTTGATCTAAACTCTCCATGACCTCTTTGATGACGCCATGGCTTTTTGGATCCAAATTCATAGCAATAGTGAGATGGCGGATAGCGCTAGCGCGTTCCCTAAGTTTCTTGTAGCAGCGTCCGAGTAAGAAGTGGATATTCGGGTCATCTGGAGCAGCGTCTTTGAGGTAGAGTAGTTCGTGAAGTGCTTCCTGCGGTGCGTTGAGTTTGAGTAGGACTTGAGATTTGCGGAAGCGGGCCATGATTGAGCGAGGGTCGATGCGGATAGCATTTTCAAATTGCATGAGTGCGGGTTCGATTTTCTTCATGCGGTCGAGGACCTGTGAGTGTGAATGTTAGCGAGCAAGAAAACAAAAGAATCCGATTGGGGTTGTTGCTTACTAAACCAATTCGGACAAGAATCATGGCATTGCTCTGATTGATGTCTGCCGCTGCTCGGTAGTGCTTCTCGGCCACCTCGTACTTGCCTAGACGCTCGTACACGTTGCCAAGCCCATACCATCCGTTGTAGTGTCTGTTGTCGGCGCTGATGGCATTGCGATACGCTGCCATGGCCTTGTCAAATTCTTCGTTCGCCACGTGCTCGTGACCCTGTAATGTAAAAGCATATGCGAACTTGGGGTCTAGCTGCGTAGCGCGGGAAAAGCATTTCACAGCATCGTCATGCTGCCGAGACAGCGAACTAGCGTTCCCGAGGGCACACCAAGCTTGTGGGGAGAGTCGATCCTGATCCATCAGTGTGTGGGCAAGATGACCTAAAGCCAGCTCATCTCTGAGCTGCCAGAGCGTGTTCGAATAAACTTCCATGTGCTCTACGGAAGAAGGCGCCAAGTCTCGGATCTTCTTAAATGTACTCCCCGCCTCTGCGTATTGGCTACACTCGTACTGGGCTTTTCCAATATGTCCAAGGACCCAGGGTGTTTCCCGTTGGGCTTTCGGCACAGCTGAAAAAGCTTCAAGAGCCTTGATTGCATCGTAGCGACTCAGATGGCGATAACCGGAGGCGATCTTGAGAAGTAAATCCAACAGCCAGTTCAATACATCCCGCTCCCGGTCTCGCTCTCTTGAGGAGTCGGCTGGTGGCGCCATCTTTGGTGGTGGCGCGACAGGCATGCCCATCACGCTGGCAGGCCTTCCCTCCGCCTTGGGTGGTAAATCAGAGACTTCAACGTGTGGCTTCCTGTTGCCACTAACAACTCTCCCTACAGTCGAGGTGGTTCCTGATCGTGTCTTGGGTACTGCAGCCCTCGCTCTCCGCAGTTCGCGTCGCTCCTTTGACTCAACGTCTCTGTTCGAAGACCCCCCTGGCCTACTGCTTGTGGTCCGTATCTGAGTTATCGAGTTTAGTAGTCTGACGCTTCGGCGCGGGGGCGCTGCCGTGGGATCCATTGGCTGTGAAGATGGGTTCTGTGATGGCTGCAGGGCATGACCAGACACAGTCCTCTTATGTCCATTCTGGTATATTGGGCGTGGAATATCGGTCTGGTCAACTTCCGGGTTCGTCTTGGTCCGTACTCGTCCAGTGATGGGGCGAGTGGTACCTAGTCCACCAGCGTTGCCCATGGTAGCATGCGTGTCGTGCATATTGTGCACGCTGTGGCCGTTGGAAACTGGGGTTTCGACGTCTTGGTGGTGAGTGGGTTGGGCACTGCGGCCACTATTAAATCTGGAGAGCAGGTTTGCGCCGCCCATGTTGAGTCCGCCGTCGCCAGCTTGTCGTGACGAGGGATTGAAAGGGTCGACTTCCGACGGCGAAGGTAGAGGGAGCATATCGGGGGTGATTTTGAAGATGTTATGGGGGCGGACTACGGCGCCAATGTCACACAAGCTAGTGAAGGCGTCCCACATGAAGGAGTTGATCTTGAGCGCGTCGACAAAGTGATCAATGGCCTTTTTGGTGTCGCCGTGCGCAGCATATAGTTTGCCGAGCATACAGTAGCAGGCGGCCGCGTCCGGCATATGCCGTCGTGAAGTGTCCGAGTGCTTGTCTACGTTGTTTGTTAGCAGGTTGTAGCGCTACGAGGCGCGACTACTTACTCCAGTGGTTGCGTCCGGCCCATAGGCTGCGCACCTTCTCCAGCGCATGCGCACCCTGCTCATGACGACCGAGGGCGAGACATGTCTGAGCAAAAACATAGGCGCAGCCAAGATGCTGGACATGGGCTCCTTTGGCCCGCGCCTCGTCATAGGCAGCTTTGTATCTACCCAGGCGGAGACTGCAGAGCGCAAGCAGATGTGATGCGTCCGGGTTACGAGGCTCGAGAGCATGCAGACGGCCCGCGAGGAAGAGAGCGTTTTCGGTGAAGCCGTTATCGAGGTGGTAGTGAACGAGCTGGCGCAGTTGGGCATTGACGCCCGGTGGCGGCGACATGCTTTCGTAACGAAAAGACTGGGCCTAGGGTTGTGGGTTCATAGTACGACGGTGGATGTGATGTTGTAGCCCGTTGTTGATGTTGCGTAGGCGGACTTGCAGGGTTGACAGGGTGTGCGGATTGCCGCCGTGAAGGTCGCGGTGAAGGCTGGAGGGCGGCAAGGGATGGCGCAGGACGGCGTGTTCGACAAAGCGAATTGGTAAACACGGAATTATGCGCGCAGCTGGGATGACGGCCAAGGTCGATATAGGCCAAAGAGGGGGATTCGTTGTCCTGCTCGTTGTAGTCGCGGATCCAAGTTGCGCGCGCCGCTAGAACGCACAGACAAACAATGCTCTTCACTACTACAGGAAACCTGCAGCTGCCCCTCTAGGACTTTTACAGCCGCCCGTCACCCACGCGTCGCCCCCGTAACCACGCAGTCGCACCCTCTCGCCAGCAGTCCATCACAATGGCTCAGGTACGTCTATTTTGCATTGCTCTGCTATGCTCCATTCGGCTCTGCTGTACACCGCAATTGCTAATCCCTTCGGATAGAAAGCCACCAAGACGCTCGCCGCGTCCAACACAAAGCGCCTCAACCAGACCCTTTACACCAGCCTTGCCGTCCACGCCATCTGGTGGCTCCTGCGTGCCTTCTTCTTCCGGACTTCCTTCTCCCGCAAATCCCTCGTCCTCTACCTGGTCTTATCCGCTCCGCAACTGCTCATCCAGCTCTACTTGGAGCGCCTCTCCCGTCCCACCTTCACCGCTGATGGCGCCGTCAGGAAGCCCGGTGAGGATCTCGATGCCAAGGGTCTGACTGAATACATGTGGGACGTTGTCTACTGGACATATGCCTGCATTGTCCTGTCCGCCCTGCTTGGGGACTACGCCTGGTTTCTCTGGGCCATAATTCCGGCTTACAGCGTCTACTCGGCATGGGGCGTATATACGGGTATGAGAGGTGGATACCAGGATGCAGCGGGGGTACCACAGCCCCAGGCAAGCAAGAGACAAGCCAAGATGGAGAAGCGGGGTGGGCAAAAGATGCAGTATCGTTGAGGACATGCCTCACGTCATGCATCGGTATAAGTGTGTAGGTTAATAGTTCTTCTACATGTGCAATGTCATGAGCCATTGCTCTCCACATGCACTATTGAGTTGGGCAGCCGACTGTCTATGTGTCGGCTCCGTGTGCCACCTCATCATGGCGCCACCTGTAGCATCCTATCGACATGCTACACACCCAAATCCATCCATACACTATAATATACATCGTACAAGCTCATGCCTCGACACGCGTGGGAATCTTGGGAATGCCCCTCTTGCGGTCCTGGTGTGGCACTCCATAACGCCAGCCAGCCGCCGCCGCTCCTCTGCCGTCGCGTCCCGCCGTCTCGACACTGACGTCCTGAATGACAAAGTCCCATCGTCGTTTAGGCACAACCTTGAGCGCCCTGAGCTCTTCTTCTTTCCGTCGCGTCTCAGCCCGTTTCTTTTCTTGCTCCTTTTCAAACCGCTCCGTCGCCAGTCTTGTACGTTCACCCACCGAAAGACCCATCTCGAGTTCACGCTCTGCATGTACGAGTTCGGGATGAGGAATACGCGCATCCGCAGGCAGCAGATTGTTATCAAACGCTTTGCCAGCATCAACACGAGTGAAACGGCGCGATTCGGCAACGGGAACAAAGAGTTGCTGGCGAGTCGCAGGGTGAACGATCAAGTCATTAATGGGTTCATGGGGTATTGGGCGTTTGCCCTTGTTCTTGGGTAGCGATGTGTTGATAAATGGCGTCGTTGGAAGCATGGCTAGTACAGCTTTGGAGTAGGGTAGCGCGAGTGTTTTGCCCTGATCATATGTGTAAGCAGAGATCTCGCAGTATTCTCTTATTCAAGAAATAACAATGGCGACGACGTTCAGCAAGAGCATGACTTAATGTTTGTAACCATGTAGATGTCTTAAAGACTAATCGATTTTTAAGAAACTCATCATGTCGTTCAAGTGTGCAAGGAGGAAATGTGGCACGTACCTGGGCTATCCATTCCTTCTCCATCTGCTTTAGCCGCACTACGGCGCCAACACGCTCGTTGCTGACGCCAAATTCGACACTAGCGAGTGACACGGTAGCGCCATCCTTCTTCACTCTTTGGTATATCGCTTCTCGCAGGTCTTCGCTGAGTACTGGCTGGCTGCGGAAGTACTGATTTAGTGGAAATGGACGCAAGTCTTCTGCCGTTTCTGGTGGAAGCTTCCCGTCACCTGGTGCCTCGCTCGCCTTGCTCACTTCTTGGTCGTCCGTCTCACTTGCCAGTACTGCCGCCTCTAACTGCTCAAGGCTCTCTTGTGCTGCTGGTGTCGCGTTCTCGCTAGGCTTTTCTGACTTGACTTCGGCATCCGTCTGTCCCGCCTTGGTTGCTTCCGCTGTCTTCACTCCGTCTCTCCGCCACCCGGGCCCTGCGCGGACGAGATTACCATACTTGTCGTAAGCGCCCAAGTAGTTTGTTGAGTCTGGTATCGGCTCCTTCAGTTGTCGGCCAGGCCCATTGAGCCACTCATAAAATTTTCGCCGCCGCAATGTGATTTGCGGACATGGTGTTTGTGAGAATTGCCGTGGTGACTGCACTGGTAACGTGACCGTCTGTGGCCGTGCCGAGCACGAGGGGAATGGTGATGAAGTCGCAGTTGCGGAGAGCCTAGACGATCGCAACCGAGGACGCATTTCGTTTCCAGCACGAGACAGCACAATCAATTACTACCGCATTTACAGAGCCTAAAGAAGAAAAGAAGGGAAAGAACGGGTTCAAGCGTGGGGTGTAATGTGGTTGGGTGGATGAGGGCGTAATTGGGAGCTTGCAGGAAATTCTGATAGAGGCAGCGCTAGTACTAGTGCCTTGGCGTTCAGAAAAGTACGCCCGGACACGACTTCTTCTGGTACGGCATCACGTCCATGAGTGCAGAGTTGGGCATCGGCACCAAAGCTTGAACTGAAGTGCTCCTGTGGCATTGTTTAGCTAGAGCCACCGGTTATGACGTAAGGCCATGTACAATGGTGTTTGTATTATGGGCAATATTGGAACCAGTGGGCACGGCTCATAGATCATTCAGTGTAGGGATCTGCTGTGCCTAACGCCATGCATTGCAGCCAAACAAGTACTCAAGAAGAAGGCCGTTACGTACAGAGCCGGAGCCATCGCGCGAGACCATGAGGAAAAGAGTAAACCAAAACAACAAGGAACCAGTACGCTGTAGGGACAGGATAGTGCCTATCGGCAACATGTCCCAAAGCGAGATGCCCATCTATCCTGCAATTGAACCTCTGGTAAAGGAGACATGCATTTTACGATCCAATCCATGAGCAGCCATGCAAAGAAACGTCTGCCCGCATATTCAGAGAATGGACCCGAGCCAGCCCGTGCACATTCAAGATGGATAGCGCCGGACCATGTATGTCTCCCGTAACACGTGTAATGCAGGCAAATGAAACAGAAGGCAGTTGAAACCCCAAGAATACGCCTACGGTACGAACAGTCTCCCATTCACACAGTCCAGCTCTCCCACTGGTGAGAAAGAAGGGGTATATAAGGCACTGCCTCCCAAGAAAAACAACAAAAACAAACCTTTTTCAAACTCCGGTGCGGTGACCAAACAAGCAACTCGCACAAGGGGGAATCATCGCTGTATGCTGGAAAGAGGTCCACACCCGACAGGCATGATAGCCCTGGATATTCCGCGCCAGTACCCATGCCCTTGCATTAATGAAGCCAAAACAACCCAAACGACTAAACACCTTGCCATGACTGAAATGACTGAATATAGTGGCAACAATGGACGAAGCGAGTTTCGCAAATGCTCAGTGATGTATACGCCCCCAACTCCTAGATCATCACTCGTAATGGCATAGCAGATTAACGGCGTCTCTAGCGCCCCATCATGTATGTGGAGTAGCCTCCGAAGCCGTTGCCAGCGCCACTGGATGCTAGTGGCTGGCGCATCCCACCGGCCATGACGTTGGGATTCATTCCAAAGCCGCCATTGGAATGGACTCCAAAGCCAGAGCTACCGTTGGTGTGGAGTGAAGCGGATAACCCTGGGGGTGCAGATAGTCCTGGTGGTGGGCCAGTAGCCGTGGAGAAGCCCGGGGGGGCTACGACATTGTTACCAAACCCGGAAAGAGGGGTAGTGGGAGTAATGGCAGACTGCGGGCCCATGCCAGAGTTCTGACCACTACGAACACCTAGGGGGTTCTTTGAGAAGCTGAGGCGAATGCCACCCTTGACGCTGTTGTGGAGCATGTATCCGTAGAGCTCGTTCAAGGCCTTGGTAGCAAACGACGTGTCCTCAAATTCGACAAAACACATGGGCCCGTTCTGCTTGGTGCGGAAGCAGAGGCGCTTGTATCCACGCTGCTTTGAGAAGACGGCTTTGAGCTCGTCTTCAGATGTATCCATGGGTAGGTTCCCAACATAGAGAGTATTGCATGGCGGATTTTGATCAGCCGGGTTCACTGGTGGATAGGTAGGCCTGGCAAAATGCTGGGAGTACTGCTGGTAGCCTGTACTTGGTCCATTGCTCAAGGCAGAAGGAAGGCTGTGTGGTGACATGGCCGACATGGAGGGGCCCGGCGATTGCATGTTGGATGTCGAGCGGGGAGAGGCGTAATTGGAAAGCGGGGGGGATTTCATGCCTGTGACGCCGTTTGTGTTGAGGGAAAGAGAGGCAAAGCGCTGCTGGACGCCCGTCGGGATGGAAGAGGTGTTTGGGTTGGTGGCACGGCGCTGCAGGTTGGACTGTAGGGGTGGACCAGCCGTGGCGTACCCAATGGATTCGTTGAGCAGGCCATCGTCATCATCAGCCTCGTTGTTGATGATTGACTTGCCCACATTGCGGCTGGTGAAGGAGGTGTTGACGGGGGATGTCGGCGAGAAGAGGTTGGTGACGGGGAATTCCCCGTTGCCAAGACCCGGGGTCCCGTTGGGTGGGGACATCTTCTCCATGTTTTGGAAGGTGCCGTTGTATCGCGAAGACTGACGGCCGTTTGCAGCGGGGGCCTGCATGGCGGCCGAGGGCGGGGCTGATCGCGCGGGTGTGCTGTCGACTGTGTTGCGACGCGAACCGATGGCACCAGGCGGGCCATCGTGTATCATCTCGACGACCAGCGTCGCGTCGTTGGTGGCATTGCGCTTGCCGTTGAGTAGGTCGCGCGCCTCACGTGCGCCCTCGAGGGTTTGGAAGTGGGCAAGAGCACAGGCGAAGCCCTTGTCGTCGGCGTGCCTAGGGTGCGAAACGAGCTCGCAGTCGACTAGATCTTTGGCGAAGAGGAGGATGTTGCGCACCGCCTCGCGGTCGCTGCTGCTCGGCAGCTTGCGCAACAGGATGGTGTGGCGGGCCTTTTGTCCAGGGCTCTTTTCGACGGGCCTGCGCTCGCCGATTGCGACTGGCAGGCCGTACATGTGCGATGCGAAGACGTCGGCCGTCATCGTCTTGTGCGAAGCAAAGGGTTTTGGCGGGGAAGAGGATGTGGAGCTGCTGTGGGAGCCGTGGGGGAAGGGGCTGTTGGACAAGTTCGAGGGGCTCGTGCTGCCGGGGCTAGGCCTGGCGGCCATGTCGTCCTTTGTTCGTCAGCGTGCGTGGACGGCCGTCGCAGAGACAAAGGCCGCGACGCAGGCAGCCGCGACGAGGGACGGTCGAGTCGGCCGATGCAATGCGGCGGGCAAGACGAGTGTACGGGCGGAGGGTGAAGGACGAGAACATGCGCCGAGTGCTGCGACGGAGCGGGTGGGCATGCGCAGCGGGCGGGACAATGAGCATGCGCGGCGGAAGAGGACGGAGGCGACGGGATGGGCAGCAACAGGGCGGCGGGACAGGCGGCGGGCGGCGGGCGACAGGCGACAGGCGACAGACAGGCAGCAAAAGGGGCGTGAAAGAACAGCGATGGTAGCCGGCACAGGAGGGGGGAGGGGAGGGGGGTCTTTTTTGCGAGAACAACTGCAGGTCTGGGCAATGATGAGCGACACAGCGACAGCGACAACGACAGCGACGGGAAACGGGCAATGTGCAATGGGCAATGAGTCGAGGCCCCGGGTCACTTATGGGCCAATGGGCGGCAGGGGCAGCCGTCGCGGCTTGTGTCGTTGGAGCGAGCGAGCAAGGACGG